CTGCGGGAAGCGCGGTATTGCTATCTCGTTTGGTAGCAAGGATCCACAGACTGATGATGTTATTGCCGCTGCGGCGAGACTGGCTGTTAGGGTTGTGCGGCATCTTTATGAGAACTGGGATGACCGGGTCGAGCTTTATAATATCAATGTTCCTATGTGTCTTGATGTTGAGGAGAGGCCGGTTTTGTATACGCGCACTTTGCCGTATTATTGGTCTAGGGGGTGTTTGTATGCTGAGGAAGGGACGGGGAAGAAGGTTAATGGTGTGAACGGCATGAACGGCGTGAATGGTGTTCATGTCAATGGCGAGACGAATGGCAATGGCATAACTGTTAATGGACATGCCCCCGCGCCTTCCAGACAGCGCCAGTTTAAGTGGTCTGCTGATTTGTCGGATATGAAGAAGACGTTGCAGGAGAGTGAGGAGGGCACGGATGCTCATACTGTGCTCAATGGGTCGACTAGGTAAGAGATGGAATCTTTTTGCTCTGGAACCGAAGATGCTAATCCGCTATCTAGTGTGACTGCCCTGCGAGCCAATTTCTGGCATGTCCCCGGCCTTGAAGGGCCGCTGGACCTTGGTTGTTGAAGTTCTTGAACAGACTCTGAATGCTTGGATGATCCTACGATACCCGCAATGGTTTTCGAAAATGCATAATATGGTGAATTAGGGAGGTCCGTTTTGTACATATACGGGAATTGCATACATGATTTTCTTTTTTCGCAAGTGATTTCGATAAGAGGCATTTACACCAGGCTGTCTGGCAGCGAGAATACCAGTAACAACAGAAATAACATAAGATAGAAAAGCTAGTGCAGGTGTATCACATAACAGGAGATGCTGAAATAAGAGCGTCAGCTCTTGAGCTCGGTATAAAAGATCACAGTTCTAGAGCGCGCGCGCAGCTTCGCCTGCGCCGCTATCCACAGTTGACATCTGCTCAGCCCGCATCTTGCCCTTGCTGACACCTCCCTCACCGACACCCATTCGTCGAGCCACGTATCGCTGTGCGATAATACCGGCGGTCAGCGAGAGAGTTTCTTCAATCCACTCCGAAACCCACTCGCGGGGGTCAACACCTCCACTCTCGATAACCTCAGCGATGGCGTCCGGAACCACAACACGCTGGGCATTCGCATCCTCGGCACTGGGGTTCTCGGGAGCTGGCACCGAAGCATCGAGCCATTCAATCCATGTTTGCGGGATACTCTGGGAGATAGCGTGGAAGGCAATGCCATGGATAGGGTCGTGGAGGTACAGCGCGAATGAGATCTCCTCTTCTTGCATCTCAGCTTCCACAGCTCCTTCGGTAGCCGGCTCGCCTGTCGCGCCCGCTTGGAAGAGGTCCTTAGAAGTAGTCTGGCTAATAGCCTGGATAGCCAAGAAGATATCGCTGCTGCGGACCGGGTTCAATTCACTCAGGACTTCCGAAGCGTGCTTCGCGGCCTCTTCGACTCCGCCACGGGACGAGAAGTACTCGGTAGCGTAGGACTCGGCGCTGGCTCGAGCGAGTTTGGAGCCTTCCACGACACCTCGCACGGACGAGATGCTTCGCGGTTGCCCAGGTGTAACCGTCCGCCACCAGGGCCCATCATTCCAGCCGGCACTGGTCATATAGCCGGTAACATCGATCCCGCGCTTCGGGGATGACTCCTGGCCTCGCTGGATCACCAACAGCTCCCCGCCCTCGACTTGGGACATCACTCGGGAGAATACCGCATAGACTAGAGGGTCGATTCCAGGGTAGCCGGACATATCGTGAGTCACATGGATCTGTAGACGCTCATGCGAGGAAATAGGAGGTGCGAGGGTGTGGATGAGGTTGGTGAATGTCGGGATTGCCCTGTTTCGAAGCTCGCCGCCTGCGTGTGCGTTAGCTTTGTCTGCATGTGAACAGATCTTGAGTAAGAGGATCTATACCGAGATCACGGAGAGCTCCAACATTGCCCTTGACCTGCTGAGCCCACTTCTGAGCCTCCTCGTTATTCTGGATTTCCTTGACAGCCGCCTCGGCCTGTTTCATAGCCGCGGTAGCCGTTGCGAATAGCCCTCCCGACCATCCACCCCACCAGCCGGCACCCTCCTCGGATGATTGCTGTGTGGGGACATTCTCGGGCTCAACCTTGGGCTGTTCTGGCTTTGCTTCTGCGCGCGAAGACCGACCCGTGTCCTCAGACTGGCGGACCGGCGCCTTGTCCTCGGTCGGTCGGTCGATAGTCGCGCTCGGGCGGGGAGATCGTGTAGAAGATCTAGGCTTATCGGCAGACAGGCGCGGTGTACCTGGTCCACTGGCTGGACGCTGTGTGGCTAGGTGGTCCAGCTCAGCCAGGATGTCTTCCTGCCCGCCCTTAACATTTTCGGATGTAACAATGGCTTTAGCTGTTTTGTTGCCGGATTTGTCAAGACCGAGGTCATCAAACTGAGCTAAAAGCTCGTCACTGGTGGGTTTAGTGGCCTTTGGAGGCATGTTTGTTTGAGGGAACAATGTTCAGGAGAGGTGACGACACCTTTGGAGCTTCTAAACTTGTGGAGATCATGTGCCAAGACCAACAGCTGACTGCAGATGAAAGTCAAATTTAGTTAAATCTCAAGATCCCAACAGAGAAAGCTTTTCATTTTAATATTTCATTCAATTCCCAGGTAAAATCCAAGCCTTTCACCTATTGGATGTTGGACTACCTGGACAGTCTTGGATTTAGGTGTGTCACCCCGCATAGTACACAGCACCCTAGTATGTATACAATGTCAATTGGCTTCACATCTTCGCATCTTCGCGTCTTCAATATGTCCATAACTGGATTTTCAGGCCAAACCAAACACAATCCCGCGGAAGCAACCCGGAAGCGCAAACCCGACTCCCGCGGCTTTGAGCCGTATCCGCTATGGAATGGACCCGCGCGGGGTTGCCGATAAATAGTTACTCATTTCCCATATAAAGCCAGCCCAGTTCCGATTTCGCTAAAAAAGAGCAGTATCTTCGAAGCGTGTAGCTTGCCTCAGGTACATAGTATTCGCCTTATTGAAAATAGCTGTTTGCTCCAAAGCCCAGCTGATTGAGTCACATCTCAACTAACCTCAAACCCCAGACCCCGGATTCTACTCAAATCCAGCCATTGAACAAACCAACTTCCAATTAAGCCCGCCTACGACCCTCGCATACCACTCAACATGCGTCTCCCATACGTTGCAGATCCTCCAGCAACCAGCACACCAGACCAAGCTAGAATCCTAGCCAGCGTCCAAGCCCGCCGAGCCCCAGGCCCGCTTCTCCCCCTCGACCTAGCCCTCCTGCACTCGTACCCGGTCACAGAAGGCTGGAACTCATTTATCGGCGCAATCCGCACCCGAACCACTCTCTCAACCGTCGTCCGCGAACTAGCCATCTGCCGCGTCGCAGTGGTCAACGGTGCTCTGTTCGAGTGGGAGCAACATGCGCCTCTGCTTGAGGAAGGTGGATTGAGCGCAGAGGCGTTAAAGTTTATTGGGGATGCTCAGGCAGACTTCTCGAGCGAGGCTGCGTCGTCGGTCTTGAGTGCAGATCAGAAGGCTGTGCTGAAGTATACCGATGCTATGACCAAGACGGTCACTGTGCCTGATGAGGTCTTTGCGGAGCTGAAGGGATGCTTTGATGAGCGGGAAGTTGTCGAAATTACCGCTACGATTGCCGCTTATAATTGTGTTAGTCGCTTCTTGGTGGCTTTGGATGTTGGCGAGAAGAATCATCTGCACTGAACTGTAGATGTTACAAGCCTTTTGGCAAAATATACTAGAAAATAGAAAATATACTAGGTTTAGAGAGCTATTTACATTTTTGTTAAGATATAAGCAGATGTAGCGTTATTAAGGCCCTCTAGTTTCTAGTTCAGTGCTTGGGCGCAATAAGAGGTCCTCCGGCCTGGTACATATTTGTACATAGTGATCTATCATTTGGGCCAAACATGAAAAATCGTGCAAGCCTTTAATTATAAACCCCAAGCACACTTTTTTTTTTTTCTTAGGACCTTTTTTCCTTTTCTAGCACTATCAATTTGCGAGATCTCAGCATTCACCTTTAGTGATTGAACAGGTCCATTTAATATTGTACCTTTTGGTGGCAACGTGGCGCCTCATTTCATACCTGCCTTGTCAGTATGGCCGAGTGGTTAAGGCGCAGCACTGTGAGTAACCCTTAACACAGCCTCTACTTGACTCCATAACTAATAATCCCCGCAGCGAATAATTACATTCCTGATATGCTGTTCATTCGTGAACCTAGGTTCGAGTCCTAGTGCTGACGACATCTTTTTTTTCTTTTTAAATTCATTAAAGCTACCAGCTATAACTAGAATTACATTTTAAAGCCTGATGCGATTGAATTAACTCGGTAACGGTGTTGTTGCATTGATACTAATTGTCTTCCCGTTCACCGGAGGATGTGTGTGTATTTTCATACACAAATTGTATTTGTTACCTATAATAAGCAAGCAAAATTTAGCTTGGGCTCCTTATCAAAAGGATATCATCTTCCAAAATCGGATCGGGGAGCATTTTATGAACGACAGCCATCATATGCAGGGTCAAATCTACTTTCCGAGATGTATGTTTCCAGTAGGGCTATCCAAATGCATGGTAAGAAAGAGTAATTAGATAAGAGAACTCGTATGATTATGGCCCTACAAGGCAGTAAGTAAAACTCGAGTCTAATTTGAAGCATCGCAGAAATAAACTATGCATAGGATAGGATTCTGGTTTAGGGTGCGGGTGCTATGGATATTCTAGTACAGTGTAGTTGAGCCTTAGTCCAATGCAGTCTCCAAGTGCTACTTTTCATGAACAGAGCTAATCAAATGTGATTCCGTATTCTGTTACAGGGGGTGAGCGCGTAGGGTGGGCAGTGCAAGCAAGCTTAGAACGGCTTCCCAGTGACTGACTCACCTAGGCAGGCCTACTGTGTATAACTAACTACCCCTCCAACTTCTCGATCACCCACATTTCCGGTTTTACACAACGTGAAATAGTGATGATCCAACTCGATCTTTCTGTGGCAACTTGTGCCAGCCAGACTGCGCTGCTGCCAGCGGTCTTGATTACGTCCTCCATTAATGAGGCCCGCCCGTTAGTATCTCCTTGGGAAATCCCATTTTCCATCCATAGATAAGATCTTGAGCCTACATATATATACAGACTGACCATCCCTCAGATCTCCAATTATCAATATCCACTTGAAGGACACTTCCCTACTCACCGAGGACGAAAAGTCAATCATCAAATTTCAGGCAGGCGACAAGACTGTGACTGGTACTATTCCTATCATCCAGGAGCTATGTGCGCAGTTCCCTTTTCTTGTGGGCAAGGATGCTAAGGTTGTGAGTTATCGCATCCTCGCATCTTTATACTCAACCAATTTCTAATGCAATTGCTGCACCTAGGAGAATGAATGGATCTCTCGATTGAATTCTTTTCACACCTTGGACTTCAAAACCCTCGAACCGATCCTCCAGGTTAGAAGAATGTATATGCAGACCAAATTAATCTAACATATCCATAAAGCATCTCGATACCCACCTGCTCCCCCGATCTTTCATATCGGGTTATTTTCTTTCGACACCGGACATTGCATTATGGGGTGCCCTTCGCGGAAACCGTGTCGCTATCGCCACTCTCAAGAGGGGTACTTTCGTCAATCTGACCCGCTGGTACAAGTTCCTCGAGGAGTTGTGCCCCTGGGCCACATCGGCCGTTCAATCTTTAAATGCTGCTTCTCGCGAGAAGAAGCTTGCTAAATCCAAAGAGGGTGCCAGCTACGATATTGTGCTGAAGGTAGGCATTTGAACGAGGCCAATTCGTGATACCCATGGCTAATCGTGTCAAACTTTCAAGAATACCGAGAATGGCGTCGTTACTAGATTCCCACCAGAGCCTTCGTATGTTCTCTTGACATTGGCACATTTCTTTGCTAACTTATTATATAGAGGATACCTTCATATTGGACATGCTAAAGCGGCTCTGTTGGTTTGTTTTACACCTCTTTCTTCGTGACTCCCGCGTTAACATTAAATTTGTCCAGAACGATTACTTCGCCCGTACGTTTTATGTCTATCTTGCGGAAAGTATACCTTACTAATGACCACTTTTCAATAGACGAGAAGTATAACGGAACTCTCATACTTCGGTTCGTCTATGATATGTATAAACTGATAATGGTAGAGGCTTACTCGAGCTTTAGGTTTGATGATACCAACCCGTCGAATGAGAAGCAGGAGTTTCAAGATGCCATCGTGGAGGATCTTGCATTGATGGGTCCGTCCTCTTTGTGTCTTAAAATTGGAAGTACTAACAGTTATCCACAGGCATTCGGCCCGATAAAGTCAGCTATACCAGTGACTACTTTGATGAACTTTACGAGCATTGCCTTCAGATTATCAAAGCTGGAAAGGCTTATGCCGATGACACTGACAAGGAGACTATGAAGAAACAGCGGTGGGATGGCCTCCCTAGCCAGCGTCGTGACCTCTCTCCTGAGGAGTCCTTGGCCCACTTAGAGGAGATGAAGAAGGGCACTCCCGAGGGCCTACGGTGGTGTATCAGAGCTAAGATTTCCTTCGATGACAAGAATAAGGCTCTGCGCGACCCTGTGATCTACCGATGCAATCCTGCTACTCATCACCGCACAGGTAATACCTGGGTTACCTATCCTACGTATGACTTTGCTTGTCCCATTGTCGACTCGATGGAGGGCGTTACCCATGCCCTGAGAACCATCGAATACAGAGACCGCAACCCGCAGTACCAGTGGATGCTCGATACTCTGAACCTCCGTACTGTACAGGTCTGGGACTTTGCTCGCATGAACTTCATTCGTACCCTGTTGTCTAAGCGTAAACTGACCAAACTCGTGGAAAGCGGCGTCGTATGGGGGTGGGATGGTAAGTGTTCCGTTTTCTCCGGCTTTATATGCTAATACAATACTAACTACCATCCTAGATCCTCGTTTCCCCACTATTCGTGGTATTCGCCGTCGCGGTATGACTATCCCAGCGCTTCGCGAATTCATCCTCAAGCAGGGCCCGTCTAAGAATGTGACCCTATTTGACTGGGGCTTGATTTGGGCCACCAACAAGAAGTACATCGACCCAGTTGCCCCTCGCTATACAGCCATTGAAATTAAGGACATTGTTAAGGCGACTGTCACCGGTGGTCCCGCTGCCCCCTACATAGAAAAGCGCCAGAAGCATGTCAAAAATACCGCTCTTGGTGATAAAGTGGTTGCTTTCTCCTCTTCTATTGTTCTAGAGCAGTCTGATGCCAAATCTTTCAACGAGAACGAGGAGATCACACTGATGAACTGGGGTAATGCAATTGTGCGCAAAATCTCCACCGATAACTCAACCGGCAAAGTGACACATTTGGAACTACAGCTCCATATGACTGGTGACGTGAAGAAAACTGAGAAGAAGGTGACCTGGCTGTCTACCGAGGGCCAATCTCTGGTCCCTATCGAACTATTCGACTTTGACTACCTGCTCACTAAGGACTCGCTGAGTGAGGATGATACCCTCGAGGATGTTCTCAACTTCAATACTGAGTTCCGGGTGAGTGGGTTGGCCGACTGCAATATCTCGGAGTTCAATGTTGGCGACATCTTACAGTTCGATCGCAAGGGTTTCTACCGTGTGGACCGTGTTCCTGCTCCTGGTGTTCCAGGTGTTTTCTTCAACATTCCTACCGGAAAGCAGAAGTAGATATGCATTGACATAAAACACCACAATATATATCACACACATATGTAGTCATATTCCAAATTTCTTAGAGCAATAAGTGCCTAATGATACAATGCACGTTGATTGATATGGGACCGAAATCCATTTTAGATAAATGCTTGAGTTCTAAAAAAAGAAGTTGCTGGTTTGAGGTGGCGGCATGATAAATCTGTTCCAGACGAGGAGCTCCAAATTCTCTGGAGAGACCCAAGAGCAAGCCACAGCTGCTGTGCCAAGAGTATGTATGGACTCGGGCCCTAGGGACGGCGCTTAGCTACATATTGAATATTATGTTGCGTGGGCGAGGACAAAGCTCAGCGTGAGTGGCATGGAACCTGGCAAATTGACAGCCTTAACTAAATATCCTCACTTCAGACTTAATTTCAAGCCCACTATGTTTATTTGATTAGTTGGATGTATAAACAAATGACATAGTACGCTAAATGCGGAAGTTTTGAAACAACCGAATCTTTCTAAATATAGATGTTGGTGATGGATACAGGCGCTTAGCATCATGCACATCAAACACAATTGACTTAGGAAATTTATTTTATTAAACAGTTGGGTAGTATAAGATTGAATCGATTTTGGAGTTTTAGTTGTCGATAAACACTGTTTTTGTGCGACACTGCTTCAATTCACGTATAGAATGGGCATAGTCCCTGCAGTATGTCGTATATTTCTAGGCAGTTTGTGTTACCTTGGATATAACTGCCATTGTACTTCCTATTTTTGATAATTCCTGCTCTTTTCACTCGACCATGAGTACTTCCCAGCACTTCCTACCTAATGGTACCTAACTAATAGTGCTTTTCCTCGGAGCTGCTTTGGGATTTCACGTTGGCTCTACCAACATGGACCTCAGAAAAAAAAAATCAAAATAAACTAGTCGCAATTGGCATCTTCTCTTCCAAGTTATATCATATTCCACATTACAAGGGCTATCTTATACTACTACTCTGCTGAAGAAGACCTATAGAGTGACCTCGGCATTTCACGGGTCCAAAGAAAAATGGGGCTCGGGACCCACTCGCGGACTTTATATTTCCTTCCTACCGAGGATTTTCAGCTGCCGCTTTAATGACTCGCTCCTTCCCGTTAAGCTGTGCTCAGATACCCTAGCGAAGCGGCGGGTAGTGAGCCAAATCTGGAAAGGGAATGCCAAGACATGGATGGCAACAGGTGAAGCGGGACTAAATCGTTGGTCCTTTTTATATCTGCCTTTCTAACTTCATTGCTCTTTAATTAGTCGAAATTGAGTGTTGATAGCTGGATTGCACCTAGTCAATTATCGTTAGCTTAAACATGGAAAAGAAAAGCATCTAACAAATGGAGTAAATCTGCAGATTCTGCACTCGGGAAGTATAGGATGGCGCTAAGATGAGTGAGGCAACCTATCATTCCAATTACCATCTAGAGAGCAATTGCAATGACTGATAAAACTTACGACACTCCGCGTGGGATTTATATCCAAGAATCCCCGGAAAATTAATATATGTTGTCGAGGCAAAGGAGAAGTGACCGGCTACTCTTGCTGATGGTAAGGCAGTTGGTACATTGGCTGTTCTCAACTAGAATTTTATCATATTTGACGACACAGGTTATGGTAGGCTGCAGCTGTACAGTTTGCTTTGGCATCCATAGCTGGTTTGAGTCTGGCATGTCTGTTGCCCCTACTTCTGGCTTGATGTGGGGATACCAAACAATTGTCGAGAATTGTTCATATATAGAACTTGTATTGCATGCTCCTTATTAATTAGAACGTCTATTTAAATAGTAAGAGGTGGCAAGTGTATTAGTCTTTATATCCTAGCTGTGATGGGGTGTCACCTCTCCATTCCCCGTGGCTTGTGTCACGGGGGCTATGCCCCGGGGGAACGGAGGGCAGCCATCAGTGACATATTTTATTCCGGGTACTATATCTAGATCCTCCAGGTAGCTGGCTTCTGTCACTTACCCGCGGCTTGCTTGTTGAGTATGGATAGATCCATGGATGGATGTCGAGCTTATGTCAACTAGTGACTTCTATGAACAGGAAGTAAGCTTATGGAACGCCGTCCCCCTTCATCCCTCAGGTCCTCCCAGAGACTTACTCTAACTTTTAGCTACCTGCTTCTATAGCCAGCTATTGATGAGACACGCTATTCGACTTTAAAGTACGCATCATGTGACGTCTATAATGGCAAGATAATCGTTACAAGGGACAATAGGTAGCAATACAAGAATATAGATAATAGACAATTAAAGATCAATACGATATAATGAATAAATAAAATCATTGATCAATAGTGATCAATCGAAATCAAAACCCCCTTTCCTCAATGTCGTCCAATGTGGCTAGTAGATAGGAGGCTTCTGATTGGTCGGGCCACGACGGGGTTTCCACTGCCTATGAAAGTACAAAACTATCTCTCTCTCAACCTCAATCTCTTCTCAACTTCATCATCCTTATCCCATTTCCCCTTCCGATTTATTTTCTTCTTCTGTGCTCATTCCGTTCTGTAATATCACTCCATTTACTGTCTTTGTTTTCGCGTCTTCTTCTTTGCGCAGTGTCGCGTCGGCGAAGATCATTTTTTTCTTCATACTACCCGGGAAGACAAGATCTCTGCGCGCTACAAATTTGCTGCGTTTTTCCTTTGACATCTTTTCTATTTCACCTGTCTCCTAAATCTCATCCTTTCTTCAACCTTCTCATCCCACTTCCCGTTGTGTCATAAGTGGACTGTCACCCAGCCTTCCCAGTCGCATAGTAAGTACACATCCCTGGCAGCCACTCATGCCCACCCTGCACCCTTCTTTGCAGAAACTAACAGCCAGCAGTCATTGGTTGTGATTTGTGTCTTCTATCCACAAGGATTCAACTCAACTTCTCAAACTTCAAACATCTCATGGTAAGTGGCGCGTCTTTTCCACTTTTTTCTTGTATGCCACAGTTTTGCCGTACTTCCCGGTCAAATCTTGATCCATGTATTTTTGCCCGACCGTGTCTTATGTTTCATGTTTTTCATATTGCATGTTATATGTCGCATTCACTGGGTTTACAATGTATTGCAATTCTTGTGTTAACCCTGGTCCATGTCTTGTGCCTTGGCCTTCGAAACCGCGGAATTGGCGCTGCGATTTACCAACGTCTTGGCACCCGCAAGCGAACCAACGCTGACAATCTATACAGATTCTTCTTTGACATCCTTCATTCTCCATTTGAGACTCGTTTTTTCCCCCTTCTTTTCTTTTTTTTGTTTATTGAAACACAAATACCCCTCTTGTTCTTTTTTTTCTTCTCTCCATTTCCGCCAAAATGGCCCCAATCCCAAGGGCTGATTTGGATGGGGACAATCCTTCTTCGGATATTGGTGACAGTCAGGACTCCGGGCAGCGCCGTCAATTTTCTGAACCCTTTCGTCCCCAATCTACGTCCACTCAAATTTCTCAGTCACCGGAGCCCATGCCTCGACGACTTAAGTGTGACTGGTGTGGGAAGCTTTTGATGCTCCCAAATGACGCAGACATCTCTGAAGAAGATGTTCTGAATGATCATATCAATGAAGCTCACCCGAAATCTACTAGCTTTTCTGGGTATGACGGTGCCGACGATGCAGCTGAAGATCTCGCCGAAGATGGCGCTGATGACACTTACGATGAGAATGGCGATCTCCAAGATGACGACGCCATTGAACAAGAAGAACCCATAGCTCAAACTGCCAATCCTGAAGATGGTGAGGCTCAGGATGAAGAAGGCGAAGAGATCGCAGTGGAAGTGACAACTGACGATAACAATGGCACCCTGCCAACCACAATCCCAGTCAATGTCAGCCATATGCCTGAAACAAAGCGTGACCTCTTGGACTGGCTTTCTAACCCGCGTACTGGATATCCCGAAGAGTATCGCCTCCGTGAAGCCCAGTGGCGACGACAAGATGTGAAAACGCGCCTTGAACGTTTCTGGACAGTCCATGATGCCAATAAATTCTCTCCAAACTACGACCAGGAAGTCTCCAAGTGTGAATCTACCTGGGACAATGCTTTTCACGACCCTTTTAAGACCAGGAAGCGTGACGCTCCTGAACCGGCTTCTCACCCTCTTCCATACAAGAAGGCCAAAGTCGGCAAAGGTCAATTCCTCGAAGTACAGGCTCAAGAACTCGATGAACTTGTCAACATGCTCCGCAATCCCGAAAAATACACACCAGAAGAACTCTATGCACTTACACAGACTGCCGCATTTGCTCTGAAAGCATTTCAAGATGAATACCTGGCCCTCGACAACCTTTACCTCAATGCGCACCGCCACAAGCGGGATGAACCCTCGTATCAAACAAAGCGACATCAAATGCAGGGCCACAAGAAAAAGGGTGGAGCCCCTCTGGCTCATGTGAATGAGGACAAACTTGACTTCGAGGAAAAGAAAGAGGCAATGCTCTATGGTTACAAACACAATTATTTCCCGGGCAACACACCACTTATACCCATCCGCACACAACAGGATCCATTCGTGCAGGGAGGCTTTGTCCCCACTCCTGCGCAAGCTAGAAAGATGATCGCCAAGAACAAGGAGAGTGGTGATCTGAACCCTGATGGATGGGCAACCATGAAGAAACATGGCCTTGAATATCACGCTCAAATGTACGAACCGCGGCGCGAGCCACTTGTGCCAAAAGTCACTCGGAAACGCAAGGCCGCAGAGGTCGAAGTACCCACCAAAACGACTGATACAGAAGAGACTCAAAATGAGAGTGCGGATGGCGATGAGACCGATGAAGATAACCACCCCGCAAAGCGGCGCACCCGAGGCCGCGGTGGCAAAACTGTCGTCACTGAATCAGCTCACTCCGATACTAACTCTCGCAAAGGCGCTGCCCGTGGCCGCGGCCGCGGACGCGGCCGTGGGCTTGGTCGCCTTGGTTCCTCTCGGGCTACCTTCGAAGTCACCCCTGCCCCAACTCAACCCTCATCTCGGGGCCGGGGTCGACGTGGCGCTAGCAGCCTGGCCTCCTCATCCCTCCCTCCAGCAGAGACCTCCTTCCCGGCCGTCGAACCGACGGCCACCCAAAGCCCTGCCGACTCCGCTCCGACATCGGCCAAGAAGGAGGCTCTCTCTGCTGAGGCGATTGAGGAGGCCAGGCGGCAGAAGATCGCCAATTCGAAGAACCCGAAGAGAACCAAGGCGATGCTCGATCACTGGGACCGATTCAACCGAGAAGGACGGATCCGCAACCCAAAGCGATCCAAGGCCCAAATCGAGCAGGACCGGACCGTCGACGGCGCCGCCGACGAGGTCCCCAAGCCCACTGGCCCTGGCCGCCGCAAGCGGTCGCCTTCGCTGGCACCACTTGCTGGTAATCTTGCCCCCAAGGGGCCCCCCGGCCTGCCCTCAATGGCAACCGTCCAGGCGCAGCAGCAGCAGCCCATGCCCCCCACCCTCCCCCCTATGGGGGTGGTGCCTCACTATGGCCCCGGCCCAGTGAACCCTTACGCCGCTGCTGCTGCTGCGCCTATTGCGCAACTGGGGCAACCCATGCCGTCCCAGTATGCCCCATTCCCGTACGTCCAGTACCACGGGATGGGTCCCCTCCCGGGTCATAACCCGCGGGACCCACGCCATTGAGGGCAGGTCGCCTCGTCGAGGCAATCCTCGGTTTCCCTCTCTCTTACTTAGCTATTATCTTACTTCATGTTCATTTCACTTTTTCTTCTTACGAGTGAGAGAGAGGGAACTGGGGATTGCCTCGACACCAACTGATCATTCGCAGTTCCTGGCCCACCCCAGGGGTTGGAATGGGATCGCAGGGGATCATCATCCCCCTGGTCTGTCCCGCTTGGTGCACGGCCCTCTACGTGACTGGGCTGATTCCACGGTCGATAGACCAGGGTGGACGTGGTTCCCTGTGGTCCCAGACCTCCCTGGGGTGTGGGCTGGGAATGCAATGATCAGATACATTATTATGAAAGTGCTGGTGCCCTGGCAGTGTCTGGACACTGCCGGGGCACCAGGACATGTATTTTAAAGCTCAAATTCACGCTGTAAAAAGTTTTTGTTCTCTACTTGTAATTATTAGCTTGTACAATACTACTATGTAGTTTCCGAGGTTGTAGATGGTAGATTCGAATGTTGTAATTCAGATCTGGGACTCGATATTTTATTCAAGATCAGGAAGTGCAATCTGAATGAACACCAGACCACACTAAAGATAAAGTAGAGGAACACACAAACTTAGCCTCATCGTGAAGTATTGTGAATGGGTATTCTACAGAATACCTCTCCTAGAAAAGGTAGCTGGGCGAACATTGAAGTGATGAGAAAATGGGAATATAATGTGGTAGCATTACGAGAAACGAAACAAAACACATCAACAATAAGAAAAACTCCATCAGGACTCTGCCAAAAAAAAGTAGCTTCTTTCACTTCCCAAATTCATACTTCACACAGAGTCACGTGGTGTAACCACGTGATCGGGGCTTGGATAAGGATCCATCGCGAATTCCGGAGATCTACGACACCGCCAACCTACCTTGCTTGACAACCCCACAACACCTCTCCAGTTTTCCAATTGCTCCGATTCTATTTCCAATTACTCTGATTCTACTGACGCTACAATGGTCAAAAGACGTGGCCACTCCCTCGAGGAGCTCCTCGAACGCCCATGGTGCTACTACTGCGAACGTGACTTTGATGATCTCAAGATCCTCATCTCTCATCAGAAAGCCAAGCATTTTAGATGCACTACCTGCCCTCGCAGACTGAATACCGCCGGAGGTAAGTCCACTTCGATTAGATAACCCGGGCGCAGAAACTGATGACTTGCGCCGATAGGTCTATCCGTGCACATGAGCCAGGTTCATAAAGAGCAATTGACCGAGGTCCAAAATGCGTTGCCAAACCGCATGGGTGTTGATATTGAGATCTTCGGCATGGAGGGTATCCCCGAGGATGTCCTCAAGGCCCACCAGCAGCGTGTCGCATCACAATTTCAGCAGGCCCAACTGGATCGCCAGCATGCGACTGGCAACCCTCCTACTGGCGCCTTCTCTAGTGGCCAACCGAGCAAGAAGCCTAAGCTTGAACCTATCTCAGATATTAAGAAACGACTGGCTGAACACAAGGCCAAGCGTGCGGAGGCGCTCGCCGGTGGTAGCAGCGGTGATGTGACACCCTCTAGCGCTGTTCAGTCGACGCCGCCAACAGCTAGTGCTTATGTGATTCTACCCTACTATTCAATACAGTAATTCACGAACTAACATTTATTCCAGGCTCAATCGCCTCAGATTGCGCCCGCTCAGCCATACTCTTACCCTCAACCATATGGTGCCCCCGCCGCCGCTGTGACCCCTCATTTCCCACAAACTGGCAGCCCTGTCTATTCAAGCTACTCGCCAGTGGGCGGACAACAAGTCCCTGGTGTCTCGCCTTACACGCCATCCGGATATCCGTCTCCATTCCCCGCCGGACCTCCTGCCGGACTCCCCGCCGGACCTCCTGCCGGACTCCCCGCCGGACTCCCTGCCGGACTCCCTGCGCAGCCCCCAGTCTCCTATGGGGCTCCTCCTTACCCCCAGCAGCAACCCCCACCATCCGATAACAGATACATGGGCCTGCCGGCCGCCTCGAACCTTCCCCAACGTCCTGCCTTTGGTGTACCTTCGGTCAACGCGCACGAGATGCAAAAGATGCACATGGGACACGTGCCCCCCACCCCCGCAGCTTCGGGTCATTTTAATGGAGACAGCGCCCACCCAGCCGATAATGTCTCCACACCTGTTGACAATCAGATTGCAGGCCCAGCCAACGACGTCGTCTCCCAGGCAGAGGGTACCACCAAGCCAAAGAAAGAAAAGACGAAGCCCGCGATTCGCCTGATTTTCAATGACGATAAGTTCAGTCCCGAGGAGAAAATGGCACAGCTACCTCGATATGCATACGTCCCTGATCAAAGCACACAAACCACCCTCGGCGAGCTCCCCGGCAATGCAATCGTGGGCGCCATTCAAGAGTCTGATACCGTGTTCGATACGACCCATTAAGTTCTGCTTCGTTTTTTTTCCTGCTGCATTTACAAGTGATGGAGTGTACGGAATCCAGCTAAGTCGACACATCAAAAAATTTAGTTACATATGAGCATTCTTCTGGTCGGATCTTTGTCCTAGTCTGGCGAGTCAAACCCCCCCCCTTCCCGTGGACTATTTCTCTTCCGACAACCCAGGAAACGTCGGTGCTGTTTGAGTTCGAGGTCACCCAAGGAGAAAATCGAAAAACACCAAAAAAAAGTTCAAAACTCCAAAAGAAACAACGGATGAAAGGCTCCCTTGAGTCGCTCGTTCGGGGAAAGGAGGCACAGGTTCAAGTTTTGGCTCGTGAATGTCACATCGAGCCTACGTACAGTACGTGCCTTGCCCTTCCTCCCTGCTGACCCTCCTTTGGAGGTTTAACCCTGGCCTGGAGGAAACGGTGTGATGTGAATGCCTAGATGGCAAAAATGATGTCGTCTACGGCCATGTAAGATTTAGCGTTTGTCTGGAGGTAGGAATTCAAATCGGGCGTTTTCAAAAATCTCACGGGCTCTTCATTATCTACTGTATGTTTCGTATTCGGTGCTCCTATCTGTCTGTACCTTCCGATAGCACCAACGTATGCATCTAAACCGAGTCTACGTAAACCGAGAACGTACGAGTATCAAACGAACAGTCCAACTCCATTCATTATTTCTCCCTTCTTTCAATCATGCCGTCTTCTGTTTATACGCAGCCCCGAAAACATAAAGCCCGTAAGTAGCCAGCAAAGACAGAACAACCGGAACAGGCTTCCCGCCTGTCTTGATCACGCGCGGCACAGAGCTTCCACCCAGTACGATAGATGCTAGTAAACCCAATTCCTCGCCGTAGGATTGGCCGGCGCGCAGACGCAGGAATGAGAGGAGGTAGACGAGGCCGACGGAGACGCCTGCGGCGATTGAGGGGATCGATCCGGTCCGTGTGTAGCCGATTATCCCGCCCAGACTTGTTAGGAGGGAGAGAGCTAGAGCGGAGTTTGTTGGGGCCTGGGGCTGTTAGTTTTGGGTTGGCTGGGAGGAGGGAGATATAAGAGTTGAGGTGGTATGTTGGTGGTGGGCTGTTTGGATTTCGGAGCTTTCGGACTGGGGTGGATTGGATTGGATTGGATTGGGGATGTAGATCTGTAGACATACCATCTTGTAGGTTTAAGACTGGTCTCTTTTTTTCTGGGATCGAGGACTATGGGTTAAGAGTAGGAGGGTGAGATCAGATGTTACGCAGATGAAGCTCGGTCATGCAATTGATTAGTCAGATGACGAAAAGTCTGGGGTAAATGTGCATAATTTAATGCTGGGAACTATATAATTCTAAGGTTTTGTGTTGGGAACTATTCACGTCCCATTTCGAGTACTCATAAAGTTGTTCAGATTGATGTATCTGTGCATCGCCAAAGCCAACTGTGCTTTATGTCCAACATCCAACACTTGATCATACCGAGGTAAATAGTATACTCACCAACCATTTACAGCAGCAACTTGGTTGCAGCACCAATTCGTTCCTGAATGATGGAGCTCCATTTCTAGAAACAAGTTAGCAATTGTAGCCAAGGCAAAAGGGGTTGTGGATAAACACATACCTCGGCATTCTCCACGTCTCCGGCCTCAAGACTCTCCACTAGTCCAGGGTAGGTGGCTCCCGAGTAACCAGTCCAAATTCCAGGGGCAAAGACGACATGCTTGAACCATTCACGGCCATCCAGACCGGGTTGGTACAAGAAAGCCCGCTCGATGCCCTTGTACTTCGCATTGGTGGCGCGAATCTGGAACCACAGTCTCACCTTCTTCCACCAGTGGTACCAAGGCACGTCATCGCCAAGCTGAGACCCCAGGTCAGCAGCATGAGCATCGAAAGCCTTCGCAGCTTGTTGGAACTCATGAATGGCCCTATCTAGAGGTGCGAAGTCGAAATGGGTCTTCTCCGGGAGATTGTCCGCCGCAGGCTTGATGTGGTCTAAATAGGATCCAAGACCAAGAGAATAGTCGGTGGCGTTGAGCGCAAGAAGGGGAGACTCCACCAATTGTGCCGCTGCCAGAGCCCAGAGCTTTGTGCAAGCTTGGTGGTAGAGGAAGTCCTTGTCACCGTACTTCTCCATCCATGCGAAGCTGTCGTAGTTCGAGTGGTAGTGGTAGACAGGGTCGCTCTTACTACGACCAAAGCCAAAGTCGAGACTGGCGACACCGGCGAAATCTTGGAAAGCAGTGAAGTCGCTGCCGCTGCCCATCGTCGCGATCTTGCCATTCCAGACATCGCGGACTGTTTGGCCCCGTACAGTCTGGTTGGGGGACTGAACTAGAGCGGTGACATCGTTGATGACCTTATTCAGAAGGGGACTGGCCCGAGGTTCGAAATTAGTGCCCGCAGCAGCCACATCGACATTCAGATATGCGATATTGGCCTTGGAGAGCCACGGGAGGTATTCTTCTACCCACTCGGTCGAACCAAGAAGACCGTACTCTTCGCCGTCCCAGCTGGCAAAGACAACAGTGCGCAACGGCTTCCATCCTGCCTTAAGGGCCTCGCCGAAACTGCGGACGACTTCGTTCAACGCAGCAGATCCGCTGTTAGGATCTCCTGCGCCACCGGCGATCCATGCGTCACGGTGATTACCGAGGATAACGACCTCATCGGGGATGTACCCCTTGATAGTACCGATGACATTCCATAGTGGCGTCGTCACATACTCCTGGAGGTTGTGGAGGTTAATCACCACACCCTCGGGGGACGGTCCGATGTTGTACTCCACACCCTTGTAGCCAAGGCCACCTCCCTGCCAAAACTCGTTGAAGTCCGACGCTTTGGGGCCGTGACCGTTAAGCGCCTTCAAGAATGGGAGAGCCTCCTTGTATGAGACGGGGAGAGATGGGATTGAAGGGATGGAGTTCTGAGGATCTTGTCGTTCGCATCCAGGCTTAGATGCGTATCCTGGGGTTGTGGGGTCACCAGGAAGGATACCTTGTTCAAGTTAGCTTTGCAATGCCATTACCTTGGAGGAAAAAAAGCCTTACTGAGGAATTGAGTGCTACCTCTCTGAATAGCACTGGGATTCCGTGCCGGGCCATTAGGATAGGCTTCATAGCCATTTTCCTCAGTAATTTCCCCATCTTCCTGCGGATCACTGTAGATAACTACGCCGATCATTCCAAGCTCCTGTGCACGCTTCACCTTCAAACCACGGAATATCTTGCCGTACTTGGCAATGGCAATCTTACCCTCCAAGGTGACGTTGGCATTGACGAGGTCCTCAAAGTCTCTGTATGTACCAAAGTTGACATACACGTACTGTGCAGTTACATTGCCGCTAGCAGAATAACCATGGAAAACTGGGACACGGTCTGGCAGGCCGGAAGTAGGATCCTCTTCGAGGACATCCTCCTCCAGTGTAGTTTCGAAAGTTACTTCGGTTTTATCACCGGACGTGTTCAAGAGGGCCAGGCGGTGATCAAGCGGGTAATTGATGTAAATGTCATACGCCGCGAGCGAGGTATCCTCCACGCCGAATTCCTTCCATTTTTCCATAGTCCAGAGGGCCTGAGACAGGTTCTTTCCTCCCAAGTGAGGTCCTGCGGTATAGTATTTACTCCACTCTCGGGCTTTTTCTGCAGAAGGCACATTGAGGAGGATCTGCTGGAGCTGGTCGTAAGGGAGACCGTAGCTTTCCGGCCATGCATCATGGGGGATTGGATGGGCTCCAGGAAGATAGGACCAAATAGAGCCATGCTCTCGAGGTAGGATGGCGGTGGGAAGTAGGAACAGAATGGTCGCCACCGAGAGCAGGCCTGCTAGGGATATAGTACACGCTCGGCGAACAGCATGGTGTGGATATCTATGCCGCGGAGGAGCGACATTGACCTCCAGAAGCGGTGTGGTCTCTGAAAACCGCATGTCTTTCTCCCTCATCTTTTGTGTGTGGGAGAATGAAAATGACCTCAAGTGGAATGCTTCTCCGCATTGTATCATCGGCCAAGCGATCACCTTATCGGCTGACAAAGCTACCCCTCACGGCCCCCGGGGCCGGATCAGCCCGCCATCAAGTTGCCTTTTGGGACAATATTGACCGACTATCTATGCAACTTGCTCGGTTTTTTTCACCAATGATAATAATCATGCGCCAATTGTATCAGTTGGGAATAGACATGAGTGGTATTCCAGTAAATGTAAAACAAAACATGAGTGGTATCATAATAGCTATTTATATACAATCGCTCAAGATGATAAACCTGCATGACCCTCGAAATGGGGAGCAAAAAGATATAAAAGACATGCCACAGAGAGAAACGAGATAAAAGAACATAGCGCCCAAGGTATAAAAGGTAACGGGGAAATCCCACAATCATAATTCGACATCATCTGGTATCGGGACAACATTGAGGTCTGGATTGACTCTGTCACCAATCTCCATACTCTCCCTCATAATCCGACGGGCATCTTCGTCATTGACTTTCATATCATCCTTGACCATGAGAACAGCCAACTCAGGCACAAGGACAGATTGTGTGTAGCCAGCCACGCCTGCCGTCTTGATAAGTTCATCTGTTGTCGCCAAGCGACGTACAACCACAGAAAACCGACGGATGATTGCTTCTAGTCTAGATTGAACCCAAATATTAGCATAGTCGAACCAAGCAAGGGGTAAATACCACATACATTTTGGTTGCACCCATGGTACCATAATAACCGCAGGTCATCGTCTCCATCCTCTCTTCTTCGCCCGCTCTCACACGGAAGTTTCTTGCTTTCCCTGGCGCGAAAGAGTTTGAGGTACTGAGAATGTTGCGGTAATAAGAGGAAGCACCAGGGACAAGTAGTTTTTCGAGTTCAGGGAAATAGCTCTGAACACGCTCTTCAAACCCATTCCAGTCAATTTGAGGGTACCCTCGCTCACGCCACGAATCCATCGCAGTGCGGAGTTTGTGTGATTCACAGAACATCATCTGTTCGCGAATACGTTGCTTCGGTTGTGATTTGAACAGTTTTAACGCATCCCAGTCTACTTCCTTGTGGCACATCGGACACAGGGCTAGGCCTAATGCTTGGCCATTCTCTTTCGCTGCAGATTCATCGGTCTGCGACATTTGCATTTGCTCACAAGTTGAAGAAGTTGGGGACGAGAGAGGTGAATCATCGTCAAGCAACATTGCTTCGTATTCTTCGATCGTGTAGGGGCCGTGCGAGAAACTGGAATTTGAGTCTTCCCCGCCACGAGGTTCTCTGAAACTCGAATTTTCGATGTCCTTTGGCATTATAAAGGTCTCTTCTGGTTCTTTGGGGGCTTCCTCGACTGGCGATGGCTCTTCCACTTTCGCGGCCGACCGTGGGCGTGGGGGGAATGATGGCCTGTTGAAGTAAGTGTTCTTCTTGGACGAGTATTTGGTTGCTCTAATCCGTTTGTGGCTCTGCGAAGAGCCAGAGAAGAACAGCGGGTCCTCATCATCAGAGCCTGTCATTGCGCTGAGAGTCCGCGCAAAATCCCCTTTGCGAGAGTATCCACTATGAGTATGTGGACTGCTGTATTCACTATTTTTTCCTTGCGCAAGCTTCTCTTCCAAAGTCATACTAGTATAGTTCATCTCTTTACGAGGCGGGGAAGCCTCGCTATCGCTAGCTTGCTCTTCGTCAGAGCTCAGAGGATCGGCATCGGTGTCGACATCTGGCATTTTCTTGCTAGGTTGAGCGGCGCTTGATTTCGGGTCTTCCTCTTCCTCTTCATTGATGCTGATAGGTGGGGAGCTGAGAGGTGCGGAGCTGAGAGATTCGGTGTCTGTATCAATGTCTACCTTGTTCTCGATACTAGGTTGAGCTATGTCTGGCATGGGGTCTTCGACTACCTCTTCGTCTGAGCTCAGAGGTTCAGCATCTGTATCAATATCCAATATTCCCTCAATGTTATGCCGCGCATCGTCCGTTTTGGAGCCTTCTGCTTCCTCTTTATCGGAGCTCAAAGGCTTGGTGTCAGCACCAATTTCCAGCTTTGTCTCGACACTAGCTTGAACAGCCTCCTTATCAATTGTCGCGGTGTTGATTATCGCATCTTTAGGCTCAGGTTTATTGAAATTAGACAAAAGATGTCCGCGGGGAGCATTCCTCCTCGTCAGGCGAATGGTCCCATAGCTGGAATCGGGTTTGGCCTGAGCTGCCATGGTGGACAGTGGAGAATTTCAATTACCAATCGTCAATTGTTGACACCAATTGCGGGTTTGAAAGCTAGCCAAAAAGGACTCTAGTTTGGGTTCATGTGAGGCGCGTTGAGGCTGGGAGAAGTTCGGGCTCGGAACGGGGTGACGCGTTATTCGTGTTTCAACTCTCCACGCGCGAAGGTGTCTGCGGTCTGGTTGAGAGTGAAATCTCGAGTCGGTGTTTGGAATTTTTCGGTTGGAACAAAGAACGCTCGAGTTTCGAGAAGAGACAATGCGGATACCCGTTGAGGGGAAACGCGTGACACCTGAAAATCAACTTCACTTTGTACCTCCCACACCAACTCCTGTTCTTTGACACGTCCCCTTTTATTCGGTTTTTCTTGGATATTCTGGATCTGATAGGAACAAGAGGGGAAAGGGAATTGTGGAGCTCCAGAAACTCTTTACCAGTTTCGCTTTCAATTTCGATATGCTGGGATCTTTGAGACCCGTTTGTTTGACTCCCCTCTACTGTGATGTGTGGCCTTATGTTGGCTCTCACGGATATAGCTATGTTTGTATTATTCCTTGCGGTGTCAAGAGAGTGCATAGGTAGCTCGAAAATTAACACAATCCGGCCTACAAAGCTCTAAGCGATGGGAAGATTCAATGTATGGATGGTTGGAAAACCTATCAATGGACATATATACAAATCAGATCATAGCCAAGCCAGGCACAGCTGTGCAAGGTATGCACCTCATTAAGTGTCTGAAACTGAATCAATGGAAGAAAATTATAGAAAGAGGGAAGGAAAACAAGAGGAGAAAGACTCGACATTATTCGAATGTCATTGAGATCTCACCGTCCCGATGTCCCTGGTCAAGGTCCGCCCAGGCATTGGGCTCCATGGCCATAGCCCCGAGGGCACTGGTACCAACCGTCGGCATTGTAGCAGCAGTTCTCAACTCTGGACGAGTGTGAAGGTCGTCGTTTCTGGATCGTGGGGAATCATGGAAGGATGTGTCAAAGGTCATTTCCATATCTTCGTGTCTCGCTGCGGGAGATAATTCATTGTGCCCGCGAGGAGAATACTGCCCCGACGCCTGCGGGGGTAGCGAAGAAGTTCGAGAAACAGCTGGAAGTTCGGGCGTCTTGGGCCTCTTGGCAGTAGGGGGAGAGGGCGGTGGTGGTTCTGACGGAGCGTTCAGGTCTAGCTTCATCAGAGGCATAGTTGACTCCAATTCTTTGACCTCGATCGCCTCGGAGTGCAACTCGGCTCGAATGGCCTCGATGTCGAAGAGGACAGAGCCGGGGGTGCTTTCAGTCGTCTCACTTGAATCGCGAGGGGCGGCGTTTTTGTCGACATCATACATTTCCCACTTCTTCTTTTCGGCCATCTTGCCTCGCTTGAACAGGCCGAAGCGCTTCTTCTCTGGCTTCGCCTCTGCTTCTCGGCGAGCTTCATCGATCTCGCGAATCAACTCGCGCTGTCTTTCAGCGTGGTTATCTGGGTCCGGATCCTCGATTTCTGCAAACTCATCGTCAAGGACCTCCCAGCCAACTTCCCTCAGAATTCGCGGCATAGCCGTACGGTAAGCCATATGGCCATTCACAAGCGAGGTGATATCAAAGTTTTCAATTCCTGGTATACCTTCGACGGCTGCAAGGCCGGCGACTCTCATGATGCCACCACTTGTTGCCCGGAAAAGGTAGCCCAGGATCCAATCATTCGTGGCGTAACCATTCACAAATCGCCCAGACACAACACTCCGAGCCTTGAGGTATTCATCTTTGTTCGCCACAATGGGTGAGCCAAATAGGTATACGTTCTGGATTAGCCCGTGGGCGCCCTTTTCGGCCAGCTCTTTCAAACAGGAAAAGATGACGCGCGCGCCGAGAGAGAAACCGAGCAATGTGATAGGCCGATTGCCAAGGTTCCGTTCTCGTAAGGAATCAGCCATAATGAGACCGGCTGAGTTGGCGCGTGCCAACGAGACGATCCAGGGGTTGTCGATCAAGTATGCGAGTTTGGTGAGGACAAGTGGTAGCTGCAAGGATGCCACCAGCGCCATCAGAACGGTGCTACCTAGTACTTGTTGTAGACCTTGTGTTAATGCCTAAAGAACCAGTTAGTCTATTAACAATGATTACACAACTTGAACAACTTACCTCTGTTGCCAGGATGTTGATAGTGTCACCCATGCTTCGAAGCATTTCAGGCTCCCATAGCACGGAATAGATATCGCCCATAATCGGATCGACAGTACTGAAAGGTAGACGGACATCATCAACTTTGCCAGTCATCCAGCCAGAGACCGTCACAATCAGGTTGACCTTCTTATTATTATGAAGAGGTCGATATTCAAACGTTTGAACTGCACCCATACGTCGTTTAGAAGCTCTCATTCCAATGGTACTTCCACCTAGAGTAGCACTAGAAGCGATCAAAGCCGTGCCGCCAGCTCCTCCGAGGAATGCACTGGTTCCAGAGATACCTACTGTAGTAAACCCAGCAGCAAGACCAGCTCCGATGACAGGTGCCAACAGTCCGGCGGAAAGGCCGATGACCAGTCCGCCACCGACCGTCGCTAAACCCATAATCATATATTTGCGTTTCAAGGCCATCTTGCGGCGCTTTTCCATGTGGTCTGACTCATCCCAGTTCTCTTTCTCGGCTTGCTCTTGCATTTCGAGGGAGTCTGTGACTCGCTTTTCGAACCGTGAGATCTGTAGCCACGTTACATCCAAAGCTGCGCCCACCTTTTCTAAAAGAGTTCGCGACCGAGCATCGTATGCCGAATTTGCGATAAGCACAAGGAACAGGTCACAGAGGACAGTCCAGCGGAGATCGATATCTATGCGATCAGAGGTTGGCATCTCAGAAGGCATCTTGACCTCCGGAGGCTCCTCGGTCTCGTGGGCCTCGTATGGCGGAGGGGGATCTAGTTCAGACGCATCCGTCTCTGCGGAGATCCTAGATGGAGAGTCCAATTTTCCACTCGACATAGAAGTTTTCGGCTCACTCTCTGCCATGGGGTTTTTAACACGCGCATTCTGCATGAGCGGTCGCACCAGATCTTCTGGTTGCACCCCATGCTCCGCGAGCTGCTCAATCATAATCTGCTCAGCAGAATTGATATCCATATGAGCATAGACTCGCCCCATGATTGCCTGGCCCCATTTTCGCATAGCATCCGAGGCTTTCTGCATGGTTTTGCGTGTGGACTTGGTTGTGGCAATTGACGCTAAATCATGATTCATATTATGGATTGCCAACCTGACAACCCCCACATACGCAATCTTTTGAGTCTCGTTGAGAAGGTCTTTGGTGGCCTGGAGCTGGCTGATGGTATCTCGTAGTTCCTCGCCAACTAGACCAGCAGAGTTGCTACCTGCCTCTCGGAATAGGTAGCTTGTATCATCATCTAGACTTGTGGCAGACTGGGCATCATCGTCGAGTTGCACCCGAGTATAGCCCCTCCCTGCTCCTCCTAATCCTTGGTATACAGCCTCGTCGCCTTCTTCTTTGGAGCCGCGAGCAATGAGTCGCCCATAATCGTCATAGTAGTCGAATTCTCCAAGCGCAGGCATCGTTTGCCATTCATCGGGCTCTGCCTCCGACTCTTCACTCTCGGGCTGATGTGCATCAGGTTGGGCGAGGCGCTGGTGGGACCATTCCGACACCTGGGCGGGTCTTTGCTTAGAAGTTGAGATCCGAGGCTGAACAGGAGCATCAGATGCCTTTGCATTTTCCTGGGGTGCAGGCGAAGTGTCCTGGGCCCCTGCGACTTTGCTTCGCTCTTCCGTATTATTCGGATTCGATGGCTCGGGTGCCCCTGATTCTAGCTTTTCCTGTGACAACTCTGGCTCTTTCACCTTTTTCACGGCGTCACTATAGCCCGTTGCACTCACAGTCACATTCTGAATATCTTGGCTGGCATTCTCCCCTTCGGGGGACTCGCTAGGTGTGGGGTTGGGTCGGCGTGGTCGAATGGGAAGGCCAAAATCATCTACTTCATCTGATGCGGGAGGGTCTTGTTTGGCAGGCCCTGCAGCAGGTTCGGATGCTACCGATTGAGGCGCTGTGCCTTTTGTCTCCTTTTCATTCTGCTCTGTGGGGGAAACGTCCCTTGTCGGTTGGGGTTGCGACGAATGGGGGGCGTTCGGGGAAGGTATAGGAGGGTCGGAGGTGTCTACGGTGACACCCGAGGCTGCAGTCATGATCTCATGGATTGGAGGCTCCTAACGGCCCCAAGGTGGTGTATCGGATCCCAGTCCCTTGCGTCCTCACGTTCCTTCGCGATACTTTCGGGAGCTCACCCATTCGGCCTCACAATTGTTGAAGCTTTTGAGCTCTTATCTGGGTGTGTCTGCCTTATCACGAGTTCCCACGTTCAATGGTGGGCCAGTGGTCATCGGACAAGGCAATCTCCGCAGATGACGGTGTGCCACGCGGTGAAAAAGGAGGGGCGGAGCGGAGAGTTCAATTAGCACAGAGCCACAACACCACAAAGGATCAGAATCAAATTTTGTAATTAAAGAGTTATAGAAAGATTAGGAGTTTCGGGGGAATTAGGCAACTAGCAAAAGGAACAGTTGAGGGACCGAAAGCGGAAAATGCGCCCATCGGGTCGCTAAATAAACAACTCTGAATGAAAACAGTAGATATTTGCATTCTTTTGGATATTTTGAATATTCTCTCTTAATTCTATATATTCTACTATGAAGGTTTCACATTTAAAGCCAATGCTTGTATCCACCTCGGAATAGTTGTCTACCCCATACGCATGTTTGTGGCTTATTGTATTAGACAAAGTATGAAAAAGCCCCTGAATTGGAGATATCCGATCTCTTTGATGACAAAGGTTTACCTTCCAATACAAAGAGTTATAATACGAGGTCATTGCCACTGTGCTTGGCTCTGGAAGAAAACCCGGGTAACGACCAAGGGGTCTTTCATCGACATCCGAACACCTCTGGTAGAAAGTCCGCCCTTTCGATACGGGCGAGGCGATGTCTTCATAAGTAAATTCAAGGCGAAGAGCGGAGAGAAAACCTGTTGAGGCAGTGCCGGGGTACTTTTGCCCGGGAACTGTGTGAAAGGTAACAAGGAAAAAGCATAAGATCGACTCCGCCCGTCCTCGTAAACCAACGAGAAGGCTGTAAAGTAGAGATTATGACGCTATAAATCGCGGGGGTACAAACAGAGAACCCCCGTCCAAATGCAAATGTCAGACGTGAGTCACTTGACGTGCAGAAGGTTGCGGCTCTCTAGGTCCTTGGCAGAAGAGTAGCTTGGAGTTTATGATCTGGGAAAATCCACGTCTTTGTCCTGCATGATTTGAAACCACCAACTTCATTATGGCACAAGGTATGACTTCTTCTTTTGGGAAGTTGAATGCTACTAATTAGGACCTCTATGTCTAAAGGCTCACAGGCTTCTATTGTCAAGATCGCTGGTGCAGGGTTTCGGCTCTCACTGCTTCTGAATGCTGCCGCTTGTCAACTCGCTCAGTCCAGGCTAGAAATTCATAGTATCGCCAAGGGAATCTCGCTTTTCGCTTTGACGCTCAAACATGTTGGGCAGACTATTGAAGGCACCGATGTGGATCAGTCTCCAGAGGCAACAGAGAAGGCCTGGGAGATTGCCGGACAAGGCCAGATGATATTCATCGAAATCGAACACATGCTAGACAAGCTGAAGGCAACCGATAAAGACAATGATCTGATGAGGATCTCACTACAAGAAAGACTCAAATGGTGCTTCCGGAAGCAGCATGTCACTTATCTGCTCGCCCAGTTGGAATCTCTTAAGCTCAGTTTGATTGTCATGCAACAAACTCTACAGCTTGGAAGCATTATTAAATCCAATGTCGACGATGGAATTGATACTGATTCTCTCGCATCCACCGCCGACGATACCATTGCTCAGGAGAAAGCGGAAACTCAGAACATGATCATCGTCCGATATTGGTCTGTCAAGCGCCTCGAGCGCTTGTGGGATCTTGTGGAACAAGAGACTCAAGATGCCGCCAATGATTCGACAAATCAGAGGATTAGTTCCAATTACTCGTCCAACACGGCACGCTCGATTCCGATAAGACTGCCCATCATTACTATTGGAGACAGTAACGTGGGACTGAGTGACATGGAGAAATCCCCGAAGGATATGGTGCAACTATCTGAGAGCACATTGAACCGGCTGCTTTCACTCTGGGTGCCTTTCATTGACCCATCGAAACTACGTCACACTGGTAAAGGCTTCAACACATCAAACAAGCTAGTCCAACCTCGAGTCTATGTTTCTTCGGACACCGAAGAAGAAGATGCCGAAGAGATAGACTTGCATAGTAACGACAACGGAGGTTACTATCTCGAAGGATCAACACTGGACTGGAGAGACCCTCATTCACAGGAGGCCCGACAGCATGCAGCAGAGCTACGCCGGAAGTACTCTAGCTACCAGGCTCGTGTTGAAAGCGAACCAGAGCCGGATGAATATCCCAAGCATCGAGATACCCCTCGTAGCGACTCAAGAGTGATCGACTCAAGTGACGAGAGCGATCCCAGACTCGACACTCTTCGGCCATCACACAGCACGAACCCCACGCAAGGCCGTCGGTTCCATTCCAACAGCTTCTCATCTGGATATGCTCCGAGTCACAACAATCCCGACAGCAGGCCCAACTACCCAAGCGGCAGCTTCCCACCACCGAATCATACTTTACCCCGTCCTCCACTACCTTCACATGCGCAGCGAGGTGTTCCCCAGCCATACAAATACTACCCAAACCAAGACTACGCCACAGCCCCCCGATCCATCCCAATGAACATGAACCAACCCAACCCAACCACTATTCCCAATACCAACCCCTCTCCCAGAGGCCCATCGCCAAATCAAGTCCATTTCGAGCCTCGAAACCAGGCATACAATGTCCCCAACAGCAACAAACTCCAGCCCCGCCATTATTCATCCGCATACCCGCTTTCGTCCTCATCTCCCGAGTCTAGCTTCCGAGCCTCGCCGCCTCGCTCGGGTCAACGGTCCCCGTCGTCGCATCCACGCCGTTCCTCTCGTGAAGACGCAAGAGATCGACATAAGGCGTTGACTCGTAATGCTACGAGGGGATTGGTTGGCATCGGGGCTATTGCTGGCTTTATGGATGCGTTGGAGGCATTTTCAATTCTGTGATAACATTACTTTACTTTTACCCCTTTTCTTAGGTTTCGGTGTACTGGGTTCATTGATTTTTTCCCCTGGGGTTGAATAGACCAAGTGGTTCGTCCTGGTTTCGGTTTGCTTTTTTGATATCCATGTTCTATCTATGCAATGAATTTACGAACCTGTGTTGAATGAGACTATTTGCACATAATATGATTAATGATTTTCCTTTTCATTAGCACATATTTACTACTTTGCTACTGCCTGCTTATTCGGATTCTGTATAGATCCCGTGGGCTCGAGCTCCCATGAGTGTCTCATACAACACCCCTGCGAATAGCAATAAAACAATATATCATATTGGAATAAATGATGCATCAACCAGTTAAACCAAGAAATATCAAGACCTATCTTCTTTTCACATCAAACTCGGTCCCCGGTTGTTGGCTCGGCATCAACTCTTGGATACAAGTACAACACCAAGCCGAATCAAAAACTCATCCCTATACCCATACGGCAGAGAGTATACTCCGTAGCGAAGAAAGGAACGGCCAAGGCCCCGTAATAACCCACAGCAGACCCATGTTCGCTATATCCTCCATCAAGGATCGCCGACGGTTCCATCGCGGAAGTTCCGATTCTCCCGAGGCTCCGACAACACTTTGCAAAGGAAGTTGTTTCCGCTTAAATGGGTTTGGTTTAATATCCGTTGTTTCTTAGAATACTACCTCTTTGTTGGGGGCTTCTTTTTCTTTTCTTTTCTTTTCTTTTCATCTTGATTGTGTAGTTTTGTTGGCCATCGCGATTATGAGCATGTTGCCTTTCAGGTTATATACTCCGATATCCCATTTATCAGCGTTGAGTACAGAAGTATTGGATTGAGCTATACTTTTTCAGATATTCTGCATCTTCTTCTCAAATACTGGTAAGTATAACATAATCCCTGTTACATGATAGGACTACGCGATACCCTTTGAAATATTAACAACCTGATATGTATATACAGTTCAGACCTCTGATCTATGACATTACATAGACTCCCGTGTGCATCCCGAGGTCCGCTTTTGATCTCAATCTCAAAACTCAGGCAATGGCTGCGTCCCAAAAATACTCCCATCAGGAAGCCACCCATCCAATTCCATCCCCGCCCTAGCCATATGCTGCCCAGCAGCAGCCGGCATCCTCTGCGGCTCATACGAAAATTGCGGCGGTAACGTCTGCGCCAGCGAGACAGGAGGCTGATATCCCACCGCGCCCATGGGATAGAAATGCGGGTTATGTCCACTATCCATAGCCCACATACCGGTGCCACCCATTGCTACATACCCATCGCGCATGCCGTCTACCGGCTGCATTGGGGGCATAGGAACGGGGACAGGAAACGATTCCATCTTCGAAACCTGACCCAAATGCGCATCCTGGTTTTGGCCTTGACCTTGGCTAGAGTGTGATGCCGGACCTGATATCGATTCCGCAGTGCCGGTCGATGGACTCGCCGATACAACCCGAGAACCAGCTTCCGTTCCACTATACCGTCTCTCCAGCCGCTCGTACCAATCCCGACCCTTGACGCCCACGACGTGGTACCATCGACTGGGGATATTGTATTTGCCCCCGCCGCTGGCCTCGCCTAGCTTGCTGGCTAGGGCGTCGAGGTAGAAGGCTACGTTCACGGTCTGTGGCGTGATGACTTCGCCGAGAACACCGGTTCGCACGGAGAAGTGAATCTTCAGAAGCGATGTCACGGCCATGACGAACCGGGTGTACATGAGATTGGGGATTTTACGCAGCGTGTCTGTGCTGCAGGTCAGCACGGCGTCTAGTAGCTCCTGTGCGGCGTTCATCCATTTCATGTTGATGTCGATGCGGATTGCGCTGAGTGTGGCGTCTGGTGGTTCCCTGTCGTTGTTTTCTTCGTCGAGGGTTGGAAGCGTGAAATATCGTCGCTTTAGTGAGTCTGGGTCGCGGTAGCCTTCTCCTACGCCGAGTTCGTACATTGCTAGTGCTGTGGAGCGGTATTCAAGGATCATGGGAACTGGTTTGATGGATTTTGTTAGTATTGGATGAGTCAAGCGAGAGGACTGGCGTTTCTTACTGGTGAGCATTTCTGATGGGACGTTCTTCTTCCACGTTTCGATCCGCTTGTCAAACCAGCGCAGCACGGCTTGGACCCGCGACTCGGTGAGGGGTGATGTGGTGCTGGTGTCATCCAGACCGAATGAAGACATTGCTTCGTCGGTTATTCGTTGGAGCTCGAACCATATTGCCACATGTTGATCCGTTCGATGTGGCGAGTTTTCTAGGTGTTTGAGACACTCGCTCATCCAGTCATTGAACTGGAGTAGATTTGGCCGACGGGTTTTCATCGCAACACTTGAACCGAGATGGTAGCAGCCGAGGACTGCTCTCGCCTGCTCAGCCAAAAGCTCGTCGTGCGGCTCCTGCCGGCTGCCCTTGCGAGTGGACTTTTTCGAGACACGACGTTTATTAGCTAACCCGATTTCCAGCGCCATTGTCGAAGCGATGTGCGTGTACTGATAAAGCTGCAGTTTCAATGGCGATGCGGGCGGGAGATAAAATATGATCATCAGCAACAGCGCTTGCACTAACTCTAGTGACTTTTCGCCTTCGATAAAGAACCGCTCTGCATAGAGACGGACCATCTCGCGGTTCAGCACGGCTGCCAGGCCTGCATCGACGGTGATGGATGTCGCAGCAATCACGGAGAGAAAGAGTATTGGCTTTGTTTGACGCAGTTGAGCTGCCGTGGTATTCGAAGGTAATACGATCAACGGAAAGAAAAATGCAAGTTCGTGAATGAAATACGCCACTAATTGCTCCGCATCTTCAAGAGAGATAATCCCCCGATCGATCACATCGTGCGTCGGAGGAAGCCTCTCATGCTCTGACTCAAAGCCAGCTGGCATACCTGAGAAAGTCGGCGGCCCCGAAAACGCACTACTATCATGCGTACCGGGGTGCGGGGTATTCAGTAATTCAGGGGAATAGTCCGTATAACGTACATCCTCGGACGAATGAGTCGGATGGTCCCGCAAGGCGAGACTGCTTTCCATATCTGCTGATTCATGATCCTGATCATCCGCGTCGCTGTCATCATCGGAATCCGGATCTTCTTCTTCTTCAGGGATACGATTTTTTAACAGCGAACGCATCATCCGCATCTCCTTCTCGAGCTGGGCGACGCGGGAATCCGTCCGCTTCCGGGGCCGCCGTCTCTGCGGTGCCACGAAGACACAAGATCGCTTGCCTTTAGCACATCGTTGGCATTGATTAGGCGTAGATGGGCTGGGGAGACAGCGGACTTTGAGACTTCGACATGACTCGCAGGATCTGTTTAACTGCTGGGCTGATCCTGAGGTGCTTGATTCGCCTTGGGTTGTAGAGGTCCCTGACATGTTCACATACACTCAGGCCAGAAATGGGGTATGGAGAAGTTTCCCATAAATTATGAGGTGGCCTCCAATGGTACGAGTAACGATTGTTACAGTGTATTTCGAGTCATTGTATCGAGGTGAAAACCGTGCAATGGGGGGACTGACATGGAAGTTGAATCGACAAAAAGTCTCCGATAGATTTCAATGCCAGACCCCACAAGGATTTTGAATAAGGAATTCAGGGATTATCATGTGAAAACTAGAAAAATTATTCGAAGCTTAAAGCAAAAAGATGCTAAAGCGCTCAGGGAAGGCTAGAAGCCCTGGAGAAGTGGAGAGTGTAAGAATCCTCTCTCCACGCTAAACAGATCGAATAAAATACATATCAGTACATTAGAGTAATCTTACCCGTATATGGTAGGCCGAGATGGGCTTTTCCTATTTTAGCGCTTACCCCCTTGCTGCTTTTCCCGGCCCGAGAAATCCACTGATCTCTGAGATATGTGGTTTCCTATCTTGGTAATTCAACCCATCAAGGCTCCAGGGCTGAGACAGACAAAAACAAACGGAGTTCATATGTAGCCAATTATCATTGTTACCAATGATATGAACAGTTATTAATAAGGTCGCCCCGCCGATCCAGATATTACAGACTTCCAAGGTTGGTATGGAGACATATTGAGATGCTTTTAGGATGAGCATATATTTACGAGAGAACTTCATTTAGATTAGAGGGGCTTGGTTTTTCTTAGCTGTATTCAGCTGCAAGTGGAACCTAAATTGGTCGAGGCTCCTTTATACAAGAGAGTTACTCCGTAGAAGGATCAGGATTGCACTGCCCAGGTGCCTTTCCTATATAATTTTTTTTTTTTTTCGTTCTAGGGACCGAACTGTTGGGTCCATGGTTATCCAGGTGGAACCCCCAAAGCCACCACAAACTCCAATGCTCTCAGGGCTGAAAATAATTCCAAATATTGAAACTAAAGCGGCACCCTAAGGAAAATATAATATCCGGTATTGTTACATACTAGTATTCAAGTGATCTACCCATATTAATATCTCACCTTTAGGGCTGTACAGTGGCTTAAACAGGCATCAACGTATTCCACGGAGATACTAAATTACATATAAATGAAAATATGAAGATTAAAAGCATAAAGCTAAACATGGCGAATCATTATGTCATCTCATCCCCACTGAAAAGCCTTGATTCTGACTTGGTTGTTGGCAGTGCATTTCCCAGTGCATTTCTCAGTCCATTGGCTCATCGAAAGTGTCCGACGGCCACAACCGATTACCCAATCGGTTCATGCGCTGTTTATTCTCGCTATAACTTCCTATTTGTGGGAGGTTTGAGGGAAATAAATATGAGTTCACACCTTTGGGGCACAAATAGAGTTAAGGTCCTGATTTTTTTAGGTATATCACGGTGTTCATCAAAAAGTGGAATGAAACTGTCACCGGACAATTCTCCGAATACCCCGGTCCGTCAACATAACACCGTGTACTCTATCCAACAGGATAGTTAAATATTGTCCTCGACAATGAATATTAATAGTATAACATAGCCATTGAAGGTCCTCGTATATCCCATATTTGCAAATATCCATTGTTCGGCATTATTAGCCCTGTAAACAATTGACACCAAGTGGATGAGCCAACTCGTATACGTATAAGCATGTGACAGTGGACTCGACTAGTCTCCCTTGAGGCAAGCTGATTTTCTCGGTATGCCGGACAAGTGGGCCTTTGGAACCTTCGAGTAGAGGGAGAGAAGTTGTTTATCATGTGCTAGTGTTAGATGTGGATTTGAAGCTGTGGGATGTGATTTCCAAGTCCAATCAGTATATCAATGCTAGTTTATTAAGGAAACTTATGCGGTTCCTCGCGGTTAATAAGTTGTAAAGTAGTTTGATCCCTCGTATCCACCTCTGTGACTTGACAAGCGTTTTTAGCGCATATTCCTCACGGCGATGTCCGTTATGGAATAGACAGACATATCGACATTATTGGACATTGCTTTTGTAACCAGCTCGCCTTTTTTCTTTTAAAGTTATCTTCGGGTATAACATTTTCCTAGACGTTGTGAAGGGAAATGTGGGCTTACCCTTATAACCCGGGAAACGGCATTGTCACGACCTCTTAAGATACCTCTCTTCCATGCTACATAATAGTGACCAGAAGAAAGGGATATAGTTGGATTGGAAAAGAGGACGAAACTCCTGAACTATTACATATGTACCTTGCGACTGTTACGGCCCGAGGCACCACTGATCGCCGAACACTTTCAGGTTGATCCAACTGACAATTGGAGCGGCCAGCCGTGCGTCCATTACTACCAGTCATGATGCTATCCGACATCGTGGGGAGAACGGCTCCACTCTTCATGATCGCACAGTGGCTACGGCTGAAAAAGAAACTCGATCCACTTATAGTCGACGCCAGGAGTCAAGACTAGAACTTGAAGAAATCGAAACCGTTTTTCCAAGGCAAACTTGAGTTTCAATGCCTCCCTGCTATGGTTGCAAGCGGGAAGACCCGCCGACCGGAGTTGAAGCTCGGGTCCGGCACTTCTTCAAGCGACCAGTGCACAACAAAAAAGGCTTACTTCTTTCACACTCTTGCATGATTGGTCAACTACAAGCCGTGCATATATTTAGTTCCGAAATGAGCCACAAATTGCTACCGTTGATCAATCGAGTCTGGGGAGGATCTACCCTCCATCCTCTAATATGCAGATGATGCATGTTTTGCGTTGCTGCAACGCATAACACAAACATGTGGGTTCATTGTTGAGGACGAGTGGGGTTTCGTCCGGATCTACTTACCCGAAGACGACTTTGCAGAACCGGTATGCTTAAGGGATCATGCTTTAAACTGAAGCTAGAGCTCGGCTAAAGTATCTAGCGAAGGTGAGTTCTTAGTTGAGATTGAACCATACTCAACCTTATATCTATCAGCTGGGCAGCGGTCAGCCAAGTGATGCTATAGGAGAGGCCGCGTATGCCTCAATCATTTTCTGAACGCCACGTTATATTCATAGCAGCCAACCTACCCCCTATGGTCTTGGGTTGGGGACGCCAACGCATATAGCGTTAGAGGTATGCGCGTCCCGGTCAGCTATAGGGCATCTCAGTGCGTAATTTGCGTTCGACACGCATATTTATGCCAAGATTGCCCACGCGACTCAAAAGACAAGCTCATTGACAAGTGGGGCAAGTCCGTGGCAGACTCTGCTGATTCGATCCATGGATACACTATCGATTTTGATGTTTGGTTTTCCAGTCAAATCAAATGAGCCGACGACTTCCATAGATGAACTACCGAACCAATCAGGCCTGGACTTTGAGGAACAATGGTCTAGTGTTCCAGTGGAAATGGAAGTTCTCATGGTTACAGGTCCAAACTGTTCAATTTCTTGACATCGCTTTTTTATCCGCTTTCCAGTCTTTCAATCTTTTACCTTATACCCTCTTTTCTATTTTTGATTTCCCCTTCTCTCCGTACGTTCTCTTATTCTATAATATTCACTACAATCTCCCGCGTGATCATCGAACGCCATCCGTCTTGAAAGAGATACAGCACGACTTGGATTTGTCACCGCACCTTCGGCGCTCATTATGCATATTATTACCCGGAGCATGAAGTATCGGATTATATGAATATCGAATACAGAATGCGGTCCCCAGTCACCGGAGTCTTGTGGCTCTATGGACTCATTTTGGCAACGACTATTTCCGAAGTCTGCGGAGATACAGAACCGAATTTCTTGAGCGTGCGGAAGAACGTAACAAGAGAGTATAAAAGTGAACGTGAGATACCAACGGAGAAATACTTTCGTAAGTACAATTGATCTACAATTCTCACGCAGCCTAGTTCATAAGGCCATGGGACCATGGAGCTCTTATTAAATCCTAACTGACTCGCGTGAACCCCGTAGATGAATTAGAGTATGTCAAACATTTTCCTTCTTTTCAGCCGCACCGGACATGATCAAAACTAACATAGAATACTTAGATTCAATCATCACTACGACGACCGGTACGCTCGCTCATCCTTCACCCCCAAATCCGATGCTAACGCTTCTCAGATACGCCAATGCTAGTCTGCCAGATAGGAAAGTCATCCCATATCTCTCGGACCTAGTCCAGACATATTTCACAACAATGAACGCAATCGGCGCAGAAACGTGGATTATGCATGGGACCCTCTTAGCATGGTGGTGGAATCAGAAGGTGGGTTAATGGATATCAAGGTGCAACAAACTATCTAACCAGTTATATAGCTCTTTCCGTGGGACGACGATCTAGACGTGCAGATCTCGGAAGCAACGATCCATTTCTTGGCAGAATACTATAACATGACCGAGCATTATTTTGACCTCCCCAACGTCGACGGTGGCCGTAAATACATACTCGACGTTAATCCCAATTATGTCGTCAAATCAGAGAGAGACACTCTGAATAAGATTGATGCCCGCTGGATTGATATGTCGTCAGGACTGTTCATTGATATCACTGCTGTTCGCAAGGATGAGGCTAGCCGGCTGAATGGACGTCCGGAAGCGCTTATGTGCAAGGATAAGCATAACTATGATGTGGGTTGTCTGTTCGTGCTGTTTGTTCATTCTCGCTAATGGGTACATAATATAGGAGAGTGACATCTTCCCGCTGCGTGATAGTTTCTTTGAGGGTGTTCCGGTCAAAGTTCCATACGCTTATACATATATTCTCGAAGAAGAGTATGGTCCGATAGCGCTCACTCGGACAAGTTTTGGAGGGTAAGTCCTTAATAGCTGCGTATTATAGCTATTATGTTGATTGGCTAACTCGTTTTAGTTACATCTTCAATGAAAGGACCAAGATTTGGGAGTCGTCGTGATTCTTATAGCTACTATATATATAGATTATTGGCTCATTCTCTTTACGCGTAAAAACAAGCCCTCCCTTTGACGAGGCTTACACAGTAACAATTTACATATACACAGCCCTACGATCCTTCGTACCGCAGAGGCGAAGCATGAGTAGACCGCCGGGCGCGTTCCTTGAATACATCTCTTCTTGCATATATCTGACGTTGGTATATTTGAGCTGGAGCTGATAATGTATATGAAACACTATCTAAGCATCAAGTATCCCGAGGTCTGGTATTACGCCCACGGCTTTTCATGTATTGATCGGAGATAACGGTATTTGGCCTAAACGGGACCCCGCCGGAGGCTCCCCCATAGGCCCGAGCCAATACTGCTCTCATGTGCACGGCTGGACACCTTCTCTCGCACGCGAGTTCATAAGAAGGGTGACGATTCGACTGTATAGGCCTTACGCATGTATTAGCTTCTCATTCTGAGCCAGAAGATATGATCTCGTTGTTACCAGGAACTTCAGCGAAGATGAGTATCAGAATGATGCCAACATACATTTTTGATTGCTGAGCTGTTCCACGAACTACGGCATCACCAGCGATGCCAATAGCGAAACTAGGATCTTAGCTATGTCTCGGGATTTATTTTATACAACATACCCAGATGCTAGGCCATCAAGACTGACGGAAAGACCCGCAGTGGATCAAGCCTTTATATAAGGCGAGACTCGCTTTAGATCATTAGCGACAAGAATGGAGACGACTAAGCCATAGACTCGATAACACCAGCCATACCAGTTCCGTAGGCAGCGCCGAAGCAAGCGAAGACAATTGCGTTGGCGTAGCCCATAGAGCCAATAAATGGCCAGGGTCCCATGGTTAGCCACTTAATCGTGGTAATGAGTTTAGATATGGTAAGGGACCGTCTTGCAAATTGATCCAGCTATTTGAGCGCTTAAGATGGACAGCTTAGAGAGATGTAAGAACACAGTATTAAGAGACGGATGTTACCGACATTAAGAGGTGAGCAATATTGGATTAGATGCTCTATCAAGCGCTGGAGGTAGGGATTACCCCGGTGCCAGAGCCCCCCCGGAAGGTGGCCCCCGCGGCCCCCAACTAAGGCCCTATATAATGTTAGGCACCTGTGTTCCAAAATACTTGTTTTAGTGGGTTTCAGGGTTCAATATATTGATTTGTCACTAGAATCTTTTTTTAATATATATTAGTTAAAGCTCTACATATGCTGCTAACTACATCTGTACTAAATGGTGTTGATACGCTCTACCGTCATACGGTATTAGTCTCGTATTACTTCCCGTATCGGAGTTTTGCGATCTGATTACACTTTTTCCCTTTCGAGTCATTTCTTGCTTTCTTACTCGAAAGCTGGACTTTGAAGAATGTGGGGGATGACCAAACTTTCATGATCTCAACACTATGTCGCTCTCTTCAGCTTTCCCAGAGGAGCTGAGCCTTCCTTCTCTCAATAATTCTCCGAATACCTCTCTACCTACGAATTTGACCGCCACCGCCCCCCGCCAAGCGGCTACGGAAGCCCAGAGCTCGAGCTCTCGCAGCTGTGTGACCTGCCGTCGCAGGAAAGTCCGGTGCGATAAAAGGTCTCCGTGCTCAAATTGTACCAAAGCTGGCATCGACTGCATTTTCCCCCCTCCTGGCCGTGCCCCGCGGAAATCGAAGCGGCCCCCAGACGCGGAACTGCTTTCGCGGTTGCGTCGTTTGGAAGGTGTCATTGATCATCTTAGGGGGAGTGGTAATACAGAAGGTGCATCGACCTCAGCTCAGGCGCCCTCTCCTACAACCGGATCTTCGACTTCTCGGAGCGAACACACTGCGCCCACGTCTGTTCCTGCGGAGCCACAGAACCAGGCTGAAGGGAGTGTCTGCCCGTTTGCAGAATCGGACCCGAAGAAACTTGCTCCCGATAAGTTTGAGAATGAATTTGGGCGGTTGGTCATTGATGAAGGTCGGAGCCGATATGTGAGCAATCGGCTCTGGACCAGTCTTGGGGACGAGGTAGATATCCCTCATGTGCTTTTGATACTCGGCGTACTTTGTACTGACATATCTTAGATTGAGGAACTGCAAGATATCCTTGATCATTCATCGTCGGAGGAAGATGATGCACCCTCACCAGAGTCCTCCCACTCGGGGTCACATGATGGCTTCCTTTTTGGATTCTACTCACTTTCACAGTCTCTTCGAGAGTTTCATCCTCCCATGCTCAAGGTTTCAGTACTTTGGGAAAAGTATCGGGAAAATGTGGCTCCTTTGATCACCATCGTACACCTACCGACTGCCAAAAACTTGTTTGCCGAGGCAGCACGGCACCCAGAAGCCCTGGACAAAAATTCAGAGGCACTGGTATTTGCCATGTATCTTTGCTGCATTGTCAGCATGAATCCGGCCGAGTGCTTATTCCAGTTTGGCGAAGACCGAGCTACTGCCGTCAAGCGGTACAGGTTTGCTACAGAGCAAGCGCTGGCAAAAGCCGGGCTCTTGAATACACAAAGCTTAGTCCTTCTACAAGCTGCTGTCTTGTTTTTGGTCTGCGTGCGACGAGAAGATGACAGCAGGTTTGTGTGGTCTATGACATCAATCGTATTACGCCTTGCTCAAAGCTTAGGCATACACCGGGATGGCACTAATTTCGCTTTGAAACCATTCGAAACGGAGATGCGGCGCCGATTGTGGTGGCATATCTCGCTGTTGGATATCCGCTCATCTGAAGATCACGGGACGGATCCGCTCATTTACGAGAGCATGTATGATACTCGGCTGCCATTAAACATCAATGATGATGACTTGACACCCGAGATGGAAACCCCCCCGGAAGAGCGAGAAGGCTTCACGGATGTTACATTCTGCCTCATTCGCTGTGAGATCACGAGCGCTTTGCGAAGAGCAAATTACTCGTGTCCCGGGTCCAAGATCCGTCCGGCTAACAGTCTACCGCCCGTAGAATTTGCCGGGCGGATGATTCAAATTATTAGTGATCGGTGTGAGCAACGGTATATCAGGCACTGTGATATGAACATCCCCGCGCAGTGGTGCGCCGCCACAGTTGGGCGTCTGATTCTTGCTAAATTATGGTTGATTGTCCACCACCCGATGACTCGAAAAGACAGCGGAATTAATATGTCGCAAGCAACTCGAGAGAGCTTGTTTCTGACTGCAATCGAGGTCCTCGAGTTTAGCCACTTGCTTGAAGCTGACCCCAAGACCTCCAAATGGGGCTGGCTGTTCCGGACCAATATGCAATGGCACGGAATAGCATTTGTTTTGGCTGAGATATGCGTCCGACCAATATGCCCTATTACAGATCGAGCTTGGAGCGCTGTCAGTGTAATCTACGCGGAATGGGCCGCGCATGCCACACATAAGAAGGGCATGTTGTGGCGGCCGCTCGCCGCCTTGATGAAAAGAGCTACTGCCACCCGGGCCAAGCAAAGGCAAAATTTGCTATCCAGTTTTGGACCAGTGCCCACCACAACAGAGCCCATTCAAGGCATCAGCAATAACGCCCTTCCCCGGATTCATATGCCAATGGGGATGCTGAATTCTCCCTCGACAGATCCACCCGTGACAAATACGCCCGACCCAGCAGCACCGATTACATTCGATGCAGACTATGATATCGACCTCAGTAATGGACCGTTGGGCGCTTTCCGAAACATGTTCCCTGACTCAAACATCCTAGCTACATCAAACGATATCTTTGATGCTCCACCTGCCCAGAATAATATCTCGGCACCAGACTTGTCCGCTAGCCTCCCCTACAACGCACCCATGATCAATCCGTTCTTGAATCAGACTCTTCTTCCCGATGCATCTCAGCTCAGCTGGGAGGAATGGGACAAAGTCATGCGTGATTTCCAGATGGATGTTGAAAATGACAATCCTCAGCCAACCAACGCAACTAATTTTACCGAATGGTTTGCTTAGCTTCTTATTATGGTGTTTCCTTTCTCGCCTGAAGCTGTGGCTTTTAATGATGTGATGATTTATGGCGTTGGTTACTGGATGATATCCCCCTCCCCTCACTGTTATTATACTCCCTCTTCTCTCTTATGCCTTATGTCGGCAACGTTTCGTCGTGTATACCCAGCATCAAACACAATGCGAAATCGAAACATAATTTGAATTCATCAGCCAATTATTCTACCATTAAACCATTAAACAAATAGAACATTCGTTATCACTCAATTGTATACTTCCAAATCGGTATCTATTCCACCACGTGACCACATTGATAACAAGCTCCAAGCTGGCATCAACCACCACTCCACTCCGCCATTGTCCTCCAATCTACCATCATTGCACCAATTTTCCAGTGAAATTCCCATCTGCACTCTGTGAAATCCATCCACTATCAATATCACACACCCAAACATCACCGGTCCCCCAAATATCAAAATCATGGCTCCCAAGCGCCACGCGGCCTCAACTACCTCCGCGGCATCCTCCACGGCACCCTCTGCGCCCATGCCCGCGTCCACAACGCCGAAACTCTCCTCAGGCCCAAATACCCTCAAGACCAATGCCTCAGCCGCTGAAATCGCCGGCCACGTCTGGCAGCAGTATGCATCCACAACGCCGCAGCGGACACTCCTCCTAGATGCATTCATGGCGTTTTTGGTTGTTGTTGGCGGATTGCAGTTCGTATACTGTGTTCTAGCAGGAAACTACGTAAGTCGAAGCTCCTAGCAAATGCTGTTGCAAGAAGCAGTTCTTTGCGTTTTCCCTCTTTGAACACTGGTCTAGACGACGTGCATGACTTGCCCTTGGAAATACATACATAGCTAACAATATCCCGCCCATTAGCCATTCAATGCCTTCCTTAGTGGTTTCAGTGCTGCTGTTGGTCAATTTGTTCTCACGGCGAGTCTGCGCATGCAAACTAGTGACAGCGGTACTAAGTCTGTATCGAAGCCGAGCTCTAAGGGTAAGAATGCGCGCTTTGCAGATGAGAGTGAAGAGCAGGGGACGGGTACTTCGCATGAGAGGTGAGTTTTTTGTTCTCTTATGCTACACGATTTTTAAGGTGAATACATGCTGATTCTCGTATAGGGCCTTTGCCGATTACATCTTCGGAAGCTTGATTCTACACTTTTTCTGCGTCAACTTTATCAACTGAGCTGTGCTCGGCCTGTGAAGCCTTCAATAACATGCTCGCTCATTCTGTCTTCTGTCTGGGTTTGGTTCGATCTCCAGATGTGTTGGGGAATGCTGTCTCTTAGATATCCTTCCGTGTTGGATTATTTTTAGCCAATCTTTGTTCTAGTCCTCTACGCTTCGTATTTGATCGAAGGTGAAAAACGTTGTTCATAACCTATCTACTTGAACAAGATTCACTTGTTGGACAAGCATATGGTATTCATATCACCTTAGTTCGGGGATAGCCCCGGTGTAGAGCAGATGATACTCAAGAGATGAGATGGATGGGAAGGCGATTGCGGGTATCGATTGAGCGAGATCCATCTATGTGGATTTAAAAGACAAGATGGTATTGTACAAACAGGGCCCTCAAGTCCCCGGTGCAGTTATTTCACACAAGACTAGAATGCTCGTCCTGGTCTCCGAGGCACTGTAGGCCTCTTAACCACACTGCCTCCAGCACCACCGCCGCGGGCTCCATCGCCACTAGCTCCAGGACGCGAGGAGGATGAAGATGAAGCAGTCAAACCGCCGACCCTACGCCCTGGTTTGATGAGAGGTTTACGCACGGCAGACTTTCCGCCAACCTCGATTTCTGTTTTGCGGCGGACGGGGTTGTTGCGTTCCTCCTCGCGCCGTTTCTCAGCGGCAGCACGTTCACGGTCAGCTGCCATTTGCTCTTCGATTTCCATGCGCTTATTGAACTCGATTTCGGTCACGCGGCGGTCGCGCTGCGAGTAGCCTTTCTCTTTGACGGAGTAATAAACACCACCAAGTTCGGCAAGCCACTAAAAGGAATGAGTTAGTTGAGTGCTAGGCGACGGATAGACGGAAATGGGGGCGTGGTAACTTACGTGAGGGTCAACGGCGGTCACTGTGGTCATGTATTCCTTGGCCGTCAGCATCAGCTCGTGGTAGACGACGAACTCGGGCATATGGCCGATGCCCTGAAGGGCACTTGTGGGATGGAGCACCATGGTCACGCTGGTGCGGAGATTGATGTACTCGCCCATGCCCTTTTGTCGTGCGGCTTGGTGGTAGTAACCCGAGCAAATGCACTTGCGGATGGTGTCCCAGTCTGTGCCACAACTGATGATAGGCATTTTCAATTTCTCCATGATGTCGAGAAGTTGATCTCGGACTTCCTTGGCACGTCGGAGCACTCTAGCATTCAGGAAGTGCTTGGCGCACCAGGCATCGGAGTAGCCGTTGGTTTTCCATTGAGTATAGACATGGAGAAGGGTCAAGTGGTCGGATTCTGGAACAATGAATTTCTCGCGAGCTGAATCGGCTTCCTCCTGTCGCTCTTTGGGACGATAAAAGACATTTGCAACCGAAAGCATTGAAACGATGGTTGTCATCTCCTCACTGCACTCATATTCGTCGGAGGCCATGATTATGAGCTTGGCGAGAGCGGGATCCATGGGGAATGGTGTCATGCGACGTCCTAGAGATGTAAGATCTCCCAGATTGTCCAGAGCACCCAGAGACCAGAGCTCGAAAAGAGACGTGGTTATTGTCTCTTGTGGGGGAGGATCCATGAAGTCAAAGTCCAAAAGGTCCTTCACGTTAAGGGATTTCAGTAAAAGAATGGTATTGGAAAGACTGGTTCGCTGGATCTCGGGAATCGTTTGAATGTAGAGCTCGTTCTTGTATGCTGCCTCCGTGTATAGACGATAGGCCTTACCCGGCCCAGTGCGTCCAGCACGTCCAGATCGCTGGTTCGCGTTGGCTTGGGAAATCGGGGTTACCTGGAGGGAATCCATACCCATGCGCGGGTTGAACACCTTCAGCTTTGAGTAACCTGCATCCACAACGAACATGATACCGTCGACCGTCAAACTTGTCTCAGCAATGTTGGTAGCCACGATTACTTTGCGCACACCTGGAGCGGCCTTCTCGAAGATCTTTGCCTGTTGCTCGGCTGGCAATGTACTGTAGATGGGTAAGGCGCTGAGTTTCGGCGGATCGTTCAGCTGCTTCAGCCGTTCTTCGACCAGCTCACAGGTTGCCTCGATATCTTCTTGTCCAGTCATAAAGACAAGAATATCCCCAGCTCCCTGGGATACATGAATGGCCAAGATCTGCTTGACAGCACTATCAACGTAATCCTCACAAGGTGTGCGCGAGTAGTGAAGATCAACAGGGAACGTTCTGCCAGGAATGATAAATTCTGCGGCACCGCCAAAGAAGCGCGCAAATCGATCAGAGTTCATCGTTGCCGAGGTCACGATCAATTTCAAATCCCTGCGCCGGGCAAGGACTTTCTTGAGAAGACCCATTAAGACATCAGTGTTTAGAGATCTTTCGTGTGCCTCGTCCATAATGATGCACGAATATTTGTCAAGATCTGGTTGGGTGAGACATTCTCGCAGTAATACACCATCCGTCATGTCTAGTATATAGATTAGCTATATAATCGCACCAAAGCGGAAAGGGGGAAGCTCACATTTGATCACCGTCTCGTTACATGTGCAATCTTCAAAACGGATAGCATATCCGACAAGTCCACCGAGATCAACATCCATCTCCTCACTGACACGCTTCGCAACACTCATAGCAGCAACACGACGGGGCTGCGTGCATCCGATCATACCGAACTTAGAGTAGCCCTCTTCGTGTAAGAATTGAGTTAATTGGGTGGTCTTTCCAGATCCAGTCTCTCCGACAACCACCACGACTTGGTTATCCCGGATAACTCTCATCAAATCTTCGCGCACCGCAAAGGCGGGCAAATACTCTCTCTGCTCGCGCATGGTCTTACTACTGCTGAAAGCGCTGGCGCCGCCACCGTCTTTCTTCAGATGTTTGGCAAATTTGTTTCCTCTGTACGTTTCCTCGACAGGCATAGCGACTGCGCTGTCTCCATCGTCGTCTTTAACGCCCATGACATTCCCTAGGGTTGTGCCGGCCAAATTTGTCGCCTCCTGTGCTTGCTTTTGTCGTTCACGCTGCTGTCGGCGCTCATTAACGACCCTGCTTCCTTTTCGACTGAATACCGCCATGTCGCTCTGCGGATCCCTAATAGCGGAGATTGGCTCTAGTTGCTTCGTAAAGATTGTGCGGCCATCGAGGAAAGGTGGGCGGAGGTCGTGGACGAGCAAATGCACTCGAGTCGCCTCTTCATCATCGGGCATGAAGTCGCCCTCATGATCTCGTCGTTGTGCTACACCAGAGGTGAGCATTCGGTTGGTCTCCCAGTTATCAATGTCCCTCCGTTTTGCATCACGTAGGGCTGGAGGGAGGTGTGCAAAGCCCTTGTGCTTTTTGGCCGGAGGGCCCATATCGTTGCGAGACATGTCGTTCGGCCGGGCTTGTAAGCCGGTGTCAAGACTTGGGTTACTCGCAAAGTACGACCCGGTCTGGTCTGCGTGAGGTCGAGTTTATCGAGAAGTGAGTCCCCGAAATCGAACCTCTTTCCTATCTACTGGCTAGTGCGACTTTACCGCCTTTTATTGCCAGAAGAGAGCCACCGCTCTGGTAGTCCAGTTTCTACCTATGTTGGTAATATTCCGAAAAAAAGACAACATCAGCAGGAATCAGCTCTTACTTCTCAAGAGACTTGAGGAGCCTTATCAGCCTGAAGTAGTCTCCTCTTCACTTTGTAGAATAGAATGGTGGAACCAAGCTGATTGCCTTCTCGCTATCACAATCAAACATTGCAAACTGAGATATAAGTCACGTGTTTTATAATCTAGTTCTGGAGACGCATGTAAATTGGTAGTACAGAGTTGAAGCAATAATTATTTCAATAATTTAGAAAAATATTTGAAGATTCGTGCAGATATAAGTAAGATCCAGAGCTAAATTTACCTATGTATAGGGTGTAAAGTTCCTTCAAAATTATATAGTAGTGGCCTCCGCCAACACCAAAAAGCAATCGCCCCGCATCGTCATCTCAATTTCTCGAGCTTCCTCGTGCCGACCACACCGTGTCAAACAGCCATCATGTCTAGCCAGAAACAGATTGACCCCAAGAAGCAGCAGGGTGTGTTTATCCGATTGTCCCCGCAAGCCCTAAGAATTCATGAAAGCTGATGTGAACCCCTCAATCCAGAGCTTCAGTACCAATACACCAACTTCAAGAACACCCTCCAGCAATTAGCACAAAAGATTGGTGATATTGAGCAGGAGGCAGAAGAACACAAGTGAGTTGTTACCAGCGTTATGCGCTGCCCCGGTATAATGAGATCTTGTTGGGGTTGAAAATCGGGGCTACGGCACGACCACAACCAGCAATGCTTTTCACGAATATGAAAGAATAATACTAACATCTACTTTTTTTAGGCTTGTGATTGAAACTCTCGATCCTCTCGATGCAGACCGCAAATGTTTCCGCATGGTGAATGGCGTTTTGGTTGAGCGCACTGTGAAAGATGTTCTTCCTACACTCAAGACCAACTCGGATGGGCTGAAGCAAGTATTGGAGGACATGCTCAAGCAGTATAAGTCAAAGCAAAATGAGCTGGATACCTGGAAGGTAAGCGCATCTCCTGTTTCATGACTGTTTCCCAGCCTGAAACTATATACTGGAAACTTGATCCAGGCAGTGCTGACCTTAATTTCCCCTTTACAGAAGAAGAACAACATCCAGGTTGTGCAACCCTAGTTGCATTCATTTTCTCCGTATACTTTCAATTTACGTGTTCCCGGGTGGTGCTATCTGAGTGCAAGCGCACCGGCGTTACTGGGAACGGCAAAAGACTAGACATAATGCAGCGTTGATTTGTGCTTTGGTGTCAAGCTTGCAAGATGAGCCCTTTACCATAGTAAAAAAAAATATACCCATAAGTTCTGAATCTTGGATGTTTCAGCTGGGGGTCTCGGACCTCAGTAATGTTATGAGATGGCAGAGTCTTGAGTTTGCATATATCAGCCTAAGCTAATTTGAATAAAAGCTATAATCGATGCCTAACTTGGGCCCTTCATCTGGACCTGTTTAAGACCTGTACAAAACTAGACATGCCTATGCATATGTAGGTACCTATAGGTATTTGAGGATGCAAGCCATGATGCCTGACTTGGCAGCAATAACCAACATTGAGACACTAGAACCTAATGTTTGAAGATGGATGCGCTATGTAAAATACAATACTAAAAGAGGAAATGAGGATATCCAGCACTGAATATGTCTTGATCCCAGCTTCTATAGATGATAGTAGTTACAGTTGCACTAACTAGTACGTCATTACACTGATAGGTAGATGTCTTTGAATATATGCAGATTTGATCAAAATATCTTACGAAAGGGCCTACTAAATAAGTAGTAAGAAGTAAGAAAATAAAGAGTATATGTTGAATGCTCTGAATTACATACTCCAAAGCAAGCTGGTCATCCAAAAAGTCTCAAAAAATCAGCAATTATAGATCAAAGTGACAATTGATCTCGGCAATTGACCTTCGATCCCCAAAATACCTTAATTTTATTTTTAAGTCAAGACGAATCAGAATATCTAAAACACTTGGGAAGGTTGGGCTCTCCCCAGACCCACCTTTCCCGAGCGGTTACTGCGGTCACTGCGCGTTCTCAGCTTCAGTCTTCAGCCTTGACCTTTTGGCATATTTGGTGTACAGGTACGTGATCGCATTCCATACTGAAGTCAAATCCTTGTTATTAAAGGTACCCCCATACAATTTCCGAGAGGCTAATTGGTGCGCGTCGCATGTAACAGCTTGCATTATCACCAACTTCCTTAGGCGCCATCAAGCTACTGAGTGGTTCGTACCCAGCCAATACAACCCTGTCTACTAGTGGCGCAGTTCTGCGCCTGAAAGACGATCGCGCATTGTGATCTGACGTGGTCTGACAGCAGAACACGCGAAACACAAGCATTGACGCCCAAGCCGAGGATCCACCGCGTATTCCAAACCACTCATAACCATGTCGAACTCTCCTCCAAAGGATCCTGAACTTGATCCCGAAGCGCAATCGGGAGAAGAAGAGCATATGGACAAGGACCGTCACGACGTGCAGGGACATCAGGGCGAGTTTGAGGTGAAGGAGCAGGATAGGTGGCTTCCGATTGCAAATGGTAAGTCGCATCTCCTTGCATTTGGTCTTTTTGTTCCGATTTGCGCGTACCTTGCCTTTGCGCTGATGCTGGTTTCCCCCGCATTTTTTGATCTTGTACAAGCTTCCCGGTTCTTTTCATCTGAAGTTCATATAAGCAGGATGTCTTTTCCAGATTTATCGGTCGCAAAGCTCATATCTCCCTTCTCGTTACCCCTCATTTTTGATATTACGCAAAAACACTCCATGTCTCCATATGTTAACATTATGATCTTATTTAGTGGCTCGTATTATGAAGTTGGCCCTGCCTGAAAATGCAAAGATCGCGAAAGAAGCCAAGGAATGCATGCAGGAATGTGTGAGCGAGTTCATCTCATTCATCACAAGTGAAGGTGAGTATGGTTCTTGCTCCAAATCAAGAGATATACTAATCGGACATATTCGCAGCCTCGGAGAAATGCCAGCAGGAGAAGCGCAAGACAGTCAACGGTGAAGATATCCTATTCGCTATGACATCGCTTGGGTTTGAGAACTACGCCGAAGCCCTTAAGATCTACCTATCCAAGTACCGCGAGGTAAAGTCCCCCGAGCCCCAGAAACCTTTACTAGGATGCCCAGACCAAGCCTTGAGCAGTTGTTAGCTCCGAAATACTGACTTGATCCTAGACCCAATCGGCCCGTGGTGATAATCAGAGGCCCCCAAGCGCTGGTTATGGAGCCGGGGGACCCGTCGGTGCCCCCGGTGGACCTGGTCCAGCTCGTCCCACAGGATTCCCCGATGCCGAAGGCGCAAACCCCATGATGAATCCCAACCTTGACACATCCGAACAAGACGCCTCCACCTACGGCTATCCCTCCATGGTCGGTCAGCCTCACAACGGTGCGGGCGGCGAGTCATACTAAGGTACGAATGAAGGAGTTGGTGAAGGGATACCCGATTTCGGTACAGGACGCATTTGATACCACTGACATGGCAGATCTAATCAAAGCGTATGTAAAGACATCCTCTGCTTCTTTGGTGTTCATCTGCGATTCTCGACTAGTCGATGTGTTCGCGGGAGTATCTAGAGGGGTTCAACGGCATGACTTTTTCATTTGATTTTGGCAGATTAGGATTATTGGGCTTTTGATTTTGGAGTTTTGCGGCGAATTATAGGAATATGGACATGTGTATCTACGACAGTGTGAGGTGCAGGACTAAGACTGGGTCTGCAATCTGTACATTTCAATGGAGTAAATGCAATATTCTCCCCGTGTCTTGTTCAGTAAACTAATATTATATTCGTATTCAACTGTGCAAAACAAAGCATCTGCCAGTTCAGCGGGGCTCCATACCTCCACCTCGCGGGGCATTCGAGCGCTCCTTCAATTCAATTTACCCAGCACATTCAACGCTCAACCCTTTTAACGACCTAGTAAATTTAATCCCTGCACAAAATACATAAGTCTCGCATCGTGAGATTTTATTGCAACAAGCGTTCGATCCTGGAACCTCAAGAATCTCCAATTATTACGTCATTGGGGAATCTGAGATCACCTCACGCATTCAAGATGACCAGCAACAGGATCCTTCGCGTGGGAATAATCGGGTAAGAAGCCATTTCCAAAGAGCCCTGTACAATGACACTAATATTTGATCCAGATGTGGCGAAATCACCCAAGTTGCCCATATCCCAACTTTCGGGTTCCTCTCAGATTATTTCCAAGTCACCTACCTCTGTGACATCTCCGACAATGCCCTCGAGCACTGTTCCAAAAAGGTCATTGGAGGTCCTCCAAAGACAACCCGCAAGGCCGAGGAACTCTGCGCATCCCCGGACGTGGACATCGTGATGATAGCCAACAGCGACGCCTTCCACGTTCCGCACGCTCTACTAGGCCTGAAACACGACAAAGTCGTCTTCATCGAGAAACCCATGGCTCTCTCACTGCAAGACGCGGACCAACTCATTGAGCTCGAGAAGCAATCGGCCGGAAAGGTGATGGTGGGATATATGCGGCGGTATGCGAGCGGGTTCATCGACGCGGTCAAGGAAATAGGAAGTCTTGATCAAGTGTGCTATGCGCGGGTGCGAGATATCGTCGGCCCGAACTCTGACTTTGTTGGTCAGTCCGGCACGTTTCCTAAGGTTTTCTCGGATTATAGAGCGGAGGATTCGAAGGAATTGTCGAGTAGGACGGATGAGTTCCTTGAACAGGCTCTGACGAGGGAATTGGGAATTCCCGTTACCGCTGATACGGCTGCTCAGTGGAGGAATTTGGGAAGTCTTGGGTCGCATGATCTTAGTGCTATGAGAGAGGCTCTTGGTATGCCGACGGCTGTGCTTGGTGCTTCTTTGTGCTCTGCGAGGGGCCCGCCGTTCTGGAGGTACGTTGCGGTTTCTATTGTGGTGTCTGGTGATGTTTATGTGTTGACTCTTTTTCAGTGCACTCTTCCAATATCCTACTTTTGCTGTGTCTTATGAGTCTGGGATTGATTATGTCCCCCGTTTCGATGCGTCGATTGAGGTCTTTGGTGGGAATAAGACTGTCAAGATCTGCTTTGATTCGCCTTATGTTAAGGGCTTGCCTACCACTATGCATATTCGTGAGAAGTTGGAAGATGGCTCATTCCGCGAATCTATGGTTCGGAAGACCTATGAGGATGCTTATACATTGGAGATGAAGGAGCTCTATGCATTTGTTGTTGAGGGTAAGCCGGCTAAAACTACTTCGGAGGATGCTAGGAAGGATCTTGAAATTTTTGGTATGATTATGAAGGCAGGTTTGGAGGGACAAGTCAGACTTAACAAGGCTGTTCAAAACTAGTCATGCTGTACATACTTGCATGTAGAAGCAGTTCATGGAAGAATATTAGATTTGATGGGGACAATATGTTGACCATCGACTATACCTACCCAAAGAGAATGATTGAGACTAGCATAGATGCAAGGGGATGCTTGCTAGTTTGATAAAGCAGTCCAGGAGAGCCAGAAATCTGCACTTAGAAACTACATGACTATATATACGGAGTAGTCGTACTCCTTCTCGTATTTATGTACTCCTAATGTAGATCCCTGTGTTGTCAAGGGGTAATTGGCAAAGAGTGAGAGGCTTCGGTAACTAGATAGTTAGGGCCTTTGGTTTTGAGTGCCCATTTCCGAGCATAGTAGCTTGAACCCATCTCAAATGGCTCAGAACTGTTCAGTACAAAGTAGACTGTCTAGACACGTTTTTTTTTTTAGGTCTGAGCCTTTTTGGACCGCATACCAAGCAAAGTCTTGAGTGGAGGGAGGCTTATCAGAGTCGAATAAATGCCTTCTTACAATCAGAGTGAAGAGCGGATATGTATGGTTTACGGGGGATGATGCTACCACTTACAAATTGAATTATTTCTGAATTAATGAACAAAGAGATCGAATCCCAAATCAAATCCTAGCCAAGAGCTGAGTTGGCATAAAGTCCGTGCGTACAAAGGAAGTCCATCTATTGCTACTCTATGAACACCCGTAGACTCCGTACATAATTATTAATACCATTAGATGTGAAATTCCTACTCGGTATTAGTCCTGCTAAAGACCTAAGGCTTTATCCGGACGTTCAATAGCAGAGATCATGAAAATACAAGGAAGTGAAGCAAATATACGAGTCTTGCAGATCTTCCGAATTAGGGCACAGGTGGCGCACCAATAGATGACAGGACCCACTCTATGTAGTTCAGGTGTATATGTAACATTAGTTATAAGAGATCATCTTTCATCTTATGGCGGAGTGATGATCGCGTAACATCCATATGGAATAAAATTCTTCTTCCATGATTTCAGGAATCCTTCAATAATTTTGGAAGCAGCTCAGGATATTGCGCGAGAATGCAACAGTTGGGAAGCCCTCCAATGACAGCTGGCGAATTTCAAACAGAGATATGCTTGCAATGGCCTCTTAGCTCTTGCATTGCAACTAGAAGGGTGCTAGTAAAGTCCTTTAACCTTAGCGCCTCCCCTATCTGCTCGAAGGCGAAGGACCTATTATGTGTCATTAAACCCACAAGGATGATCCCACACAAGAGGATGCATGGTCTTATCTAGTATGATATGCAGCAAACACATCTGGATCAAGAAATAAATGCCAACAATGGGCGTGGAAATGCATCAATGCAAGTAAAAAAACGTAGAGATTGAACGCTCTTAACGACTAGGAGTAGGCTGAGTATTTGATAAATCATTGTTAAGGATGATATTCTGTCTTACTCGTTACTATAATAACACTAGCATGTAATTTGACTAGTATATAGCAAAATTTCAGGACTTTTTTATTAGATTTTAATATCGTTTAGAGGTAGCTCACCTCAGTAAGGCCTAGCATAGTATAGAATATTCCCGGACATCTAGTCCCGGTCTTCTTAGGCAACGTGCGGCCTATGTCTTTCTTTGCTCTAGACCTCATCTATTTTCCTATATAGGGCTTACGCCCCCCTCCCCCTGCTGGCATAACTTTGCATCATTAAAGAAGGAAATGTCTCCTTATATTGTTGGCTATGGGTGTTGAGCATGTTAGAGACCTAGCTGACACTTTATATGAAGACATAGTCACTTCAACGATAGTTTCTTGCTTATAAGCGTAACAGCAACATGATACGGGATACTAGACCCTGGTTAACCTGATAAATTAAAAAGTCGCTGACGTAGAAGATCAAGACATCCTTGCATTAAACAAGACGATAGATCCTATGCAACGAGGAATATATGACCTTGTGATACAATTTTAGCTATTTTTTACATAATCGCCCTTCTCCGCATCCACGTGAGAACTCCACCCAGCCCGATCCCGCTCCCTCAACTTCCCGACTTTTTTTGTTTCTTTATTGTTTGCCGCATCCTCGGCAATCGTTTCGGAGTTCGCCCCTGATGCCTTGAAGTGACTGGTGTTGGTGACTCGAATAATGCAGAATCGTGGCCGATTTAAATGATGTCAATGGTACTCCTGCCATGTCCTCCGTCAACGATAACGCCCCCTCGCCGCTCCCAGATGGGGTGAGCAAGCGCAAACAAGGTAAGCGCCTATACAATGGCCCCTGTCTATCTGATAGTTGGGCATCTTGCTTTGTGGCCTATTTTCTCTTTTCTCGGTTATCGGTTATATTTTGCGCGATCAGATCGCTAACCGGTGACTCAAAAAAACTCTTAGGCTCCGCAGCTTGTGTCCACTGTCATCGGCGCAAGGTTCGCTGCGATGCCCGTACCGTCGGGACACCCTGCACCAACTGTCGTGCCTCTGGAAAGGTCGACTGTCGTATACACGAAAAGAAAAAGCGTCTTGCAGTGCGCTCAATCCTAGATCCCGTTCCGATCCGATCTCGGCCTCTCCCCACATCTGATTCCACTTCAAACCCTACTCTTGCAGCGGGGACTCCGCTACCGCCAAGTTTTCCAACTGCATTCCAGAGTGGTCATGCTACACCAATATCTGGGGGCCTTTCGCAACATGGATTCCAGCAAGGCACGGGATCAGAGACATTTGGCCGCCATGGCCCCGATATGGCGCATGCCCACGAGGCACACTCGGAGATGGAGCAACATCTCGTTAAATTAATAGATGAAGAGGAATCCGGCAGAAGGGAGATCCAAAGAGGCGTGCGCGCCTTCTATGTCGGACACGAACTTTCGAACATGTCATTCTTGATTCGACAACAACGAGAACAAGATGACGATGTATACCACTTTGCGAGCAACGAAATCCCACGGCGTCAAATGAAGACGGGTCACGATCAGCTTCTTATGGATGCCTTAACACTTCCAGAACCGGCTCTTGCAGATGAATTGGTCCAGGCTTATTTCACATATGTCAATCCGGGGTACCCTATCATCGACGAAGATCTATTCATGACTCAATACCGAAATCGAGATCCTGCAGACCCCCCACCAATTCTACTTCTTCAAGCAATTTTATTGGTTGGAGCGCATGTTTCTCGTACAAAAGTAGAGCGAGACGCTCTCAAAGAAATTTTTTTCCGCCGCACAAAGTACCTGTTTGACAATCGCATCGAGCGAAATCGCGATATTCTTGTTCAAGCGGCCCTTCTTTTGACGTGGCACTCGGATAGGGCAGATGATGATGTTGCTGCAGATGCTCACTTTTGGGTTGGGGCCGCTGCACGTATTGCCACGGGACTTGGAATGCACCGTAATCCTGTCTCTAGTAGCTTCGTGACTCGCGATCGGCGGATGTGGCGGAGAGTTTGGTTCATTCTGGTCCAATTTGATGTGTTGATTTCCCTGTCATATGGCAGACCTCAAGCAATGTAAGTCATATGAAACGGCCAACTTGCAGCAAATACTAATCAAATTTCAATTCAGCAATCTGGATGATTCCGACGTGTCTCCTTTGACGCCCGCCGATTTTGAGAATTGCGGTCCTCTTGTGCAAGCAGATTACGTGATCCATTTCACCGAACTTTGTACGATGATCTCGTATCTCATTCGCGATCGATTTGGACTTCGGGCGAGTGAAGAACGGCGAAAGGCAGTTCTACAAGAAGCCGATGGATCATTGGCAACCTGGTCTCTGAAACTTCCAGATAATCTTAGGCTTCGTGCATCTGATATGGACCCTTGGTCCGCTATGCTCCATTTGACCTACAATAACTTCCTCATTCTGCTGCATCGACCTCATCCCAGAGCCTCGGCTTATTCCGATGACTATGGGCCCCATGATGCAGAAATTTGCAGTGCAGCAGCCGGGGTTATCGCCTCAATATTTGAGGAACTCAGGATGCATGAGCGCTTGAAGTTCCTTTGGTATACTGGCGTCCATACTCTCTTCACAGCCATGATCCAAGTCCGAGTTGAACTTCGCTTCTCCAATCCTGTTCTTGCCATCAATGCCTTACGCCGTTTTGATTCGGCCTCTTACTCGCTGCGCGAGTTAGCTCAGTATTGGGTTCATGCTGGCACAATCCTGCGACTCTTCGAGGACTCCAAACGTCTGCAAGAGGATCTTCGGATGGCGACCACTGAACGACCCAAGCAGTTCGGCGACAATCATCATGCGCACAAGATGCCCATTGCCTCTCCTGTTCCATCAATCAACATGCAAACTCCTGGGCCACTCTCCTTCGGTGTGCCTACCCCCGAATCCACCACCCCTCTTCAAACAACCCTCTCACCACAACCCCATGCTCCTCAATTTAATAATTGGATTGCCCCTCTCCGGCTTAATGTTGGCCCTCTGGAAAGGAATGACCCTTTCTCAAGCAGCATGCAAGTGGATTCCATCGAGCCAGCTCGCGATTATCCAGACTGGCGACAGCTATTTGCCTTCGGCGATGTCGACCTTCCTCCCCCTGTGGGAGGTGAAGGTCTGCCTGAGCTTGAAGATGAATGGCGTCAGATCTACTGGCAGGATGCCCCGATGGCAGATCTCATTCACGATGGAGGATGGATACATGGCTAGCTTTGACTAGCTACCTCGGTTGATGACTGTAAAGAACTGTCATCTTTCCCATCCCCTACTTTCTACATACCTTTTCTACCTTGACGACGAGACGAGCCATGCCAGGGCACGCAGATACACGATACATTTTAGAGACCATGTCAGGCCACAGACACACACAGGCCCAGCCTACGATACCATGTCACAAACGATCACATACAATGATAGAGATAAACATGTCATATAATTGCAAATAGTGATAACAGATAGAATCAGTCGGGGCTTTTCTTGTATTTCGAATTAATCACCTCCGCAATATCCATGGGTGTGTGTATGAGATTGTTCCAGATCGCGCCACAGATGCGTCTTCGCTAATTGCACGGCTTGAAAAATTGCAAGAAATCAGAAATCGAATTGAAGTTCACCCATGCAGGAATAGAGAAATGAAACACAAGACCTAGCCAAACACAAAGCGCCGCCAATTATCCGCAAGCACCTGGACACCATGTCGTAACTCCCACCCACGTATCAGACAAACCTGTCGTCCCACAGCTTCCAGCGACTCGTCCATCTGCGCACCTGCAACATGGAGATCACTTTCAATAAGAATTCGGTCCTCGGGCAGAGCCTTTATAACATCGATAACCTTCTTTTCGGTGGAACCGGAGAAATTGATAGGCTTTGAGAAAGAGAAATAGACATCGGACGGATTCGAGCGGTGCAGTAACTGGCGAATGGGCTCAACCGAACCGCTATAAGAGTGCATGCAGATGCGAGGCGGAAATGGCGGGTACGATTCGCCTGGTGTCTTATTTTCGTCTTCGTCGTCAGATACGGCGCCTTCTGCATCCTGCTGCCTCTCCCTCTTCCGCCGCGATAGCACAACCCGCTCGTGTCCTGCCCAAAGCTCCTTAAGCACCTCGAAGACCCCACCATGAGCTTGCACGCTGTGCAGCGAGACGGCACGATTCATTTCTCCCGCTAACCGTAGCTGCGCTTTTAGCACAGTGCGCTGGTGTTCCGGCTTGACGCGGTAGTTTGAGAGACGCCGGCCTTCACGTGAGCCGGGAGTAAGCTGATCATCTCTGCTATCGATCTCGGTTGCCGTCCATGGGGTCGGGAGTCGAAATGACCTATCCAAGCCGACTTCGCCGATAAGGGCATTGGGGAACTGTTGGAGTCGGGTCCGAGTTTCAGATATTAGTTCTGTGAGGGGCTTGGGAACAGGAAGGAAATCAATAAATTGCTGGTCATCAGCTGGAGATGGTGATAGGACTGCTGTATAGTGGGCAAACTTGTGCTCGGCTGGGTTTTGTGCTGTTGTTTGTGTAGTGTCGTCCAGTATCTGGTGCGAGAACCACGGGTGCCAGCCGAAGCAGGGGACTACGCGGTCTGTTGGTTGGCTTGTTTTGGCTGATAGTGACATGGCTGTTTGTTGTACGAGATCCTGATCTTCCCCGCGAGTGGCCATGATTGTCAATGTTCTTGCTTTCATCTGCGGGATGTCGGCCACTGAGGCCAATGTATCGGTGGGGTGACAGTGGGCATCGTAGACACCAATGTCCCAAGGGAAAGGTTCATCCTCTGGCATGTTGTAGGAATCAATGGCAGTCAGATTATGACAGGGCTAAATTCAAAGCTTTTGGTATACAACAAGGCTGAAATTCCCGAAGTGATGTAATTGGCGTTTATGCCTGGGGCATCAATCACATGCTTTCTCCGCAATTCGTTGTTTTTCGTGCTGTGAGCATTTTAAAACGCCGAAAGTCTTATGATTATGGACTTCCGGTCTTTTAATCCCTTCCTAGGGATATAGATGGCTCCTCAATGTGGTCCTCTCTATCGACGTTGCTCGCGCTGCCTATCCTGGCCCTCGTCTCTATCCCACTCATTCTCTCAGCATGGGTTACAATCTCCGCTGCGCTTTTTGCACTGTTAGTCAGACTAGTAGTAGTCTATGTTGAGGTAGTCTACGGATTGGTTGTGCATTTCTTCTCAGTGCCAACCTCACCTACCTCATCATTATTGACATTCGCGCCCTCAGAACCTACAACCCCAGCTGCTGGTAGATCAAGAAGGAACTCCAGCCAGAATGCGAATCCGAGAAAGGCAAATGATCTTCTCACTTCTTGGGCCATTGGTACCAGTCTGGATGATCCAGCAAGCCACCAAAGGAACTCTTATGCGCGGAGCATGATCGAGGCCCACAACTTATCTGCCCCAACATCCATTTATGGCCTGCCAATAAGCGGCGATGAAAGGCGAGACTTCGAAGGCGTAGGTGGATGGCGCTCGTATGGGGCATCCAGACCGCGCAGCTCGCACACTCCACACGAGAAAGCCACAAGCTCGGTCTCGTCGTCTTCGACACATAGCACCCTCGATGTCGATCCAGACGCAGACGAGCGAGCCTGGCTTTCTCTAAACAATCGCCTCGAACTCCCCTCACACCTCGTCACACTATGCACAAGTGTACACGCAGGAGGCAACATAAACAGCCCCACGCAGCACGAAAGCGCCGACTGCCGCAATGACCGAAGCAATTTCCAATCGCTGACAGGAGCAACAGCCTCACAGGGCATGTACCCCGAAAAGCAAAAAGATGGGACAAGACACCACCATCGCTCGCTCACGACTTCCTCGCTAACGACCTCTGACCGGCGCACGGGTACCGGGCTCTCCCTGGCGCTGTCAACGCCTGATAACGCAGCTGTTCATTCGAGCGAGTACAGCCAATCGATATTATCGTCAACGGCACGACTTGCGGCCCAGTTCATGATGCCGCAGCCACATTCGCGGCTGGATTCAAACTCGCATTCCCAGTCGCGGGCTGTCCCGCGTGGTTTCCCTAGTGGAGCACCGTTCACAAGCTCATATCTCTCTGGCTCTGGGGATGCGATGGGCCACAACTTCGGGAGCAATGGTAGTGGCGGGAGCTTTGCTAATGGAGGTGGGGGTGGGTATTTTTCTTTGAGACGGCCTGGATCTTCTGGTAGTCAAATTCTCTCTGGAAGAGTTAGCCCCGGTACTAGTGGGTATACTACCCCTGGGGTTGGTCTGTCGAGTGAAGAGCGTGATGCTTCATCGGTGGGACTAGCGCGCTTGATGGCACATTACCCTACTAGCCCTAGACATCGGAGGCAAAGTATCTCTGGATCGAATTCGAGAGGGTTGGCTGCTGGGGATCGAGCTGGATGAAAGGTTGTCTCTTTCTTCTTCCTTTTCTTATTTTGAGGGGCAAGGAGCACATGATAAAAAAAAGTGTCTTGAAGCTGTTTCTCTGACTGGAGTATTAATGGCTCTGTCCAAGTCTATCTAGGTAGTCAATATGTACCGTACAGGATTGTAGTCACGGAAAAGATGGAGAGGGACACACAGACACCAGGGGCAAAAAAAAAGAGAAAAAGCCACAATAAACGAGGGACGAGGTTCAACATCACACTCCAGCTCTAGAATTGATAAAACAGTATTCACGACAAAGGGAAAGAAGCCAACACCGTCATCCACATCATGACTGTCGGCTTCTCTCCCTCTGATTGACTTCTTCCATCTCGGCGAGCACGACACTGTTGAACTCCTCCCAGCCATCAAGATACAAATGATGACCAGCCTTCTTCACAACGACCACTTTAGAGGAACCTTCGTCGGTACGCTTCTCCTCTGGAGTGGCCTTTTCTAGAACTTTGCGCTTTTCTTGGTCCAATTTAGCAGCAGCAGCATGACCACCTGAGACATCCATCCAGTCATGGTCACCATACATGAATACCACGGGAAAACCCTTCTCGCGCCGAGGGGGTGCCATAGAGTCAGATGAAGGAGCTGCTGTAGATGATGGCGTATTCTCAAAGGGCGTTGACGAAGTGGTGGCGGCAGCAATGGGATGAGGGAGAGCACTTGTGTCTTGGATCAATTGTCTCCCGAGGCTGTGGACACGGTGGATCAGAGGACTGCGAGCGAAAGCGCCGGGGGCAAGAATGTATGCTAGCGCATACTCACCACTGCCACGAAGACTGAAGATCGAGTATGAATAGTCGTGGAGTGCCTTAGCTTCCTCGGCTGGTAGGTGGGAGAATCGACGAGAAGTCCATCCGGACACGAGACGTGGGCCTAAAGGACCAGCCCATCGCACCAGACTGAAGGGGGAGATATTGGCATCCCACAAATACGATAACCATTTAGGGAGGTTCCGTCGTGGAGGTGGGGCGGAATCGCCTTGGGGTGGTAGTCTCCCAGTGATAAAGCTACCGTCGGTTGTATTTGGTACTGTTTCCGGGATGGTAGTAGATGAAGTAATATCTCGCTGATCTTGAGTAAGCTCGTTGGTCATTGTTGACGCCGGAGGCTCGGCCACATCTGCAGTAACAGCGTATGGGTCCTCCGGGATGCCAACTGGAGACGCCAAGATAAGCTTGTTTAGATGGCCAGGGTATTTGAGCGCATAGGCAACCGCCATGTACCCGCCAAGACTGTGTCCAAGCAAAGTAAAGCGATCAATCTTGCGTTTGATGCGCCATTCCTCCAGGGCATCTACGAACCAAGCTTCGGCCTCCCTGATGGCGTCTTCTCTTTCCTTTGCCTTGATTTTGAATGCGGGTCGAGTACTCCGGCCCATGCCTAGCATGTCCAATGCATGGAGCTGCCATCCCTTCAGCCGACTCAGTGGTTCAAAGTTTTTATAAAAGAATCCAAGTCCGGCACCATAACCGTGGAGCATGACTAAATGTTGGTCTGCTTCCTCGCCGACCCTCTCCACTGAGAACTCATTGAGCGCGCGGTCTTGCCCACTCAATTCTACCATGCTTGAGCGCCACCGGCGAGGGCCATAGGGGTCATCAAGGGAATTGGTCGTGACTTCACCCAGCTGATTAGGGTCTGTACTCTCAAGACTCGTCGGAGTAGTGCCATCGGGGAGCTCTGCTGTTTTTCCAGTCTGGAGATGGGTGGGGGGCTGGTGATGCAAGTAAGGCAGATAAGAGAGTACTTTGTGTTCGGCAGCAGCTGCAGGTAACCGAGCCCACTATATAAAGCAAATCATTAGCAGACATGCGGCAATGGGGGCTCCATGATTGTAGCTTACCCATTGGCTGAAGCCTTCCCGGTATCCCAACGGGAAAAACGCACGCGCCGCAGCCGCGCCAGCAGCAGCTTGAGCAGCATATGGAGTTCCCGATATCCTCTCAGTATTGTGTCCACCTGCGCGTTGGTGACGCCCATGTATGTCCTCTTGGGACGAGTTGAGCGATTCTGACGCCATTGAAGACAATCGGTGTCTGTGTCCCCGATGGGTGGCGAAGACGGTTGAGCGAGATTTGGCCTGGGATTTAGGGAGTAAAAAGGGGGAGGCAAGTCGTGAAGCTGTGCCTGTTCGCATACAAGTTAGGAAGATAAATGGTTTCTAGCAAAAGTTGAATGTGGCGCTCATAAGCGTATAAGAAGGGAAACCGGAGACAAAACGGTCACTCCGCTTAACCCCGGTAGGCTGGCATATGCGCAAATCGGGACAGAATAGGGTAATATCCGATAGAAGAGAGATGAAAAGAAATGTAATTGAAATCTTAATGGCAATGAACAGTCACAGAATTATTGTAGAGGAAAAGATGTCAAGTGGGTAGTTGTCGATCCAACTTCGCTTCCTTTCAACTTGCCGCCTTCCTCTCTCCTCTCTTCACATGCGATGACTCGCCCTGGGCCGGATCGGCCAGTTTGATTTGATTGACTTTGGAGTTTTTCTTCTATATTCTCACCTTGAGATTCTCCTATACCATGGCCTCACCTTTAGATCAGGTGGTCAAGGGTGCCCCAACACCGGGTGCTCGCGCCCCAACCCCAGAGCCATTGAACTCACGATCATCTCAAGCTCCCTCAGATTCCTCTCCACTACGTCCCTCGACCCCAGATCCGCTAGCAAATTTGCCCTCCTCCCCGCCTCAGATCTACCTAAACCTCTTAATACTCGAAACCTCACTGCGAGCCCAGTATCTGGCACTACGCGAGCGTCGCCGCCAGAACACATTCTTCCTACTTCTACTAGCCGCTTGGCTTGCCCATTTTGCATATGCCCTTTTTCTTCGTCCGCGTGAAGATGGCCGTGGTGTCGGTGGCTCTGTCTACTGGGTGGTGGAGATGGCGGAGAAAGTCGCCTTGCTCGGCGGGGTGGTAACCGCGCTGCTCGTCTGGGGTACAGGGCAATGGGAACGAGGAATCAGATGGCCTCGGCGCTGGCTCGCTGTTTCCAATCGCGGCCTGCGAGTGATGAACACCAAGATAATCATCATCCGCGGTCCCTTCTGGCAGGAGCTACTGTCTTATGTCTCATTCCTATTCCCGTTCTCCGTACCATTCTTACCCTCCCCTAATGGAAACTACCATTTCGTGGAGCAGAGTCCCGCCGATAAGCGTGCTGGTGGTAGTCGGCAGCACTATCAACAGTACTACAACGGCAGCGACAGCGAATCCGGCTTGGTAGAGGAAGACCTCAGCCCAGGAGGCGACTACATCCGTCTCCTCTTACTGCCCAAATCTTTCTCCCCCGAATTCCGTGAAAACTGGGACGACTACCGCACAGACTTCTGGGAAAAGGAAAACGAGCGACGTGCCCAGCTCCGCCTCAAACTGCGCGAGCGCGAGCACCACCTCGCCCAAACAGAAGGAGGATGGCTCGGCCGGCTGGGACTAGGCTGGCGCGCCTCGCAACGTCGCCGACTCGTCGCAGGGACTCTGCATCGCCCACTTGAGCCGGAATTCAAACACCGCCTAGGCCACGGACACCACCCCTCCATCACGAAAATCAACCATGAGCAGCGCGGCTCTTCTTCCCGCCGAAGCACCCGCTCCGAGTCCCATTCCCGTACCTCATCACGCAGCACTACGCCCGTCGACAACAGCCTCGACGACCGTCCGCCGTCTCGCTCTTCCACTTCCAGCCGACCCCGTCGCGGAAGTACCGCCTCCGGGCAGGACGCGAGCCCGCAGCAGCGGAAACGGAAAGGTTCGACGCTGAGGCGTGGTCTGTCCCCTCTCACGCAGGCGCAGATCAGAGAGGGTGTACGGACGCCGTCCTTCTCGTCTGACGACTTTACAATGCCTATGGGTATGATTGAGAAAGATAAAGAGGAGGCTATACCGAACTCTGTTCATGAATTGTAATAATCCACCGCAAGCACGACATGTCAATTCATGCTTATGCTGTTCATGTCTCTATACCCTGTTTTTTCTTCTCTCGTGTTTACTAGACACTTGTTGCTCAGAACGCTGTCCTTGGAAACTTGCATGGGCTGTGTATGCATATCCCTTAGAGCGCAGTGTCGTTAGTTCTATAGATAAGCCTGAGTTGTCGTACTTGATTTCCTCTGCCACTAGCTTTCCCCGTCCTTTCTAGTGCTCAGTCTTTGCCGCTTTTTGCTCACTAAGTGCACACCCCTAAGCGCCCTACCTAACTAGGCAGGTAATATGGGTATTTTAAGCATACTGATATCAGGTGCCAGATCAGGTGCTCAGGCTACCTACGTACCTACACACACCGGATTTAACTCAAGCAAGAGATATACCGAGTATTTCCAAACAGCTTGGACATGACATACTCTAGTAAATGATATTTAGGTATATAAATGTAAAAATAAGCAATTCACATTCCTTGAAAACAGACGAAACACAAATCACGGAACTGTTGCGGGTGCTGGCGCAGGGGCGATTCTAATGTCAACTGCGCCAGTGATATCTTTGATATCGTCGAACACGTCATTTATCCGACAGAACAAGGTCGTTCCCTGCCGCTCGTCGCCTCCGGTCAATATGCCAAAGACCTTGCCATCCACTCTTGTTATCCAAGCACCAGAGTCTCCACGTACTGCGAATGGAAAGGAACTCTCAGCATTCGAGGTCTTGCAAACCCAAGTGATGACCGGATAGTATCTAGCTCCATCCTTGCTTTCGATCCTATCAAGCGTGACAGACCCCAAGCCGTGATACACAGAAGTTGTCTCACCAGTAGAACGCCCGGACTTGTAAAGTGTCGTTCCCGCGCGGGCATCCTGACTACCATGATGATATACACGCTCGGTCGATGTGTATCCCTGACATGAAATCATGGATTAGCTTGAGAAAAGATACAGATAAAAGCCAACTTACATTGTTACCAGAGATGCAATCTCCTTGCATTTGGTGTTTGATTCTATTGCTCGACATTTCAATCAGAGCCCAGTCAACGGCTACTCGACGCTGGTCCTTATTGAGTCGGGTGCGATTCATGCCACTTCCGGCAAAGACATGGCCGAGGTAGTATGCTCCATTGTTAAGCATTTTTGTACATGCGTCCCGTTCCTTTTCAATCGTCGAATCCATTTCAGCGTGGCCTCATACCCATGTCTGGCAGAATCTGATAGCCATCCATCTTTCCCCTTGTCAATCTCAGCCTTCGAGGTATAGAAATAATCGTCCTTCAAATCTTCAATGGACTGATTTAGTGATGCAATCGTGGTCCTCAGATCTTGGGGTGCTGGATGGTCGATTCGGTGATCTCCGTGATGCACCTCTGGTGAGTAGACGCAGTGGAAGCAGGTAACTGCATATGTATTCCAATCCGTCTGATCTTTGAACCTGAGTTGCACGAAACCACCCAATGTGGAACAGGCTGCTGAGCTTTGATGAATCCCAATGCTCACGCCGGGGTACACTGATCCAGTGGTAGCTTCAAATGGAACGGCGCGAACATAGGGTTGGGTCGCATCCTTCATGAACAAAACATCAACCCCTGCTTCGCCAAATTCTGCAAGAATATCGTGAACATCTCGTGCATCGGCATCGAATGATTTTTCGCTCGTTTTAGAGACACGGATGATTACTGTCACTGGATTGGAACTCCAATTGGTGCTTGTTCCATGCCGGAAACAGTCCAAGCCAACCCACTCATCTTTGTTGGGATAACGGGTCATGATCTGATGCACAATATTCTCCCACTTAGGGACGATAGAGTGGCTCGACTCAACAGGCAAACAATAGATTCCATTGAACATATCCGTTTCAATAAGCTCAACCGAGATTCTATCATAATGGTGGCGTTGTAGCAGTTGGTGGACATCCTTTGCAGCTCGCAGCCACAATTCTGGCTGCGGTTGGTTTGGTATTCTGACAAGCACGGTTGTGACTTGTTGAGGTTCAGGGTCGACCTTGGAGTGTCTTCCCACAAGCCGAATGCCCTGATACTGCAGCTGAAGATCACACAGGACTTGTGCTGCGTATCCTTCGATCTGATGCGTAGTGGCAGCGCCATAATGAAGAACAGGGTCAACCGTATGAGCCGGTAGTGAGCAAAGATAAGGGCCACCAGCGCGGAGTGCCGACTTGAGGAATCCCATTTCATCAACAACGGAGCCATTAAACGGAGAGGAGGTGGATGATGTTGAGTAGAAGCCCACTGAATGGGCACATACTTGTCCAAAGGAAGATGTGCAAGCTGATGAAGACGACATGGTGAAAGTGTGTTGATGACAGATGATGGAGAAGTGAAGGAGAAGGATTAAGGAAGAAGCATAAGGTTTTATATCAAAGGCTCCGATCCGAATTCAGTAATAAAGTATAACTATTGAGCCTCATTTGTATGGCTACAAATACGAAGTTAATAGACTAGTTGGCTTATGCCGCCTTGTGTCTTTTCAGTGGTCTTTTCGGTGGTCCCTTTAGATATCAGGGATGGTCAGTTTTATAGATGACAAAAAATGGCGTATAATACTGGTCCAAGTGTAACCTGATATTGTTACAGAGCTAAGCATAGGATTATCATTCAGGTCTTGATTAAGTCAAGGATCGAGTATTTATTCATATTTCTCGTATTGAGTCCACTAATATTTCCTCACAAACCCACTCCATACGCCAAACACAAAAAAAAACATGCGATGATATCAATCCCAATGCAATGACAAGAAAGCATGTTCGTAAAACTGGAGACAAATCCAGCATTCTCCCCGCTAGTTATTTTCCACATAGAGAAAATATAGACAGTGCCAGATAACCCAGATAAATTAGACCCGGTATACATCTTCCTCGTCCTCGAGGTACATCAGCAAATTGTCATCGGTCATACCGCGCAAGGCCTGGATAGCCTCGGGACGAGAGAAGACGTGCGAGGCACCAAGTGTAGGCGATTCCCGGATGGCAGTATTAACAGCGTTGATCAGCTCATCAATCTTGCATGTATCGCTATTTTTGAACACAGTCTTGCCCATGAGCGGGCCCAGAATCTGCCGGAAGACTACCATGCGGGCAGGAGTGATCGGGATGTCTTGGGAAGTGGACTGTGAGTCTGTCTGAGATTCGATGAGCTGCGAGGCTGGCTGCGAGGATGCCATTGACATCTGAGACTCGGTTTGTGTTTGGGTGCGGCCTGTCTGGCTTGAACGCAAGCGTTGAGCGCGAGGGCTGGCTGTGTATAGGCTGTCTGGGTCTTCGTCCTCATCTGGGACTGGAACACTAGACTGTGTTGCGGTACCACGAGTGCGTGCTGTGCCATTGCGTCTACCTGGTGTAGCGGTTGATGTACCGCGGGCGGTGGTGTCATCATCGGAGTTATCGTCGAGTTCGGCATCGCTGTCGTCATCGGAGGAATCGTCGAAGGTGGTCACCTTACGTCTCTTCCGGCGCTCGTCCTCGACCACTTCCTTGAACATGGCGAAGCGCAGGATGATCTCAGCCTGTTTGGCATCCTTCTCGTCTACCCGGTTAGACAGGCGGGCCTTGGCATGCGCAGTCGACAAACGGATTAGCGTCTCCAGGGTACGAGGGGTGATGGGCGATGTGCGACGTTTGTTGCCGGTGATTTCGTCGTTTCGCAGAGCAGAGTATGTGGCAATGACGTGGTCGGCGGCACCCTTGGTCAAGACGGGCATGATTCGCTTCTTAGCATATTGGATGTACTTCTTGATGAAGGGAATGCTAATAATTTCCACATGCTTGGCACGGCGACGCCCAGTATTAGCGGCATCAACCATACCACCGTGGAGCATGACATTGAACTTCTCGAAAACTTCACTTGGCGCGTTGGTATCTTGACGGTCTTCGCCTCCCACGCCCAATGTTTGGTTGAGCTGTTCCCGAACAGGCGCACCCTCCTCGGTGCCAGGCTGGCGGTAACGGTGCATGCGTAGCACGTGCTCTGAGATTATTCGGTCATGGGCGTCCTCAATATCATCGGTCACGACAAATAGTAAATCGAAACGAGAAAGCAAGGAGTCAGGGAGAGCGATGTTCTTATGTGGGTCCTTGTGAGGATCATATTGGCCATAAATCGGGTTGGCTGCAGCAAGGACACTGCAGCGAGCGTTCAAGCTCGTGTGAATACCGGCTTTGGCAATTGTAACTGTCTGCTGTTCCATAACTTCGTGAATGGCGACACGATCGACATCACTCATCTTGTCGAATTCATCAATACACACCACACCACGGTCACCGAGAACCATAGCACCAGCCTCCAGTCGACGCTCGCCGGTTTCTTTATCAGATGTAACGGCAGCAGTCAAACCGACACCAGACGAGCCTCGACCGGTAGTAGCGATTGCCAGTGGCGCGGTATTCAACACGAAACGGAGAAGCTGGGACTTCGCAGTCGAGGGATCACCGACCATAAGGATATTGATATCACCACGAAGATGGGTTCCGTTATCCAGGTTCTTCTCCATTCCACCAAGAAGCATCAGAAGGATGGCTTTCTTGATGTAGTCATGCCCGTGGATGCTAGGAGCCAGAGACTTAGACAATAATTCAAACACGTTTCTCTTCTTCGAAATCTGATTGATGTTTCGAATATCGGTATCCGTAAGCACGGCCTCCGCAATACCTCCACCGCTCTTCGAAGACAGCTGAATAATATTGTTCGCCATGACGACGGTGCGGAACGTTGACGAGCCACTGCCTCCGTTACCGAGGGTACGGTAGATACCCACCAGCTGGATTCTGTCGCCAGGCTTGGCGGTGTCGACGAGGTCGTCGTCCAGAAGGACATCGACACTTCGGGGCAACTGTCCTGCTGGGGCACGTTCGGGCATTTCTTGGATAGAGATCGATTGGTGGTCGAGATATGTTGAGTAACCATACTCGGTGATAAGCTAGAAATTATATCATTAGTCTCGACGAATTGAGTGAGAGTATTCAAGTGAGACTCACCGGGTTCTTTTCGTCATCCTCTTGAGGGTAAACGTTCAAACTGGTTGAACCGCTGGCACCCATGGTCTGATCACGATATTTTCTGGCAACAAACCGATCCTTCCTCTCGACATAGTGAACACTCTGAACGATCTTGGGGCGTACCAGAGAGCATTTTGTCACAATGCCCTCGAGCGAGACCATGTGGTTTAATTGTTGTGAGCCCAATGTGCGGGGGTTGCAAGAGAATTCTCCGAATGCGCCAACATAAGCGCAGTAGTAGTTCTATCAAAATCGTTAGACATTCGATGTCTGCTAAGAATCAACGAAGACGAAATACACACCGCTTCATCCGAGGTTTCTTTAAGCGGTCGACCGGGTAGGGTTTTGACGACTGCCTTCAAGGCTGCGTCGAAGGCTTGTGAATAATCAAACGGCGAAGAGAGTAGCCTACAACCATTAGTCGGTGAACCCAATTCCACTGTTATAGCGATGTAATTTACCCATCCGCAAGCTCCCGGTTGTGTGCTCTGATTTCATCAATGCTGACCTGTCCAAAATTATCAGCACCACCTCCTGGCAGGGAATTTCGTGGATCCACGTACTGTCAATCGTCGCCCACCCTTGTTCAGCATAACCACAATATCCGCTCGATAACTGTTCCAGTCCATTAGATATATATTGAAACATATTGATCTTCGAGGTCGTCGAACCTGCGTGCCCGTGCATCATCTGAAAAAAAGCATGTTAGCTCAAGGGACCATAACATATATCTCAATGAACTTACTTGGGTCAAGAAATTCAGTTGCAGCGCGTATGCGATCTTGCGCGGCTTCATCCCGTAGTTGTAAACCATCCATGATGTGTGATGCAATATAGTGTTGTTGAAAGGAGGGAGTCGAGGGGGGGTCCAGTGCCGATTGGGATTTCCCGATTTGCTAAAGTGGAACGCGTGAAGTTGCACGCGAGGAAAGCGCGTCCCACGGGTACCACGTGCCGTGCTGAGTCAGCGAACAATTTTTTTCTGGGCTATATAAGCCGCCATTCCCTCGATCCTTTTCTTCTTCTTCAAGCGACTCTACGTGCGTTCTCCTCCCCCCAAACAGTTGGAAACCTCTTGGGTTTTCACACTGGACTTTGGCATTTTGAACTTTTCCACTGACTTTTTTTCTCCAACAGTTCAAAGAATCACTTTAGAGTAGACGTCCCCTTTCTAAACTCTTTAAAAGAGCCACAGAATCTCCACCCTTGCTGATGACTACATGTCCTCGATGCCCTAAAGTGAAACCTTTTTACTCCCGCCTCGACTGTCACGCGTGCTGTTCGCAGTGTCTGCGTTTCGGTCCAGGGAGTGGTGATGATCTTGACCTGGTCTCGGCGTCTGACTTCGGTCGGTCGGTCCTGGTGGGTGTCGAGGAGGTCTGAAAGGTCCTCTTCCATTCTGGTTGATGGTATGGGGAGCTGTGTGTGAGCTGTCCGTTTATACAATATTTTATCCACAATGAAAATTTTCAAAGTTCACTTTATAATGTCCATTCAGCCAGTAAAGTCTTCTCATGTTCAATGCTCCATATCCGTAGTACTTGGAGCTGTCCAACTATCTCCAACAATAACTAGCTGTCTGTGCGGCCTTGTGCCTTTTCGGTGGTCTTAGATACATATTCTCTTCGATGTCTCGTCAGTTTGATAGATGGGCGGCAGAAAATGGCGGAAAAGGCTTAATGTGTAGAAAGTGACTACTTCTCCATCTATAACCTTCCATGGATGTGATCAATGTCCACGGGTACTTCTACCAATCTGCGTAAATTTCTAATTGCCATATGCTTACAGATGTTCGGCCCAGTACATCATTCCTTCTCCCCTTTGCCAGTTGAAGATACCATAGCAGACCAAATATATGTATACTAGCCATATATTCCAAAAGACAAGAGTCACTAGCGGCCTCTGTTCTTGATATTGTACTTGTTACACTGAAGGTAAACACTATGATGGCTTTCCCCCTTATCGGTTCATATTCTGAAATATGGAAGGGGAAAAAGCCAAAGCCGGATATATTAGCGCTTTATGAACAATATATATATAATCCGTGGTCAGTCAATGGGAAGGTGGAAAAACTGATATATTGTACAAATCAAATTATGAAAACCAGGATATATAAAACAAGCTAATATTACACAATCACTATACATGGAGCACGCTGCTCAAGAGTCGTTGTTCTGTTCTTCCCTGGGTGTCCAGGGTCCCTTGTATCTTTTTCGCTCGGATTTTCGCTCCTGCACTGTCCGCCCGGGTTTCACATGGAGTCCAGCGACGGGTTTGAAGAGAGAGTGGATTGGGGTATCCAACTTGTACTTGCGATTATCCTTGTCGAACAGCTGCCGCTCGGGAGTCTGCCTCTTGATGTTGGTATCCTGTAACTTGCGCAAACGTCGTTTGTAGGCGTCGGCGCGCACGGTATCCTTGTCTTTGAGCGCCTTAGCGATAAGCTCCTTGTAGTGCTCGGCTTTCTCCTTCCACTGCCTTGTAACATTGTAATGATCGTGAAACGAGGTTTCCAGGTCAATTCGGTCCTCGCGAGGAAGGATCTCTGACAAAGAACCGAACTCTCCCAGTTGTTCACTGGAGAGCAATCCAGTAAGACTGGACTCGTTGCCGGAAGGTTCGGGGTATTGATCTTTTTTCAATTCGAAAGGCTCCTGACTCGCGTCATCAAAGGTGCGCTCTTGTGCTCTGTGGGGGCCAAGGACAGGGCCAAGAGCACCTGAGTGTGTGGAAAACAGGTGGGTTGGGCGTGGGAGAATATCACTTTTTGCCTCTTTGCCGCGAAGGATTGTACCCTGATGTTTGTCACGCACGTAGGGCATCGTGGCAAGAGCATCAACCGTCTGTGGCGCAATTTCGTAGAGATTCGCCAGGTGCTCATTCCCCTCCGTGATACTTGTTTGCCGAAGCCGTTGCAGTGTGCTGGCTAGTTGCACCATGGTGGGGTAATGAGGATGCATATAGTCGGGCTCAATTTTGCGCCAATGTTTTCGGGCCAATTTTCCCATCATCCTGCGGGGTTTGGTAATGCCGGAACGACCTTCGAGATGGAGGATGGTCACGGGGGCATTGAGCGGTCTCACGCCGTATCCCTTAAGAAACCACGACCAACCAGGGAAATGAGCAATGAACTTCTCCTCAAACAGTCGAAATGCCTGCACATTGTCGGGATAATTATCAGATATCGCAAGCATCCTAACGTAAGTTGACCAGTTGAAACCAGTCAATGCAAAGCCCATTTCCTGGATGTCGGCCACAACTTGATGTATTCTCTCGAACATGCCTCGGCGAGCCAACGACTGTATGTAAAGCGAAAGTGGAAAGTCCAGGATGAAGCGTTGGGCATGAAGTATTTTGGGCTTCTCTGCTTGAGTGGTGGGTAATGAGAGCACTGATGGGAGAGGAGACTCGGCTGGCGCTGGCAGCGTTGACATCGGCGACCGTTCAGAGAAGAATTTTTCAAGGTCAGAGGTGCCAGCTTTCTTGCTTACACTTGCCATAATACTATTCCAGCACTCTTCCACTTTCTCATACTTGTGGGTTTTTAGATAGGCGTTCATGATGGCTTTGATGAAGTCAACCGGTAAGGATTCTAAATCATCACCGTCCGGTGACCCTGCAGTTCGTCTGACTTGCATATAATGAGAGAAAGTTTGGAGTGCCTTTTCGGCGGCACCTTGGATGCCGTATGCCTCGACCAACCGTTGATAGTGCGTGGCTGTGAAAGACTCAACAGCAAATCCCTCTAGCGGACTAGATAATCGAGTGTTGGATAATCGAGTTTTGACAGGCGATGGATTGGCATTGAAATTTGCGATTGATTCAGAAAGGGTCTTTTCTGCATTTTCCAAGACGATATCTTCAACGGGAGTGTGAAGATCTCCTGCGTTTTCCGCGTCTCTCGCAATCTGCATTCTCAGGTTCAACAGGCTCCCTTCCATTCCGACTTGACCGAAGCGTGCTTGCATTTCGCGGGAGATAACGTGCACCATGTCGCGATTCCGTTGCTTCACATATCCAAGCAAGAGAATAGAATAATGATACTGGGTAGGTTCAAAACCAGCATCGTGCATCTTCCTGAGAGTAGCCCGCGCACGATCAACTTGCATGGCATAAACATAAGCAAGCATAATAGCCGCATAAGTCATGTCATCCGGTTTCAATCCTAGCTGTCCCATGCGGTCAAGGATGCGCCGGAAGGAAAACTTGGATACCCTGAATGCATACCGCATTAGAAGAAAATTCCACATTCGCAAGGGAGACCCTCCCACCGCTAAATCCCAGCTGCTTTCGACAAGCTCTTCAGCGTAGCCCAATTGTCCATTTTTGCAATACGCCTGAACAGCCGTATCAAGCATTGGCCTTGTGATTTGTACCCCACTCGCCTGTGCCTCTTTGAGCAATTGACGGATAGCTTCGACGTCGCCTCGCTGGGCGAAAATCCCCATCAGTGTGCCAAATGTGTACGAGTCAGGAGGTACACGGTGTTCTCGCATTTCCGAGAAGGTAGACATAGCACCTGATAAATCACCGGCGGTAGTATACGCCAGGAGCAGTATATTCCAGCAAATTGTGTTTAGCGGAAGACCAAACTCTGTCGGAATTCGACCGAATTGCCGCCGTGTCTCGCACACATCACCTAGCCGCGCGTGAACGGCAAGAAGGGGAGTCACCGATCTTGAGCTCTTCGGGCGGCCATGATCTGCTAGGAACCTATCAAATAGGCGTTGGACAGTTTGCACATCCCCGATCTTGGAGAAGGCCCCCATTGCATCATCATATGAGCGAATGCTTGGCTTTTTATCTTCATCAAAGTGCGCCTCTTCGTCCAAGAAGTATGGTATGCTGTCGGTCATCCCAAATTCCAACAAACGTTGGATGATAGCTCGAATCATCTTCGCCTCTACCCTTGCATCCGGCAAATCCAAACGCAATTGGCGATAAACAAGAATGCACTTGACAAATTCTGACCTCGGCTTTGAAGATAGAAAGGTCCTCATCACGGCGAAATAGTGTTTATTTCCCAAAAAACCCAAGGAATGGTACGTGTGCAATAGTGAAAGCACAGTTGGTATCGGTGTGAGTTTGACGATGTCATGAGACTTGAAAAATCGCCCAACAAGACGGCGAGTAAAGTCTATGATTGCAACCTTGTTTGCAGCAGTAATATTGTTGATATCGGTCGGCAGATGCGCCTTTAAAGCGAGGAGATGCCTGGAAAGGGAATGCTCGGGAAAGTGAAATCGATCAAATCGATCTAGCAAAGAGTCCAATGTCGGTCGCTCGTTTTCAGGGATCTCCAGTAGGGACCTCCAGAGTAAAGCAATTTTGGTCCACTGTCTGTTTTCCACCATGTGCACCAGGCCTAGCGAGATGATATCCTGGGCAAATGGCGTGTAAATAGCTTGTTGACAAATTGAGTCCAAATGAAATGGTTTTTGAGCGGGCAACGAAAGCAGCTGAGATCTTAAAATGTTCTTGAAGTCTATCTCGGTGCGATCTTCAGGTGCAATTTCGTTGAAGAGTGCCCATGCACGTTTTCGTTCCTTTTCTTTCGACGATTTACTCATATAAGCACAGAGTGCAGGCTTGAGTTTCGGCGGGTACCCGGCTGCGACGTACAGCACCCAAGCTTTATCAAATTCGCTGCCATTCTTCCGAAGGAAAGCCTGGAGGGATGCGTCCGCTTTCCCGTCGTTATGGGGATATTCCGAGTCCTGAGGCTCTAGGGCCAGATTGGATGCATCTTCGTGGCTGAGTGAAGCCGCTGATGTAGCCTGGCGAAGACTTGAAATGGAAACATAAGATCTTGAAAAGCCTAGGTGTGACCTCCTCTGAAATCCCGTCTTATTCTGGGAGCGAGACAGACGCGAAGCTCCCAGTTGAGCCTGCCGAGGGTATAAAAATTCGAACAATGGCCCTATCTCGTCGCTTGACTCTCTGCTTTCGTGTTGGGTGCTAAGAACGGGGGACGGTCGTTGGCCTGACGCCTGCAAAAGCGCGATAAACCACTGAGGAGCATCCGCTCTAGCGCCATTGTGCTTCCAGAAATGATCAGATAAACAGCGTCGGTTTTGGATCACACCATTGGAATCTCGAAGGAAACGTCGTCCCGCGTTCTCGAGAGATCCCGTTGTACGTTCAAGCATCACCCCCAAATCGCAACTTCAAGCCGTGAGATGCCGTTATTATTTCTTGATCTGTATTGTCTTCGGTTCAAAAGATCTGTTTAGGCAATGTTCATGTCAGAAAACTGTCCCTGCTTGAGTATGACAAGCAATGGAGGAAGTTGTCCTTGGGTGGTGCCATTCGTACCAATGAAGGAAAACTGGACTCGTCGGCTTGTGGAACACAATATTGCTCACACACAAGGTCCCGGACATAAATTACCAATCAATTCCATGCACCTTGATTTGAACAAAGAGGCAATGGTAAATCCGAGGTCCCATGAGCTTGGGGAAAACACGCAAAAGATTCGGAGGTGCATGAAACTGCCGGAATTTCACCGCCTTTACTGAGCCCACCAATTCAACCGTGTCCCTCCCATCCTCATCAGAAGGACCCAAATAAAGGAACAAGAAAGCAAATTATCATGGAAGTGACTGAATTTATCTTTAAAGAGAGAGAGGAGGCTCTTCTTGTGGGAGACTACAATGCCTACCGGGCGCACACCACCAGAAAACTACAGAAACTCCGCAAGAAGCTTGGTCAGGCCACTGTCAAAGGCCGTAAGTATACTGCCAAACCAGCTGTGACTGCTGAAAATATTGGAAGCAATGTGTCGTATGTTACCCGCCTTTTCATTCCCAATTACTATTTTGATCGTCTCTAACCTACGCCAGATATGTCCACCTTTTGCTTCTTAGTTCCGAACGAGCTTGGGCGCAAGCAATGCACATGAAGTCCACACATTCCGCTGATCCTTCCGCAAAGGGGATCTCTGGCGCTGCTCGGCGCCACGTTATTTCTCGACTAAACAAGGCCACTGGGTATGCGCAGCATCTAGTCTCGCTGCTCCACGAACAAGCGCTTTCTGGGGCGAGTGATGTGGATGTCCTGGAGACTCGAGCTTATTTAGCGATGATTTCCGGCGCTATGTGGCTTGAAAAGCGGAAATGGGAACAGTGTCTCCGGGACTACTCTCTTGCGAGAGTGATTTACACGGCTTTGGGTCAAAGGGTAAAGAAAGACGCCTTTCGGGACCTGCTCTCGGGGACTGTTGACCCAAGTCTCCGATACGCGGCTTATCAGATGAAGCTCCCCCGCTCCAAGCCTACCTCATCGTTGGCCATTGAATTCTTCCCATTGGATTCGGAGATTCGCGCCGAAGTTGAGAAAGTCGACCCCTCTTGTCTTGCTGAAGAAGCAGCTGGTACTCGACGGACTGCAGAGGGAGAGGTGCAGGAATTGCCTCAGTCTGTCACTTGGAGGTCACGAACTGTCCCACTGGACGATGCCTCGATCTCTCAATCGTTAGCTGCTGCTTCAGCCGCGGAGGCTCGCCTCACCACCTGGCTGGCAGACGCAGGAAAGTCTGCTGCTGCCAAGGAGAAAGCCGCTGCATATGATAACGTGATTATTGCTAGTCAGGATGCTGTTGATGCTACGAAATCTGCCATTGATGATTTGGCCAGTGAGGGCGTTGATCCTAGTGACAAGAGAATGCAGGCATTGCAAATCACTCGAACTGCAGTGAATTACACTTTGATTGGCTGGCGAGTCGGTCGTAACCGGGTATTGTGTGGAGAAAAGGACGGTTTGTCATTTGAGGAGCAGCAACCCACGGGTGGAAAGGAGACTGCAAAGCACAGCACAGGAAATGGCAAGAAGTTGAACAAGCTTCGCGAGCGTGTCGTTCTGTATGATTCGACACTCCAGAGCTTGGAATTTATTCTTGAGCTTCCAGGTGTTGCGGCCGACTCGGCCTTTGTGCAGGATGTGGAGGCAAAACGGCACTACTTCCGTGCTCTCAGGTATGCTTTTCCCCACAATCCTCACTGATTCTCGTAACTAATGGTTTCTTTCTCTTAGGTGTCTTGCGTTAGGAAGATCTCATGCAGTTCTTTCTAAATCAAAGGAGGCTCTTGCACTATTTTCTCAGGCCCTGAACCTCGCCGCTTCTGCCTCTCCCCAGTCAGCAGCAGATGTTGAAGGTGTCCCAAAGCTGGATGTTTCCCAGGTGCAAACAAGTACCCTGCAGTCAACTTTACGAGATTTGGTTGCACGTTATCGTGGACTTGTCACTCTAGAGAAGTTGACTGCCGAAGAGGCGTCACAGTCGAGCCAGCGGCCAGTGGTAGAACGACTACAACATTTCGCAGGATCCGGACTGGACCTCAATAATTTGGTGCCGTATCCACCTCAAATGCAGCCCATTCCTGTCAAGCCCTTGTTCCTTGATGTGGCATGGAACTACATTGATTACCCTCGGGAAGGTCAGCAACAGGCTCCAACTCACCCTCAAGCCCAAGCTCAGGCCCCCGAAGAAGAAACGAAACGTCGCGGATGGTTTGGTTTTGGTGGTCGTTGAACCCTTACATAGATCTACGAATACCCAGTGCATTTCATATATACAAAAGTACGTAGTACGACATGTACGTTGTAGTAATAAGCACACCGTACATATAGCTCTTGACCAATCAGAGACGATCAAAATCTCGGGAATTCCCTAGCCGGGGTCACGTCGTGCTGAGTAATTATGATATTCCATTTTGGGATTATCTACTCCGTGCTCCGTGGAGATGTTACAATTTTATTTTGTGTTCATATAATATTCAATGTTATAGTATGAAATACCTCTAGAGTACGGAGTATATAATGTAGAAATACATAGCCAGCAACTAACTATCACCAATATTAAGCCTGGCTCGAAGATATTAACAAACCCCCTTTATACTAGCTACACTAGCTAAAGCAAATATTTTCAAATATTTATATGGAGGAGCCAAAGAATAAAAGAAAAATAAATCAACCTAACAAAATCTATTGAATATTAATTACTCCATTCACCGTAGTTATACAATATATTTTTTTTTGATGCAGGATAATGCTGGGCATCCCGGGGCCGTGTAATTGGCGTTCCCGCCCCTGAGCCCCAGTCAATTCTTTCTCCCCTCTCTCCACTCGCTTTTTTCCCTTTCTGTTCTGGGTCTCCTTCTCAATTCACTTTCTCTTCAATTCTGTTCGGAAATTTGACCCGTGGACTCCCAACATGGTCAATATGGCCAACATCACCGGGAGCTTCGTCTCGCCATTGGCGGATGCGACGGTCTCCCCTCAACTTTTTGCGCCGGCCGGTCTCGTCGCCACCATATTGGATGGCTTCACTATCTGGAAGGGTCTGCTGACTTTCTTGATCGCTGCTGTCCTCTATGACCAGTGTGAGTGACAATTCGAGATGTGTGTGTCATTGTAAATCGCGTGAAACTAATTCAGACCCCTATTTACAGTCAAGTACCACTACCTAAAGGGCGCCATTGTTGGCCCTATGTATAAGATTCCATTCATGGGCCCGTTCCTTCAATCAGTCAACCCCAAATTTACCGAATATAAGGCCAAATGGGACAGCGGTGATCTCAGCTGTGTTTCTGTCTTCCACAAGTGAGAAGTTTCCAAACTCAATCCCTTAGGGGCCTAATCTCTAACGTTATTCTAGGTTCGTCGTGATTGCGTCCAGTCGTGATATGTCCCGGAAGATTTTCAACTCGCCCGGCTATGTCAAGCCCTGTGTCGTTGATGCTGCGCACAAGCTCCTGGGCAAGACCAACTGGGTCTTCTTGGATGGCAAGGCCCACGTGGATTACCGCAAGGGTCTGAACGGATTGTTCACTCGCCAGGCCCTGGCCATGTACCTCCCCCGCGCCGAGGAGGTCTTCAACGCCTACAACCAGCACTTCCTCAAGAAGTCCGCCGCCACCAACTTCACCCCGACCCCCTGGATGTCCGAGTTCCGCGAACTTATGTGTGCTCTGTCTTGCCGTACCTTTGTCGGTTACTACATCAGTGACGAGGGTGTCCAGAAAATTGCCGATGACTACTATCTGATCACTGCTGCCCTTGAGCTGGTTAACTTCCCTATCATCCTTCCCTACACTAAGACCTGGTACGGCAAGAAGGCCGCCGATATGGTGCTTTTGGAGTTCACCAAGTGTGCTGCTAAGTCCAAGGCCCGCATGGCTGCCGGTGGTGAGATCTCTTGTATCATGGATGCTTGGGTTAAGTCCCAGCTGGATTCCGCCGCGTACCGCGAGAAGATTGCCAAGGGAATCGAGGTTGATTCTTCAGAGAAGCCTAGCCAGGTTCTTCGTGAATTCTCCGACTACGAAATTGCCCAGACCATCTTCACCTTCTTGTTCGCTTCCCAGGATGCGACCAGTGCCGCCTCCACCTGGTTGTTCCAACTGATGGCCGACCGCCCCGAGATCCTGGACAAGGTCCGTGAGGAGAACCTTAAGATCCGTAACGGTGACCGCACTCTTCCCGCCACGATGGATATGCTCGACAACATGCCTTACACCCGCGCCGTCGTTAAGGAGACTCTGCGCTACCGTCCTCCCGTCATCATGGTTCCCTACCTGGTCAAGAAGGATTTCCCTATCAGCGAGACCGTCACCGTCGCCAAGGGCTCGATGATCATTCCCTCCGTGTGGCCCGCCTGCCACGACGAGGAGGCTTACCCTAACGCCGACTCGTTTGATCCAGACCGCTGGATCACCGGTACTGCCGAGCAGCAGACCAAGAACTGGCTTGTCTTCGGCACAGGTCCCCACTACTGTCTGGGTCAGACCTATGCTCAGCTTTCCCTGATGTCCATGATCGGAAAGGCCAGTATGGTGATGGACTGGGAGCACACCCCGACCCCCGAGTCAGAGGACATCAAGGTGTTCGCCACTATTTTCCCCAAGGTATGTTCAAGCTTATTTTCTGCTGCGATGATCAATTCACTAATATACACCAGGATGACTGTCTTCTTACCTTCCGCCCCCGCGATTAAATTCACACTTTTTGTACAAAACAACAAAGCAAGGCTGGAACTCAGCCCCATTTTCTGGACAGAGGGCTTGGTTACCATGACATGATATCTTGTCCCGGATATAGGGCGGTCCGCTGAACCTTTCCTCTTTATCATTCGATTTTGATGCATGATGAACGCTCCAGGAAAAGTCTTTAGCATATGTTTCTCTTGCAGAGACCTTTCATACCCTTGCGCAAAGAAATCCCCATTGCGATTATGATTACCTATTGCCCACCAGGGGTCGTGGGGGGGTTTCTTGTTTCCTTTCTTCTGACTGACTACCCCTAGAGCCATGCATATTAGAACAATATTAATTCTCTTTTTCTGCTTTGACTAATTATGACATGTTATATAAAATTTCATACGCTGGGATTAACTAAACATATCTTGCACGTACACCAAAATAGGGGCTAAAGCCCTTTGTTTATCTCTTTGCTTTTGTCTTGATTTTAAGCATTCCAATTGGTTTTAGATGGACAACTTCTACAACATATGCAATCATAGATGAGTCCACCAATTAAGGCCTTGTGATTTGAATATAGCCTTTCTTGGCCTACTAGTGAGTAGCTAACTGATTTTTCTATATAGATTTGAGTAAAATTCTGAATCACAAGGTCTCATTCATTTGATATACACTCCACTATATATCTGTGCTATATCCACAAGATCTATATGAAAATAAAATAAAAATATTTATCAGCCCTGTAACAAGACTCGCTAGTTACAATATAAACAACCGAGCTCCTTCCTACCAATCAAAAATCTCAATATTCCCCTGCAACGCTTGTATATCACCCTAAAGCACTGGAGACTACCCATGAGCAAAAGCCCTAAATCAGTAGGCGGTCACGCAAGACAGATACTGACATCACCGTTCCGCGACCCGAGGTTACCCACGGAGATGTACTAACTCCCACTCACCTCCGCGGACAATCAAACCCAAAATTGAAACAATGGCTTCATCATTATCATCCAAGATCCAGCGATCCGCTGTTGTGCTGTCCTCCGCCGCAATCAGAATCCCGACACGTAGTGCGGTATCACCAGCCGCGGCCTTACACCGAGCTCTCTCCGCACCGACCAGAGGACTAGTTACATCTCCTCACAACCGTTTGGCACAATCATGCATTCTCCAAAAGCCAATTCTGAAGAGTTCGAGCCAAGTGCAGACGCGCTGGAACAGCGATGAAGCCAGTCCGGTCAAACTCCAGGAATGGGGATTCGAAGATGTATGTACCGAAGCCTGCATTACTTTGAACGGAATATCATATCCCAATGAGAACACAGTAAACAATTTCAATTATTACAAGGCTAATAAAACCAAAGATCAACGCTGCCCTCCCATCCTCAACCTCCAACTCCCCAACCCATAAGCCTATAATCCTCATCGATGTGCGCGAGCCCGCCGAACTCCAAGGCACGGGGATCATCCCATCTGCAGTGTCGATTCCGCTGGCATCGCAGCCAGATGCAATGTACCTAACGCCAGATGAGTTCGAGACTCGGTTTGGGTTTGCTAAGCCTGATCCTACGGAGAGTGAGGGCGAGCCTGCGCAGATGGTGTTCTATTGCAAGGCTGGTGTGCGGGCTAAGACGGCGGCGCAGATGGCTGTGCAGGCTGGATATGACCCTGCCAATATTGGGGTTTATTCGGGTAGTTGGTTGGATTGGGAGAGGAAGGGTGGAAAGGTTGAGAAGTGGGAGGGGAATGATTCTTGAATTAGGGATATCGAAGTAATGCTCATTTGAGTGCTGATAGCTGTTTATGGGATGCTGTGCTGGGTAAGAAAAGGACTGTACATAGTACACGAGGCTGGATAGGTCATCTCTGGTCTATTCTGGTATTCTCTGAAGCAGCCGTTTGATTTGGCCCGTGCCCTAGAAAGACCGTTCTTCCAAGTTTCGAAGGTCAAATTGCTTCAAAACAGATGAAGATTAATTAGGAAGTCGACATGTCTATTCACTAATGCATACTTGAATAGTATAAAATCAATTCACTATAACGGAAACAAAAGATCTGGTATCAACCAGGCCTTGCTCTTCCTATATCATGTACAGGCGACTTCTCTCCCTGTTCATCCGTCAAGTCATGGTCATTCATTGTATGTTCAAATCGTAATCAAAATAGAATAACTTTTCCGCATTTCGATAGCAATTGTCAAAGCCTAGTAGATTTTGATTCATTTCCTCAAAACAGGCTATGAACCGAAGGCCATGAGGGCCGACGGAGAACAAAGCTCGCCACTTACTGGCATTTGATCGTTAAGTTCGCTCGAGGACAGGTACCGCAAGGCTGGGATGGGCCCGGTGCTGAGAATCCTTGATCTGCAGACACCGCACACGGGAAGGAAGTCCTAAGACTGAATTCAAGGAATGTCGAAGACAGGCTTGAGCTTCTTGACCAGTGCCCATTCTTCCATAGTGACCTCGGACCGGTAGAACTCCTTGAGGGTGTCGATACTCTTACGCGAGATGTGCGAGATCAGCTGATCCTTCTCTTCGAGGTGACGACCATACATGGGCTGGTTGGGGCCTTCGACCTTGACAGCAACGGAGGGCTGACCTCTCTTGCAGACGGGAACAGCCTTGTGATCGCGCTCGATGGATGTGCTGTGAAAATAGCGTTAGAAATTAGAAAAAAAAAATTATGAAGGGAGAGCAAAGCTTACACTCTACCAATGTCAACAATCTCCCTTACACCAGCGGCGTTGGTCCTGACCGCAGCCAGAGGAGTGTGGAGACGCAGGCTTCCTTCAATGACATCGACACCGATAACAATGGGGTCGGTCTTGTTGAAGACAGCAATGGGCTTGATGACACAGGGGAAGATAGCAAGAAGCTTAGCCTCCTCCTTACGCTGCTCAGTGATCTGAGCCAGGTGCGCAGTGAAGCTATCGAACAAGTGGTAAATGATGTCAGCGGTGAAGATCTTGACACCGATTTCGTTTGCATAGGCCATTGCGTCCTTATCAACCTTGACATCGAAGCACAGCATGACAGCATGTTCCTTACTCTTCTCAAGCATGGTGCCGGCCATCATGACATCACGCTTGTAGACGGGACCAATGGAGATATTGGCAACAGGAATCTTGGAGACCTTAAGGAACTCCAGGAGAGCCTCGAGCGAACCCAGGGTGGAGGCCTGGACAGTGACACCACGCTGATCAGTTGAGACACGGCTCAGCAGATTCTCCAGATCGCTCATGACCTCCTCCTCAAGATCCTCCTCATCATCGTCAGGGCCAACGACCATCATGCGAGAACCAGCAATAGCGTGCTCCAGGTCATTGGCAGCAATCTTCACACCAAGGGCGGCCTTAACCTCCTTGTTGTGGACGTACTGGGACTTCAGACGCAACTCCTTGAGCGGTGCTGGTGTCAGAAGAGCACGGATATTGGTTGTAATAGGACCGTTGAGACCGCACATTACGATGCGGTCACCCTCACGAAGGATACCGTTGGACAGAATAACATCGATGGTGGTACCGAGACCCTCAATGACCTTGACCTCCAGAACTGTACACTCGACCTCGGACAAGTACATCAGCGAGTTGGTCATACGCTCTTGACTCAGGCTGGTCAAGAGCTTCAGCATGTCAGGAACACCCTCTCCAGTGTGGGCGGAGGTGGGAACGAGAGAGACGTTGCGAGACAGGGACTTGTTCTCGAAGAACAGCTCGGAGTTGAAACCCTGCTCGGCGAAAGCAAGCTTGGTGGCCTCAAGACGAGTGCGGAACTCGTTCTGAACACCCTTGTTCTGCATAGCCAAACTGTCCTCGAAGCCATTGTTGTCAATCTTCTTCCAGCCGTAGAGACGATCAATCTTGTTCAATGCGACAATGAAAGGAGTCTTGCGGTCACGCAGTAAACGCATAGACTCGAGGGTCTGGGGCTCGAGACCGTGCATGATATCAACGACAAGGATAGCAATGTTGCAAAGGGAAGAACCTCTTGATCGCAGGTTGGAGAAGGACTCGTGACCGGGGGTATCGATGATCAACAGACCCGGGACCTTGAACTCGAACTTGCCATCCTTGTTGACAACTTGAGTCTTTGTGCGCAGAGCATCGACAGGGAAGTAAGTGGCACCAATCTGCTGGGTAATACCACCTGCTTCGCCCTCCTGCACGTTGGTTTGTCGGATCTTGTCAAGCAGCTTGGTCTTACCAGTATCGACGTGACCAAGAATACAGCAAATAGGGGAGCGGAGATTGTCCTTTGAACGAGCCGCCAGAGCCTCCTCGTGCTTGGCCTTTCTCCGCTCCGCAGCCTCGGCCTTTCTCGCCTGAATGGCCCTTTGGTTGGTGGATTGCTCTTCGTCAGATGAATCTTCATCTGATGATTCCTCGGAATCAGAGTCGGAGGGCTCTTCATCCTTCTCGTCCTTTTGGGCGGGTGCTTCCTCAGCAGGCTTCTCTTCCTCAGCGGGCTTTTCTTCCTCATCCGATTCAGCATCCCAGCTGTCCTTGACATCCTCGTCGGCAGCCTGCTCCCAGTCTTCGACGGCGTCTTCCGCAGGAGCGGCGGCGGCGGCAGCAGCGGCGGCGGCCTCAGCCTTGGCCTTCTCCTCTTCCTGCTTCTTTCGATCTTCAGCTTCCCGCTTAGCCTTGGCACGAGCGGCGGCGGCTTCAAGGTCCTCTTCTTGCTTCTTGCCAGCTCTCTTCTTCTTGTTCTCATATACAGGGCGCGCCTTCTTGTCACCACCCTCCTCCAAGCCAGCAACCTTGCCACCGGCGGCAATCATCTGCTGCATGCGCAATTCATTGCGCTCCTTGGCCTCTCGTTGAGCCTTGGTAAGCAGCTTACCTTCCTTGCGTAGCTGTTCCTTCTTTTCGCGCTCCTTCTCCTTCTTGCGCTCACGAGCCTCAGCACGTTTCTTCTCTTCCTCTTCATCGAGGAGCCTCTGCTTTTCGGCGGCAGCCTTCTCTTCTGCTGCAAGTCGCTCCTCCTCCTCACGTTGCTGTCGAAGAAGCTCCTGTTGTCTCTGAAGAGCTGCTAGGTGGGGTGGAAGCTTCTTCTTCTTGCCACCAGTCTCTGGGGCGGGTGCAGCGGCGGGTGCATCCTTCTTGGCCTCAGCGTCGGCAGTCTTCTTGGCATCGGCCTTTTCTTGAGCAGGGGTGAGCTTCTTCTTTGTAGCAGCCTATATAGACGAAAAAAAACTTGTTAGTATATGATTTCGACTCCCGGAAAGAATTTCCAGCCCGTAGAAGAATGTAAAAACCTACCTGCTCCTTCTTGCGCTGCTTCTCCTTCTCCTTCTTCTCACGCTCCTTCTCCTTTTTGCTCTTTACTCGGAACTCGCCCTCGGGCTCTTGCACCACAGGCTTAGCCACCTCCTTGATGGGCTTGGTCTTCTTTCCAGCGAAAACATCATCATCATCATCGAAGTTACCCTCCTCAGGCTGTTTGCTAGCCAAATCGACGGCAGGCTTGACCTCGGCACCCTCGGCGTCCTCACCCTCGACAAAATCATTATTGACCTTGCCCTTCTTAGCCTTCTTGGCCTTGTTTTTTCTCAAAGCGGCCATAAGGCCACCGACCGGTGCCTCCTCCTCGTTGGCATCTTCTTGGGGCTCGACGGGAGCCGCGGCGGGAGCAGACTCGCCGAGATCGGCCTCCCAGTCCTCCTCTTGTCTCTTGTTACCCTTCTTCTTTGGCGCCATTGTGATAAATTTCTCCTGGGGTTTTGGCGATCCGATTGGAGTGGTGACCGGAGAAATGTGGTGGGCGCACAAACGGAGTTAACCGGTTATTTGCGAGGTGTATTAATACGCACACGTATTAAGAGGGAGAGAATGACAGAAGTCAAAAAGGACGATCCCCAGAAAGAAAGGCGAGAGATAGAGCTCTCTGTAAGGTGGGCCTAGGGAGGGGTGTGGGAAAGAAAAGAATTTCGGGAAGAATCAATGGACGGTGGGGAACAATGGGCTATAAATTGCCACGACCACGAACTAGCTGTCCCCCATATATCAATGTTTTTTTTTTGTCTTTTAGGGTATCTTATATCGTCTATACGCAAATCTACACCAGAACAACGAACTTCAAACATTACTTCAAACATTACTTCAAACATTACTTCAAACATTACTTCAAACATTACTCAAACATTACTCAAACATTTTAATCTGAGCTATCCATGGATTTCATAGATACATCTCCTCCAGGGCTATGTTCTTCCAAGCTTGCTTCTCTGCAGCTTTTCGCCCCGGTTGACCCCCCTGAAGCTTAAAGCTCAACGTGTAGTAGATTGCGAAGCCAGGTGAAGAGAGCCTGGGTATGATTGACATGGACCCCAAGCACGTCCTCAACTGCCTTGAATAACATACCCACTGTTTCAGGGGTCAGGTCCCTGAACTGATTGCTGTTGCATGCCCCAAGAACCCTAGCCAGATGTTTCGAGTCGTGACTCACGAGACGAACCAGAATGTTACCATCGATATGCATGCTTTTTTCAACCTGGGAAATGGCATGAAGGTAGCGATGTCTATTGGACAGGGAAGGGCAGATAACATTATCCCTAAAGCAAATGTTGACCAGAAGTTGAAGAAGGCGCCACTCACTGGCATCAAGAGGCAAGAGCCGGTAGACAGACCCATTGATGCCAAAGCCATAAAAGGTGGTATGAGCCCTCAGCCGAGATGGACACTTGCTGCCTTGTTTGAGCTTAATCAAAGAGACGGGAAGATCGGCCGTCGCACAAGGCACAAGGTCACCCGGTTGATGGATGCTTGGGAGAACCCGGGTAGCTCCACCTCGGGTACTCACAAAAAGGAGATCCGATTCAAGTCCAAAACCGGGAAGTTCAAGCCCGGGCATCCCATACCCGGGCATCAAAGTGTGAGACAAACCATCACGTGCGATTGGGTCGGAGCCGCTTGCCACGATGTCTCCGTTCACAATATTGTAGGTCAACACGGAATGTCTCGAGGTGGTGACGTAGATCATGGTCCCTCTCACCGTGATCTCGACAGCTGGGGATGGGAGACGCGCGGTGATATTTCGATTCCATTTCGTTCTAGAGTTTCGTGAAGTGACAGTGAAGAACATTTTCCCGGAGACAACAATCACGCTATCGTAGTAAGCCGCCACCGCATACACTGGGTCCTTGAACCATTGCGTGTGCTTGTCAATGCAAGTGATCTGCCCAGGAGAGTTGACATCCCGAGACGCTTGTAGGAGCATCAATCGACCTTGGCGGCTATTAGGTTGATGAGGCAGGCTGATTGAAGTCCCAATTGCGATAAGATGGTATGCGTTACCATCCTTGTGTGGCAAGCAGTCCACAATACATGTAATTTTCTCACCAGAAACTCCATGTGGTCTCCAGGGGAGAAGACCCTGAGCTACCATGTCTATATCATTAGGGACCACTGGCAACTGTGTGTCTGGGTCCACAAATTCGACACATGCCGTGCGAGAAAGATCGAGTGGCTTGGCCTGGTTTTCATTCTGGACAACAGAATATGAAACAATGAGACTCCGGAGATGGTGGGAATAGGTGAGCTTGCTGGGATTTCCGGGAATGTCGATGCGTCGGGGAACGGCCTTTTCCTCTTGATCCAGAGAGCATACGAGAAGTTGGCCATCTGCAAAACAGAACATGTATGTAGTTACAACCCCGGACTCTTGATCTCTTATATCGACAAGATCAAAACCATTCAATCTGGTAGGGAAGTATGCAGGCTGGCATGAATGTTAGGCCACACCTCAACAGACCAGGATATGGGATGTGACTTACGCAGTTTTGATCTGTAATCCAAACACGACTTAGGAAATAGTCACAGTCGTTGCCACCTGGGGCATATGCAACACGCCAGAAATCATCCCCGCATGTAAACAACGCAAATGTATCATGGGATCTGAGATTGATTGAGGTTTCCCCAAAGTGGCGTGGCGCTCTTTGTTTCAAACCTGAAGAGAAGGCATCTGGTTAATAAATCAGACAATATTTCGAACCAAAGATGACTAACATTTGAAACCGAATTGAACGTCACCGCAAAAATTGACACCCTCCGTATCTATCTCAAACGGAACAAGTATGCCACTTCGTAGTCCACAGAAAAGGAACGGGTGCATTCTACCGTCTGAGAGAGTCCTGATAACAGCGAGGCTTTCAATCGTTTTGGACACGTCTTCTTCAGTATCGATTGAAATACGAGTGTCGGCATGTTGTCTGATCCCACCAGACTCGTGAACCTCGAATGATAGCACTGTGCCATCGCCTGTGCCAAGGAAAATGAATCCAACTTGCCCCCAATCCTGGTAGGAAATACAAATGGGTTCTTTTTCAAGCGGGTATGGAGGCTCATGATTAGATAGAGAGACAAGTCCTCCGGTCGTGACTATCCGAAGCAAATGAAGAAAATTCCCCTGTTCAGTTGTTGTAGTCATGATGATAGTGGAACTTGGGCCATCCACAATAGCTGATGTGACAAATACACTGGGATCATGATGAACACAGTTGCTGAGAGAGACATCATTAGGGACGAAAAAGTGCACAGCCTTTTCTGTGACCCGAACAATAACACCAGAAGGTGTACAGTCCATTGCCAAGGTCTGCTGAACATCCAAGTCTGTATCATCCTGAAGCGCAGTAATCCCATCTCTCATGTCCGGAGTCGTATATAGAAGCAACGAGGAGATGGGATCAGAGGCCACCAGGTAGATTGAATCCTTAGAACCGAGTGACACAGCCCACATACCACGTATGCTGGAAAATCCACCCAATGTAGCCGCGACTCCAATCTGAGCCTCAACGCCATACCGAAGTTCAGTGATAGCCCCGTTGCCTGAAGCAGAGGTTGAGCAGACAAATAGTCGATCGTGGGCATAATCCATTTCCTGTCTGTGTACGAACGGGCGGTCTGCTTTAATAACAGCTGCATCGGGGACTGGTGCCCAGTTGATGAATCGCTGAACACACCTAGGGTGATCCCGTGCCTCCTGGACAAACAACCCACCATCACCCTGGCTTCCAGCAGCCAGAATAAAATCACCACCTTCATGGCCCATATCAAGAATATCAAATGCCGTATCAACATCGCAGTGGAGCTGGCCCAGAGAGGTTTGGGTTTCGAGTTCACCATCGTTGCCAAACTCTAGATAATAGATCCAGCCTTTTTCTTGACAAAGGAAGATTCCATCGTACCTCTGACTGTACATCCAGTTCCGCGAAGGTCTGGCCCAGCGAGTCCACAGACCAGCTTCGGATGATTCTGCGTCGGGAAGGATCGGCGGGTATCGCATCGGACGAGACGAACAATTGGGTGTGTACATTGCCATGGAATTTGTCGTGACCAGGAGGTAGGATGATTCTTTGGCCAAAGGGATGACCATGCTAGGTAACTGGTTTTGCTGAGGTAGAGAGGTTGAGGTGCGTTTGGGATCCATGCGGTTGTGTACACTGGCTCCATCCCATTCAAAGACCATAGACCGTGTTGTGTTATGTTTATGGACGATAAGCAGTAGAATGATCCGTTTATCATTGTTGTCTTTCGGGTAAAGAAATTCCATGAACAGTATGTCACCATCCACTTTGAAGAAGCTCTCCTGTTTGAATAGTGTTAATACCAGGCACATGATAGATAAAATGGTTGTGAGCTCATACGCTTGAGAGTGGGTTCAGCTTCCCCTCAATCATTTGCATCTGGAGTTCGCCAGGGGATTTTAACCATAAGACACCGAAGAAGTCACGCGACGCGCTGACTGCGACCGCACGCGATCTTAAACCACGGTGTGAGCTTTCATCCAATTGAGCCTAGAAATGTGCGATACTTACTTGGGATCAACAGCAATATGCCTGCCATACTTGTCGGCTATGTTGATATCGCGGGGCAGAGGTCGAGTGTAGGAAACAACTGGGCCATCTCCCACTTCTGAGCAGTACATGAAAAGAAGCTCATTTGAATCCGTAGCAAGGAAAAGAATTTGGGGAGGTAGGTTGTTTGTGTCAAAGGGGTGAGCTAGACTTGGAGCTTGAGTTTCCCAAGGCAATTGGGTGCTGACATTGATGACTTTTGCACCAATAAGCGAGCCTTCGAGATCTGATGTTTCGACAACATCTTGAAGATGACCGCTGGGTAGAGCCTCCTTGATTTGAATTCGTCGTTCTCCAATGAAAACAACATCGTTGTGGTGTTTATCTCGAAGACGCGCTGGAAGGATCCAGTTGATGATAGGGCTGGGGATTAATGGCTGGGTAAGCAGTCCAACCAAACGCGTCGAACGCGGTATGGGCTGTTCAGCCATTGCAGTAACCAGGCAGGTTTCACAAGAAACCGAAAACAGATTAGAGCAAACGACTCGAAGGTCAAAGACACGAAGCGACGTAGAGAGATATGAAGAAACTCAAAGAGAGAAATGGAAGACGGAGAAGGTGAAAGGCAAAATTGAAAGGGAATGAATTGGAAGGGAATGAGTTGGAAGGAAGTTAGGCAATGGGCAATATCAAGAGCCGATCAGGCAATGGCCTGAGGCGCAACAAGCCCTCAGATCTGGTTGAGCAGCACCAAACTTCCTGTGACTTTCTGCATTCAAGAAACAGGACAATAGTACTTGATATTTGGAAGTTCAGCTTCTCTTCATACTTCAAACGTTAGAATATCTCGATGCGTTTTATGCATTGACTGCCAAATGCGATACTGGCTGTGAGTTTCCGATACACAACCCAACGCGGAGAGAGTACAGGCTGCTATAATTTCACAGTCAAGTATGTTCCGGACAAGCCCTGTGATATCTTTGTTAACCAATGCATCTGACGTATGGGGGACTCAATGTGAGACTTGCAGCTTGCCTGAATGCTATACAGCAGTAACAACCCTCAAATATATGCAAATATTTGTCACAACCTCCATTTGTTTCCAACCTCTAGTAAGCAACACTTTATCACAAATATAGCACTTGTCACTGGCAGACAACTCGAAGAGCCCAACTCCGGAGTTATGCAATCACCGCCCGTCGGTGAGATGCCACAACCCCAGAAACTGTGAACTTCCAAGGGCGCACAGCACGGACACAGCTATATTTGTCCAAGATCTTGCGATGAATAGCGCAAAGCTATTAGACCGGAGCGTTGTGCCTAAGCCTAGCACAGAGCGAATGTTGTTATCGGCGAAAACATGTCGCGGCTGCCGATCGATGCCTAAGGCTGTCAAGTGGGACTCCGGCCCGCCTTCGACTTCAGACCTACACCCGTGGAGGTTGGGTGTATGTGCCTAGAGATCCATCAGTTCACATTCAAAGAGTCCTCAGTTGTGAAAGTTGAGACAAATATCTCACCTAGTTGGTCGCGAGTTGTTGCTTTAGACACGTCATTTCGTTGTCCAGTGAAAAAGCTCTAGCCGATCTATATCCGATCAGCCTCTCGATATTGTTGAGCTAAATTCAGAACGCACACCGTGACACTTCTTCATTCAGATCGAGAAAGAACTGAGCTGGAACCTTCCTCTTTTTCTGTGTGTGCACATTAGCTGCTTGATCTCCTCGTCAGGCGACATCTTAGCAGACAAAGGATGGAAGATACTGGAAAGGAAGAGATTAATCCTACCTCTGAGGATGCAGTTGCATCAGAAGACTCCTCCAAAAGGTCCAGTTTGAATGAAGGGGCACAGCAGATGGCTCGGGCGCAAAAGGCGAGAGCCATTCGCAAAGCATGTGCAGTGCGCGATGTGGAAGCCTTAGCTGTGCACGCAACTTCAGAAGGCGGGTTACTCGAAGATGACTTGAGACAGATAGCATGTGAGTTGGTCTAAAGAAGATGCATATACATATGGACCCGCCTAACCGGTGAATAGGGCCTATTTTGTTACGATGCAACGAGCAAAGGCAATTTGATACGGTCCCAAATACTGAAAATTTACGACATGCCGACGAAGAACAGGTAGAACTCGATGTCAACCGATCTTTCGTTTACTACCCCAAAGGTAAGTTATTAGAACTTCAATCTTTCTGTGCAAGATGAGTTTGGATGTTAACAGAGTTTAGCTCCCGAGGAGGAAATGATGAAAAAGAAACAGCAGCTATCCAACCTGATTACTCAAGTGCTAAGGGAATATCCCATGCTTTCTTATTTCCAAGGATATCACGACATAGTCCAAGTTCTTCTTTTGGTATTGGGCGAGAAGCAAGCCGCGCCAGCGGTTGCACAGATATCACTTTTCCGCATACGTGACTACATGCTTCCATCGCTGTCCCCAGCCGTGAAACATCTCCATCTCATTCCTGCTATCATCGAGACAACAGACCCCGAGCTAAGACGACACCTTGGCAACATTGAACCATTTTTCGCCCTCGCAGCTACACTGACACTATACGCCCATGATATTCAAGAGTACAGCAATATTTCACGACTTTTCGACTTTCTTTTGGCTCGGGAACCTGTGGTTGCAATCTATCTCTTCGCAGCAATGATCCTGTCTAGGAAGAAAGAGCTGCTGGAAATTCCAGCGAATGAGCCCGAGATGCTTCACTTTACACTTTCCAAGCTGCCATGTCCACTTGATCTGGACGGACACATTCTGCATGCGGCACGACTATTTGAGGACCACCCGCCAGAATCTTTGCCACTTGGAGCCTGGAAACATATTCCATGGTGCAGCGTGCTCAAAACTTCACGAGACCCACATGGCAAGTACATTGCAGAAGACGCGATATACTTGTTTGAAAAGCAATCCCAACAGATTCGGAGCGAAGAGCGCAGGAAAAGAGCCGTGGAATTCTTATGGAGCCACCGTCGCTCCGTGGGCTCTGTGGCGTTGGCTATCCTGGTCGGAGCTGCATCTTTCTACATCCGCAAGAGAGGGCTCGACACCTCGATTTGGTCTTATGTCGGCCGAATTCAAAAGGCAATCCGAAAGTGGATTTAATCTTCAAGTCAATGTGTACTCAAGTACGGCAGATGCTTGGTGCCATTGCACGTGTATGATAATGAGGAAAAATGATAGAACCATAATAAGAATCCTTATTTCCGAAGAACATAACTAAAAGATTCACATATAATAAAAAGCCCAGTGAATTATAGCAAATAATATGTATTCGATACTCATGTATGACACTGCGTAGTGGTACCCACAGTTGTGGCTTGAGCGCGTGGCTTTATCTGCGGAAGCTGATGTGTACACTTGACAACTCCCCTTCCAACAGCTTACTTCAAAACCAACCACAATGGCGAACCGAGGCTATGATGTTGTTGTAGATGTGGACGCAGAGGCAAGAGCACTGGAATGACCACTACATAATTTCAACTAACAAATCAGCAGGGCGACCTTGGCCACACCGACCTGCAAGAAGACCTCGAATTCCACCCCTCCAGTGAGTTCCCCAACCGAATGCTACAACCCAGCTCTCTAACTAGGTAATCCTACAATCCAGACTTTGAAAGTGACCAGAGAAACGCCAAAGTCCAAGGCGACTCCGCCCCGTTCCTGGGCGGCGGGCCATCGCGTCGCCGTGACCGGTCCCCTGGCGGTACGCCGACCAAGCACAACTGGTGGTCTCTGCACTACTACGAGCGATTTTTCGACGTCGACACGAACGAGGTCTTCCGCCGCTGCGTGGCGACACTGTACCCGCGCAGCAACTTCCTCGATGTGCTAGAGGGCAACGCAGACCTGTACGGGCCGATCTGGATCGCGACTACGGTGGTGGTTATCCTGTTTTTGACGGGCACTATCTCTCAATGGCTGTCGAACAATGACGACAAGCACTTCGAGTACGATTTCACATTGCTATCGGGCGCGGCTGGTCTGGTCTATGGGTACACGGGTATCTTGCCTATTGCCCTGTGGGGTGCGCTGCGTTGGTTCGGCAGCTCGACGGCTGACCTTATCGAGTGCTGGGCTCTCTATGGATACTCCAATTTGGTCTGGATTGCCGTGGCACTGGTCAGCTGGAGTCCGTTGACTGCGCTTAACTGGGCGCTTGTTGGCGTTGGTTTTGCATTTTCTGTCTTCTTCCTACTGCGGAACTTGTACCCGGTCTTGAATGCTACTGATGCCAAGGCTAGCAAGATCCTCTTGATCTTGGTTGTTGTGCTACATGCGGCACTGGCTATTGCTATCAAGGTGCTTTTCTTTGCGTAAGTTGTGTCCCCGACGAACGAATTGACCTTGAGAACTGACATATCTACTAGCCACGGGAGCCCCGCCTCGAAGAAAAACAAGGACAAGGATCACGATGACAAGGATGATGACAAGAAAGGGATGATGTTCTGAGCATAAGCGGAGGAGGATGAACTCTTGGCTTTCATCTGGAATACTGGTCATTCCGTAAATTCTTGCTCAGGTAGCAAGCGGGTTTCGCAGCTCAAGTTTTCTAGTCGTGTCATTGAACGCATGCATGTATTGTACTTTGTATTTACCGCAGACGGAATTGGGAGACGTGAAACAATTCGACTTTTTGAATTTTACACATTTCATTTCATGGAGTGCAACTTGGTCGTCGAGAGGAGCCAACTAGAAAAAGTATGACTGTGGCTGCATTGATTTTATCATCATATCTAACGCCATTTGTAATCCTCTTGATGTAGAAGTCCAGCCAATCCCCATCTCTGGAATCTGCACCACAACACACCGAGCACAAGACCGAGGAGCGAGTCGTTTACTTGAGCTTCTTCTTGGGGCGGAGCTGGTTGGTGTGTCCGCACTTCTTCTTGCGGCAGTTGGTGGCACGGGGAGGGAGACGAGCCTGTAAAAGGTCCGAGTTAGTACATGCGTTGACGTAATTGATGGCCTTGCCACGAAAGGCGGTTTCATGACGAGTTTCGGGCGCAGACGGAGAGAAGGCGGGGTAAACGTACGTAGCACTTGCGGCAGATGGCCTTGTCGCAGTTGAACTTGGAGGCAAGGGCCTTGAGGGAAGGCTCAATGATACCACCACGGAGACGCAGGACAAGGTGAAGGGTGGACTCCTATAACGAGTTGATATCGCATGTTAGCGAATGTTCCACCATTTCGCAGACCATAGACCATAAAGTGAAGCGATGATTCCTCCTCTTGCGTATCCGGGGTGGGCAGAGTCATCTCTGGACAAAGAGCAAGTTGAGATCCGATCCACCCGAGATACCATAACGCCCCCACTTTTGGTGTAAAATCACATAGGTTGAATTCCGGTTCATACCTTCTGGATGTTGTAGTCGCTCAGGGTGCGGCCATCCTCGAGCTGCTTGCCGGCGAAGATCAGGCGCTGCTGGTCAGGGGGAATACCCTCCTTATCCTGGATCTTGGTCTTGACATTGTCGATGGTGTCGCTCGACTCGACATCGAGGGTAATGGTCTTACCCGTCAGGGTCTTGACGAAACTATATCGCACGATATTAGTCCATATTCATATTCCTCCATGGGCTTGGGTCGTATCGGCGATCGGATTGTGGTTCGCGGTGACATTCGAGGGTTTAGAGAGACCTACATCTGCACTGGAACGGCGCGGAAAAAGACGATGTTAGCTCACTGAGTCCATAGCGATGCATAGATGCTGTTTCATGGGGTATATGGAACGTACTGGTTGCGAGTTTTCGTTGTTGTCGGCTGTCGGTCGCTGTGTTCCAGGCGGAGCTGTCGATTGTCAATTTGAGGATTTCGCTCGCTTAGCAAAGGTGGACCGATCGGGGTACCCTAAGCCCTAGTTACTATCCATTTTCGTTGTATATTATGTAAGCAACCCCAGTCGTCCCGGCCAATGATAACTTGGCACCGCATCTACATACGTCAGGTATACTCCGTAGCCCTGGGTTCTACTAAAAATAAATGCTGCTTTCTACTTTCAATGGTATTTCTTGATCATTTGAATACAATAAATCTCGATTATCAGCTCGGCTGAAATACAAATACCCCGAGAAAACACTAAAATAGTGCACAGCAACCTTGGTAAATCAAATAATTGAGCTATGTAAAGATCAAAGGTTGTACAAATATGAACGCCAGATACATGATTCCAAAGCCCCAACGCCATGCATATGATACAGCAGACTTCTCCATTTTTTCGACCTCTAGATGGTCGACCACATCTTTGAATTGGACATGAAATCATCATCGTCCATATCTTCATACTCTGCCGCGGACATATCTGCTTCAAAATCCTCTACTCCATACGTGTGGTCAGCATCGCTGTCGTCAGTGTCCATTCCTTTTGTTCCCAGACTAGCGAAGTATTCTCTGTTCTGTCGCTCTTCTTCTTTCTGTGCGATCTTGGACTCGATAACTGTGACAGCACGGACAAGAGTTTTTAATGGGACTGCAGCCAGCTGGGCTGCCACCTCGTAAAGAGTCCGTGCGGGGCCACTGAGATGTGATTCCCATCGATACCGGTGATACCACTCGCCGGGACGCCTGTGATCGTCATCTTCGTCAGGGATGACCCTCCTGACTCTAAGGACTTGCATGACCGTTTGTAGCAAATTGTCGAGCTTTTCCCCAGTACTTTCGGGAGGAGCATGAACAGGAGCATCATTGGGAGCACCAGGGGTTTCATGATCTTCATGAAGAACAGGAGCAAGAGCAGGGACAGGGATAGGAGCAGATGGAGGGGCCGAGGCAGAAGTAGAGAGTGATCCCGGGGCAGCGGTGGAGGTTGGTTGGATATCCTGCTCTTCTCGGCAGATGGGAAACATTTCGGCGATGTGACTGGGGGCTTTGGAAGTATCTAGCCAACTGCTTTCGTACCAGTCCATGTAATCGTCTAATTGGGCAGGTGTCATGTCCAACACATCTTGGTCTGTGATCTGAACGGCGGTCTTTTTTCCAATTTTGCCCCCAAATTGGTGATCTTGATCCAATGTTCTCTGGGCACTTGCCCATAGGTCCCAGTCCATAATCTGCGTAGCGGGCTCTCTATCTGTGGTGGGGTATCTTTTCAAACCATCGAGTGGGAAAAGTAGTTTCGTAGAAATGATGATTAATGCCATCAATTGCAAGTCGGGAAGGTGATGTTGTCTTTTTCGGGCATCGTATGAACCTGCTGTTGGATACTTGAATGTGAAGCCTAGCATCTCTTGTAAGACCCTAGTTGCATCATATATCTCAACTAAAACTTGTTAGCTAAGACCAACTGGAAAGAAACTGACTCTCATACTTGGTAAAGCTAATCTTTTAAGGAGCCGGAAAAGAACCATGGGCGTATTCAATGCGGGAAGTTCCAATTCGAACCGGCTCTGATAGAATAGCACTATTGCCAGGACACTGCGGTGGAACCGTTGAGCATCAGGGATCGTCTTTGTTGAAATTAGTCAAGAGCAATCCAAAAAAGGATTTCCCGGGTCAAATCACCACTCACATTGGCTTCAAGGACTGCAGTCAGTTCTGGCGGAAGCCTATCTCTCATTTCCCGAGGGACAGTTGCCAGGACCCGGGCGTAAGGGATCTTCTGGCGCATTATCATACTATAAGATGTGAGTATTACTCATCCCAGAAGCAAACAACTGAGCTTGTCTAGAGGGGACTATATACATACTCGTGAAAATCAACGACACAGACAGGGAGCCGCATCAAAAACGCTGCGAGATAACATGTTGCAACGGTATCAATCAGACGAGGCCATTCGAGATACCTGGAGTTTGGTTTAAATCCCATGTCATGAGATTCATCTCCTGCGGGCTGTGAGCTAAACAGCTCAGTTTCGGTGTCAACATCGTCATCTTCAGTAGCTTCAGTGATTCTCGTTTCAAAATCCTGCAGACGAAGAGCCCAGAGATCGCGAACAATAAGCTAATGAATAATGAGCTTTTATTCTTGAACACACGAAGCAACATATGCACATACCTCAAGTTCCTCTGGGAAACCATGTTCATGAACCAAGACATCACATTGTTTCCAAAGGATAAGCTGGTATGTTTGCAAGAAAAGCGTGTAGGCCGGACGGCCACGAAGTGCTATTGATAAAAGTCAGAAACGAGATCGATATTTAAACTGCTAATTACATACTCTTGCTTCCCTTCTCCCTGATTTCTCTCTTCAGGCGATGTGTTTTGCCTAGATTTCCAAAATCGTCGGCATCTTCTGCAATTTGGACACCCTAACTAGATTAGCTGTGTACTTGACATAGGATACAAGAAAGCCGATGGACGTCATACCTCCTGCAAATGACCGCGTCGACAATACCAAAGTCCATTATCGAGATAGTATCGGGTCTCACGGCAACCTTCTTGACCGCAGACCCCTCGGGTAACGTATTCCATCCCCAAGGGATTTGTTCATGCTTGGTTTGATAAAGAAGGGTTGGTATACCGAGATAGCGGGACTTTTTTTCTGCCTCAAAAATCCTACCGCCGATTTTGTCGCTCCACATGTCCCGCAATACGCGCACTGTGATTGATGGACCATCTGAGACGATAGAACTGTTATGTTGTATGTACTTTTTTCCAATGTACTCTATTGATTAGTGTTTACTAGGATTTATTTTTACAAGGATTTGCTTACTGGGGTTACATGCATACTTTTTTGTACTAGGATTTAGTTTAGCTCTAAATCCATTCATCTACCTTCTAGTCTACCTTATAATCTACCTGATAATTTACTAGAACCATCAATAGTCAAGCAAGATTGAGTATTTATTCATCACACTATCATGAGATGCTGAGACTCAGAACTGTTCGGACAACACATATCATGCCAACCAAAGCAATTCTCGGTCCAGCCCACATCCAAGGTTATGTGGGGGACAGATCTTGAAGCAACGGGCATAATCGTTCAAAGAATCGTATCCTCCTTTGAACCATGAAAGATAAAATTTTGGGGGGGCTTTGAGCCCTCGTGGAACATAAAGGTTGGCATAACAGGTAATAAATCCAGGTATTAAATTTAACCAGACTTGGGAGCCTCCTTGCACTCCATAGCGGCCTCCTCGCCCATGGAAGTCAGGACGACGATGTCTAATAACATATCAGTAAAGATTCATTAGATAATTTTGGTATGGTTGTAACTTACTGCAGTCCTTCTCCTCGGTAAGGAACATCTGGTTGATCTTCTCACCAACCTCGTTGTCGGGAACCTTGACATCCTCCTTGGTGTCACCGGAGTCGGTCATGAGGGACATGAAGCCATCCTCAGTGATGTCGAGCTAATATTGGTCAGTCAAAGAATCCAAGTTTCATGAAATTAGGACAACTCACGAGCTGGTACTCCTTGCGAACAACGTGGGGAACGTCCATGTTGTGGGTGGAGGGGGAGAGATCCTCAAGCTTCTTGCCGGTGAAGATATCGGTGGCGATCAAGTGAACCTTGGCGTGACCGTGCTTTCCAGTCTTGGAGGTAGACATGTCAATGATCTTGCAGGGGCGGTTCTTGATCACAACGTGACCGCTCTTGCGCAGAGCAGAGCACTGCATGGGGTAGGTGAGCGAAGCTCCGGCATCAGCCGAATCGAAAGTGACATCGTGCTGCATCGAAACATGTTAGCAAGCGCTTTAAAAAAACAATATGGCGGGGTTAAGAGTCCAGCATGGCCTCGTGCCCTCGAGAAGAAGAGGGGGAGCCGCATGCGGGGCTGTGAGAGAATTTCTCATAGCCATTGGGGAATCTCGAATTTGTAAAAGAAAATACATACCTCCTCGGCAGACATGGTGAAAAGATTTGGAGGGGTTGAAAGAGGGGAGTTTTTCAAGGAATTTGGGGAGGGGAAAAATGAAGAGAAGAGGAGAGAGAAAATCAAACGACTAAAATCTATCGTGGGCGGCGACGCTGTGGCGGGGTCGCTTACTGGATGATGATTGGTTGACGAGGGTAGTCCACCTTGTTGGGTTTAGTGTATATAGGAGGAGTGTCCGAGTGTCCTAAAACAACCTAACGACTACAACTGTTCTATACAATCCTTTTCTACTTGGATTTGATTTTCCAAGTATAACTCTTAATTCCTTTTTTGTTCTGAATTCCCATGCCGTTCATCCTTTTCCATAATGTGGCGCGACCGCATTTCAGTCCAGTCAACTCCCTCTGGAGCCAATAGTCGCAATCTTTCTCCTCTACCGCGACGATCATCCTCCCAGCTATCTCCAAGTCCCTACAATACTCGCCCTAGTATAACATCTAGAACTTCATCAACTTCTCTACTCGTGACCCCCAACGACTCTACAACCTCTCTTCCAGGAACTGCACGGGCGAGCAATGGCTCTCCTTTAAAGCAAACAAGTATTCAACGACCTCGACCAGCCAATGTCCCCGATCCGCTGGAAGTCTTGAATGAAATTATTGGGAAGGAAACCCAAACAGATAAACATGTGCCTCAACTATCGTCGGTACCGGAACGACCCGCGCAATTGGTGGAGGCTATCCGTTTCGACGGGCTGAGTCTCGAGGAGTTTGTGGAAAAGGAGGACTTAACACCAAAGAAAAAGACCCGCGAATGTGATGTAAATGCGCAGACTGTTCAGCAATTTGAGCAAGAACGAGATAAGTTCCAAGAGTTACACACATCGATTACTGGATGTGATGAGGTGTCCAAGTCAGTCGAGCTGTACTTGAATGACTTCCAGAATGAACTGGGTGCTGTATCTGCGGAGATCGAAACTTTGCAATCTCGCTCAACGCAATTGAACGCGATGCTAGAGAACAGACGCAACGTGGAACGGTTGCTAGGACCCGCCGTGGAGGAGATCAGTATTTCCCCTAGGGCTGTGCGGACAATTGTCGAGGGCCCAATTGATGAGAATTGGGTGCGTGCACTGAACGAGATTGATTCTCGAGCTACAAATATCGAAGCCAAGGCCGCCGCTTCCGCCAATGGCTATAAAGCCGTCGAGGATGTACGACCCCTTTTGGCCGATGTGAAGACCAAAGTGAGTATTCTACATTCAGATTATTTAGATCTGTATTGACATCTCTGAAGGCAGTCGAAAGGATCAGAGACTATCTTGTGTCACAGATTCGTGCTATGCGATCGCCAAACATCAACTCTCAGATTATCCAACAGCAGCGACTGGTGAAGTTTAAAGATCTATACAGTTATCTCTCAAAGGCCCACCCAAAGCTGGCAGGAGAGATAGCACAGGCGTATATCAACACCATGCGCTGGTATTACACATCTCATTTCACACGTTACCTTCAGGCACTCGATAAGGTCAAGGTTTATCCTCCTGACCGAAACGAGGTGCTTGGAGGCGATCCATCTACACATCGATCAGGTAAGAGTTATACTTTTCCAATGCTACTTATATACTGATTATTTTAGGGAATATGATTCCTGGCGGCCGAGCTGGCTCTGCCGTACATGACCCTTTCTCACTGGGTAGACGGATTGATGTCCTCCGAACTGGTAATATCCAGGCTCTATCCTCATACGTGGCCGAAGAGGACAATGCCTACCATGGGATCGAAGTTCCGTTCCGAAGCTTCAACCTCGCATTGGTGGACAACGTGTGTGCCGAGTACTCTTTCTTGACTGAGTTTTTCTCCCCAAAGACCTTCCATCAAATTTCTCGGATTGCCGCGGATATATTCCAGCAGGTCTTTGCCCTTGGTCAGGGCCAGACGAAGAAGTTAATCGAGCACACCACAGATTCTCTGGGTGTCCTCATGTGTGTCCGCCTAAACCAACATTCCGCGTTCGAGCTTCAGCGTCGAAAGGTGCCCGTTGCCGACTCTTATGTTAATGGAACCAACATGCAGCTTTGGCCGCGCTTCCAGGTGATTATGGATCACCATGGCGACTCGCTCAAGCGAGTTGGATCCAACACTGGGCGCAGTGCCATCTCCGCCCTTTCGATTGCAGGTGGAGACGATCTGAAGCAGTCTTCGGCACCCCACTTCTTGACTCAAAGATTTGGACAACTTCTTCATGGAATCCTCGTGCTCAGCAGCGATGCTGGTGATGATGAGCCGGTGTCCAACAGTCTGGCCCGGTTGACTGCTGAATTCGACGCTCTTTTGGTAAAATTGAGTCGCAACGGCACAGACGCAAAGCGAAGAGAGCGTTTCCTCTTCAACAATTATTCATTGATTTTAACCATCATTAGCGTATGTTGCTGTCTTTGTGTTCTGGTGAACAAGGGCTAACCGTAAACAGGATACCCAAGGCAAATTAGCAGTTGAACAGAAGCAGGTAAGCATGAGTTGCGTCTATCAGATATCATATGACTAACTTGGCTTGTAGCATTTGGAAGAGATGCTCAAGAATAGCACTAAGCGGTAAAAAGCGATTGCACCGGACAGATGCATATTCCATGTGGAATAAGATGATGCATTTAAATATCCTTTCACATACATATATCTTAATCAACGTGAATACTTATCCTGATACTTACATGGCGCTTGTAATGAACATGTAGAAAGAGGAAGACACCTCAGAAATATATATCCCAACATGCATTCAAAACCTCGAATTGGAAACACTGACTCGAGCTTGTGCTACTTGAAAATACCTAACCTCTGGTGGTGGTAAAGATGTATTTATTAGAGTCCAAATGTATACTTCAAGTATCGGCTTTTGTATAAATTTGCCGTATGTAGCTAGACATAATGTTGATCTTCACTATAATTCTACCCCACATTTTCTCCTCAACAATCGGATATGACCAGGCTCCCTAAATTCATCGCCAAAGCATATCTATAGACGAGGCTATTGCAGCTAGATATTCCTCCCTGAGAATGGCTTGTTCTCCTTATATTACACCTGTTTCATAACCAAAATCATGTATCATATTCGAGTTCATTGAAATATGGTCATTTCGCCCGCCAGTTGGCCGAGCGACTAAAAATATGAAGTAATTGAAGGTACTCCATTTCTTCCTTTGATTTGCCTGCAAATATAAATTCCCCAGCTATTTCATTCTATCGGAAGACCAACTGAAGTATAGGTTAGTAAATCCGTGTTGTACACGCACCTGATTCAAGTCAATCACCGAAGTACTCCGCATGGAATAGAGCCAATCGAGTTCGCAAAGTGCAAATAGACCGCCAAGACAAATAGCGAAGTCCTACAATCCGTCTAAGATGTACTCCGTAGCATCCCCCTCAATCCGGGGTAAAACCCCAGCACAAAGCCAAGAACGTGGCTGCATATCCGGTCGTAACGCCCATGCACCCTCAAGTCACCGATAACATCCCATAACTCGCCGATTGAGCCAGGGCATGTACGATAGAGCCATTCCCCGCTCCTACAGCGGTCGAGATATCTAGCACATGCGTCTCGATTCGTCGATTTGGACGCCTCATTCGATAGATCTCACAGCCCCCGGATTTAACATTAAGCTATCGGTAATATCCCCGCGTAATCTGGTTTCGGTGTTGATTTGGAGTTGCTTCTTTCACTATGGCGGGTGCCGCGGAAAATGGAGCGGTGAGATTGGGGCTGTAAGATTGGGACTTTGTTTTGGTTTTTCGCTTCCGAGGAATTGAGTCAGGTGGGAAGAGACTTTGCTTTTTCGGGTTTGGGTTGTTTGGGATATCGGTGCTGACAGGTACCCGGTGCTTTGGGGAATCTAGATAGTGAGGTAATTGCAAGATGTTCACATCTATTGAGGTGATAATTGCAATAAGAAATGACACATTGAAGAAAAGATCAAGATCAATCTGGATCTATACAAGATCTGGCCGCTGAAATATAGGACAATCTCCTGAGCTCCGCGGGGTTCTCCCGATTGGATCTCACTTGGCGCAAACGTAAACATAAACCGCCATATCTGATGATTGAGAGTCGAAGATGTTATAAATCATATATAGAGATAACGATCTTCCATATTAGTGGAGTCAAATGCAAGAAAATAACGCCGATATCGACCCACATTGAATTGCTGATCTGTATACTTCGTCTGAGGCGTTGAGTATGCGGCATGGGGCGTTGTGACGAGACATGTTGGGACAAGCCCCTCTTTCCTAAGCTATTTATATGATTTGATCATCTTTTTTCACCCCTCTTCCAATTCACAATTTTGGTATCTCACCAATCTTTCCCTTCTCTTCTCCCTAACACACCCCTCCAACCATGGCGGCCCCCATCCCCAAGACCATGCGTGCTCTGCAATACTCAGAGCCCAAGAAGCACAAGATTGTTGAGGTCCCTGTGCCTGAGCTCCGTGAGAACGATGTCCTGGTACGAAGCCGTCCATGAATTTGCATGGAATCTGACTGACCAAGCCCCCAACAACTAGATCAAGGTCAAGGCCTGTGGTGTTTGTGGCACTGATCTGCACATTCACGAGGGTGAATTCATTGCCAAGGTACATCTTCCCACCATACCAAGCACCAATGCATTGATATGCTCACCAGTCCATAGTTCCCTCTGATCCCCGGCCACGAGACCGTCGGCGTAGTCGCCGCCATTGGACCCAAGGTCAAAGACTTTGAGATTGGCGAGCGAGTCGTCGCGGATAACTCCGAGCTATGCGGAACATGCTTCTACTGCCGCCGTGGCGACGAACTGTTCTGTGAGCACTTCGAGGCCCACGGTGTGACGATGAACGGCGGCTTCGCTGAGTACTGCGCCTACCCTGGTAAGTAGAGCATATCAAACGCATACCGAGCTCTCAATTCTGAGTTTGGTTTCTATAGCCGGCAGAGTCTTCAAGATCAAGAACCTTTCCGACATTGACGCGACTCTCCTCGAGCCCGCCTCCTGTGCCGCTCACGGTCTGGACAAGATCGCCCCGAAGATGGGCTCGTCCGTGCTGATCTTCGGTGCTGGTCCTACTGGTCTGGTGTTGGCTCAGATGCTGCGCCAGAACGGTGGTTGCAATGTCGTTGTTGTTGCTCCTGGAGGTCTGAAGATGGATTTGGCTCAGAAGCTTGGTGCTGGTGATAAGTACGTTGAGCTGTCGCGCCAGAGTCCCCAGGCTCAATTCGATGCTCTCAAGGCTGAGAACCCATATGGATTTGATATTGTCGTTGAGGCTACTGGCAGCCAGAAGATTCTTGAGGACTCGATTAACTATGTTCGTCGTGGTGGTAAGCTGGTGGTGTATGGCGTGTATTCGAGTGAGGTTCGGGTCTCGTGGTCGCCGGCTAAGATCTGTAAGTTTCTCTTGTCGCTTTCTGTTGAGTTTTTTGCTGATTTCCTTCCAGTTGGTGATGAGATTACTATTCTCGGCAGTTTCTCTGAGACCTACAAGTTCCCCGCTGCGGTTGACTATCTTGACTCGGGCAAGGTAAAGGTCGACGGCATTGTGAACAAGGTGTACAAGATCGACCAGTGGGAGGAGTGTCTTGAGGCGATGCGCAACAAAACTGCTATCAAGGCTGCCATCGTCTTCGATTAGATCTACACTGTGAATCGCAAAGATACATTTTCATAGAGGTTAATAGAATTGACTCTCTAAATTACGGGACATGTCTTTATGTATGTTTGCCAGTGAGGACCTTGTAGGCCAAAGTACCTCTGGCCCCAACATTGTGAGATACTTGGCATGCACACTAAGCTTCGCAGCTGACCAAGCTATAATCAGGCCCCCGGCCCCCATTCTCATGCTAGGCACCTGTCATTTCAAGGGAAAGGTATTTTCCCGCAAACTGTCTGGAACCTACATGAATAGGCCTATACAGTGGCATTCCATAACACTGGTAATTCGTCAAAGATGGATCTTTTTCACTCGGCAGGGTTTGCGTCATATGTGACAGAGTTGATGAAGCAGCAGCATGTCCCAGGTCTGGCGATTGCAATCATACACAATGATGAAATTGTCTCTGCGGGATATGGATATGCGAGCCTGGATCCCGAAATACCTTGCACAGCAGATACGCTGTTTGACATTGCATCGTCTTCTAAATCACTCACTGCTGCGGCGGTGGGATTGCTAGTCGACGATAATGACATGTTCCCGGATATTCAGTACGATACCGTAATGTCGTCTCTTCTCCCCGAAGACTTTGTCATGTCTGGAGAAGGATACACAGAAGGAGTCACTGTGGAAGACATCTTAAGTCATAGAAGTGGAATGGCTAGGTGGGCTGATATCTTTTTAAATTCCATGAGTTCAAGACTAATGATATTGTGTCAGCCATGACGATTCGTATATGAGTGTGCGAGCGGCAAAGCCAGACAATGCTCGATCCATTACGAGAAACCTCAGGAATCTCCCTGTCGCTGCTCCCATTCGATCAAGGTATATTTACTGCAACATGATGTATACAGTGGCAACCCATCTTGTAGAAGTTAAGAGTGGACAGGATTTTGGTACATTCCTCGAAGAGCGATTTTTCAAGCCTCTGGACATGTCATCAACTACTCTTCAACCCAGCAGCGCACGATCAAAAGGATTTGAATCCCGCATGGCAACGAGCTACACATGGAAAAGAGCCGACTCAACATATCGTGGGTTAGAAAATTCAGACTACCCAGAAGGCCAAGGTGCAGGGTCTATCATTTCGAGTGTGAACGACTTCATCAAATTTGTCAAGGCTTTTATCAATCGCGAAGACCCTATCAATAAAAATGTTTATGAAGGGCTCACTCGCCTGCGAACTTTTGTGAATCCAAACCCAGGAAGACGGAAGCGGCACACCTCACCGGTAGCATACGCTGCTGGCCTGGATATCTACTTTTACAAGGGACATATGGTTGTCGGCCATAATGGATTATTCTCTGGATTCGGAAGTCGCTTCTTCTTTCTCCCTGATTTCGCATTCGGTGCTGTGATTATGGGAAATTCAGATGGGGTAAATGGCATTGCGACGACCCTTGGCCAAAAGTTAATTGACAATCTCCTTGGAGTCACGGACGAAAGACCTCAAGACAGCAAAAGCAAAGCCGCACGACCTGTTGATATTCGCCCCAAAACCGAGGCCGAGCCGAAAGATGCAAATCCAATGAGTAAGAATCAGGAAAAGAAGGAGAAGAAAAAGCAGGAAAAGAAAACCCAAGCGAAGAAAAACCAAGGTATCCAGAAGGGCCAAATGAATGAACAAAGTCCAAAAGGGAATACTCAGCCCCCGGCAATGCCTCTCAGTGCTTACGTTGGCAATTACTGGAATCCTGGGTATCATAACTTACTGGTTCAAATCAGAGATGATGCGCTGTTCGTCGATGCTACAGATCGCTCAATGGGGTTTACCTTGAAATTCGAACATGTGTCCAATGACCGAAAATTCGATGCTCGTCTTACTGATTGGCTCGATGGTAGTGATGACATCGTAAAAGCGGAGTTTGTAATAGAAGATGCCCAAGTTACAAGGTTGGGTCTGCGTTTAGAGGAAATGCTGAAGGAGATGATGTGGTTCGACAAGAAGGATGAAGTTTTTTCTTGACAGTATTCCTCCTGAGCTGGATACATTATGATATATTGCAAAGCTAAGAAGAAAATTGAAATGACAAGTATTTGACCAATTGGCCTGTGTTCAAACTCTCCAAAGTAATCGTTCAGCTTGAAGCTATGTGGTATGTAGTGGCACTGTAAGGCGTTTCTGGCCTCAAAAGCTGTCATTTTTGACAATTCTATAGGCCTTTATATTTTGTAATAATATTTATATGATAACTAGATTTATACTAACAAAATATTGTATAAATGTGCAACTTAAAGAAAAAAATTACTAAATAATGAAAGTCGACCGTAAGAACCGCATACTCCGTCAGCCAAGCCTCACCTCTCCAGGGCTCCTCTCCCGCAAACTCTCCGAGCTCCAACATCCAACCACCACCAAAATCACAATGGTCAAACCTCTAACATTCAAAGGCGACAAGCCAAAGAAGCGCAAGACCCGCACAGCAGACACAGAAGCTCCAACCTCCAAAACGCGCAAAACCGAACCAGAACCCGAAGACAACCCAGAAGACCAAAGCTGGGTCTCCGCCGATCTCCCAAGCGACATCGCCGGCCCAGTAATCCTAGTCCTACCCTCCGACGACCCAACCTGCGTCGCCAGCGATGCCAACGGCCAAGTATTCGCCAGCAAACTCGAGAACCTCGTCGAGGGCGACCCCGCCACGGCAGAGCCACACGATGTGCGACAGGTTTGGATTGCGTCGCGGGTAGCGGGAACGGAGTCATTTAGTTTCAAAGGACACCATGGGAAGTAAGTAAAACTGGTTAATCGCATACTCTTCCCAATTCCCATTCCATTCTGTTGTTTTCCCCCATGGACCCAACTAATAACCTCCCCAGATACCTCTCCTCAGACACACACGGTCTCTTCTCAGCAACCGCATCAGCAGTCAGCCACTACGAATCCTTCTTAGCGATCCCCTCCCCCGAAGTCTCGGGTACATTCTCTCTACAAACACACGGCGGTGACGGCGAGTCCTTCCTCACGATCAAAGAAAACGCCAAAGCTTCTGCCGGCGTTGAGATCCGCGGAGACGCAAATATGATTTCCTTTGAGACGACTGTGCGCGTGCGCATGCAGGCGAAGTTTAAGCCAAAGTTGCGCGCGTCTAAGGAGAGCAAAGCGTACGAGAAGATTAGTAAGAAGGAGCTTGAAGGAATTGTTGGACGGGGATTGAATGATGATGAGGTTAAGAGGCTCAGGAAGGGACGGAGGGAGGGGAATTTCCATGAGATTTTGTTGGATGTTAAGGTTAGCGGAAAGCATGATAAATGGGCTTGAGGTCTGGTAAGTATTTCTCTTTTTCGGTTGGTGGGAGTGGTGCTGATTATCGCAGTGTTTCTATCACGAAAATGAGACTTTGGTTCCTCTGCTACGAGATGTTGTGCTGGCTTGGTAGATGGCCATGATGGCATATAGTCTGATCGCTATGAACTTTCTGATGTTCTCGCTTGTTGTCTGTCATTCTTCCTAGATTCTGGGCGGGAATACATGCGTGAGCTAGTTCGGGGTCCGTCCCGCAAGATTGAGAAACGAACATAGCAGGACGCGCACTCACCTTCTTACTGCGGCAGCCAGCGCAAGCCCGGGAGAGCCACTTGCGCCAAGGGGCCTTATTCGATCCCTCATTCATGGAGAGGGGTTATGGGCGCAGGCGACACGCCATGTAGAGAAACAAGGGGACCGACAGCTCTGTCACAATTCAAAGTTCACCAATATCCTACATATGCTCCGAGGCCTGTTTAGACTCATTTGGATTCCTATATTGAACTACTCTGCATAAGTTAAAGTCAGAGGTTATACTTCTCCACCTTTCTTTGCCGTCCCTATAAAACTGGCACATCTAAACAGAATGATATCTAGAAGACTACTGTAGGGATATCATCCCTGCTGTTTGCTGCACTGTTTGTCAGTTCAGATTGAGAACTTTGTTTGCTTGTTTGATGTTTTATAAGGGTATAAATACCCAGTTTCTTTATATATTATCAATACATCACTCTCTTCCTTCATCTCTCTCTTATAGCATGCTCAATAACTATTAAAGATACCACAGAAAAGACCACCGAAAAGACCTCTGAAGAGACAACTGAAAATACTACTAAAAAGACATCACAAGGGGGTCCTGGGTATCACGAGAATTTATAAATCTATATATAAAATCTATCTTTGACCTTTCTATATACCAAATCCATCTTCATTACTCACTATGGTTTCCAAGACTTGCACTCAGTGTAAGCGCTCCCTTCCCCTAGACCAGTTTCGGTCGAAGACCGGAATGCGAGAAACTAAGATGTGCCAACGCTGTCGAGACACATCCAATCGATCATACGCCAAATCCACAAACTTGCCCGGCAATGTTTTTCTGGAGTCGCTCGACGCCGTTCAACAGCCGCTTTCAGGACCTGTACCCAATGGAATTGAAGCCTTCCAATCGACCAGTTTCACTCGAGGCGCATGGATAGGTCAAGAGTGGAAGAAGAGAAGTGTGTGCAGAGCGTGGGGTAGAGAGAGATCAATTATACTTGCTAGGTTGCTACGCTCAAAGGTCGAGGGTGAGCAATACCGACATATCTCTGACTAGCAGCTCAATAGATATGAGATACTTACTCATCTCTATCTATGCACTGAGACTGGCGTTTAACAAAGTGGATTAAGCTGACGCTCAGCAGTAGAGGCTGGGGGTCCGGGGCTTTCACAACCTCTTGTGATTTCTCTTTGCTTCTGTATACCCAGTGCAGATCGCAGTTTCATTGCTCCCTATCAGCCTTTCTGTCTCCTCTTGGGGGTGATCATCGCATTTATAGTCCCGAATCGACTTTGGTCCACAGTATCTCCTACCAGGGTTCATCATGCCCCGCGACGGGGCTGCTGGTTTCCCCGGGAACAGTTGTAAGAAGTTCGCTGTGCCAATCCTACGCCAGCGGAACTGGTGCATGAGCTGCTTGCACGTCTCTTGTAGTGACTGGCCGAAGCAACTTCCTCCGTATCACAAGGTCTTTGCGGTTCAATAATTCATAGACAATATCAACAGCAGATCCTGTGAAGATTGTGCAGTGAAGAAGAGGCTATGGAAGTCTGTGAGTATTTCCTCTATCTTCGGTGGTGATCCGGTGGGCGTTCATGCTGACTTCGTGGGTCTATCGCTAAAGCCTCCTGGTATATGATCGATACGAAAGTTCGTTATGGCTTTCACTCAACCTACGAGGAGACGATCTTTTTGCGCCATGTGAACGACACCCGGGCTGGATGGCGAATAAATATTCCTAAATCTTCAGTAGGAGCACGACCAACGTCTCGGTCAGGCGATGTTTCTGGCATCTGACCAGGCTCGATGCTTCGGGCCAGCCTGTGAATAAGCCCGCGCCTAGGCATTGACTGATCCGGTATACTTGAGGTCTTCTGTGGTGATGTCTTTACCCGAAATACAGTGACCGCTATCTTAGGAACTATTTTCTTGCGCGAGTTCTTACTTTTGTTGTTTTCTTCTCTTAATCCCTGGTTCTAGTATATTAGAAAAGTTTTGTAAAATATGTCCATTTTACAAGTTAAGCTATTTTTCGCCGTCGACCTATATAACTACTTGACAAGACATATACATAGAATGATATTTGAGAAGACCACTGAAAAGACCACTAAAAAGATACCATAGGGCCCCTTACGCGGCCTAGTATTCTTGTTCTATATAAGTAGAAGTTGATGTAGTTATCGTTTACCCTTACTAATTTAAAGACTGAGGTATCGAGGCATCAATGCATGCGGCTCTTCTCCCTTTCCCCACTCCCCACTCTTCCCTTTCACATCCAATCATCTCCATCAGTTCCCCCAAGCTTATCATTTTCATAGATCGTGACGAGAAGAACATCTTTTCCGAATTTGAAGATGAGGAAAGATAACAACTCGTTACAGAGATCATAAGTCAGGACCCCGACTTAGCGCTCGTACAAATTCTTTCACTCTCTGGTCCTCGGACATTGAGACCCTTCGGGGATTTGCAAGGGTCCTCTTGAAAAGTGATACTGCTTTTAAATGGCGCTACCAAATGATGTCGTCTGTCTCCAATGATGTTCCCGGTATTGGTAAGTGGATTTTTTTTTTAGCCAGAACGGCAAAAGCGAGACGACGTTGTGAAGAGAAAGGCACGCTAATTGAGAACGTGGAGACAAAATAATGCTAACTGGCCCTTTAGTGCCTGGAGCGCGGCAACGCCAAGTTTATCCTGATCAGATGTGACCAGCCCAGGTTTCAGTGTGCCTATATCGTGCCATACAAGCTAAATGGTTCCAGCGCGCTTGAAAATACCTGGAAATGGCTCGAAAGCTTCTGGGGTAACGAAAGATGGACTGATTATATCCCCGCCCTCTCCACGGATACACGAGTCACCCCCGAGAATATGATATATCCCTAGGCGGAAATATATACCTATTCCATTGTGAGACGCTAGGCGTCATTCCCCCCGGATACATTTTCACTATGACGACAACAGACACAGCAACTCATCCACTACCGGGGGAGCTCCTAACAATGCAATGGAATCTGAGTCGAATCGCCGGTATACAAGGGGCCGGTGAAGACGAGGATAGTGACCTCGACTCTGATGGTGATTCTGTCGTTACATCAAGCTCACAATCTCCGATGGAATAAGCGTCCCCATTTCGTTGATTAGCAAGTGCAGTTCAATCGACCATTTCCATGTCGAACAACTATATAGAGTGGCACAGTTAAAAACCTACTCTCACTCGAATCCAAATAGCTGATGTTAAATGCAATTATTGCTATGAAACTTATCCTTAGTATAGCTAAAATCATGGCTGTGCAGACCTGAATTCCATAATCTACATTTCCTAGTCTGCGCTTTTAGATTTCCCCCAAAGGTACATAGAAAGCACACATGTTTGAGACATTCCAAAGCTGTATTCTACGAATGATAATTACTCAGTATAGCCAACGCTGCCAGTAGAACAATAACAAAGTGTAACTAGCAGAAGCAGCAGTCAAAATACAACGCACACGAACAAAGCCCAAGTTATGACCTACGTTGCTGCTAGACTTCGGTTCTCTTGGATGATCAAGCATGGACATTAAAGCCGGGAAGACAAAAGGTGTAGAGATAAGAGAATTAAAATAGCAAAGACATCTCACGCAGGAATCAAACTTTGACCATGTAAAATAGACAAGTGTTCCAATTAGAAAGGAGGTCCCCTTATATGGCAAGTAAAAGGCTTCCTACCTGTCAATCCGCCCTGGTTAGCTGAGGGAATGGGTCATCTGAAGTAGAGGTCCTTGACGCAGGGTACGCCAGTTAGCCTGCAGGAGCCGGAGTGTGCCTGCTAGCGTCCCTACGTACTATTAAGGCTGAAAGACTTACCTATGGAAGTATCCCCACACCCGCACGGTATTGATGACCAGGTCCCTGTTCTGAAGGGGCGGCGGTCCTAAAGGTAAAGGGTTCGTGGGTTGGCACCTCATCTTTTTTTTGATATTTTTTACATCTTTTATATTATTCTCTTCGCCAGACTCTCTGTATACAACTTGTAAATGTTGAGACAAAAACATCACAATTTGTGTACAATGTAAATGTTAAATAAAAATAAGGCACAATATAATCTCAGATTCAACTTAACTTCAATTAACACGAACAACGCACACATCCATTTGTAGATAGAGATAGTCTGGTTATGGAAGACATAATTCGTCACGCAGAAGCAGATCTATGGCGAGAAGGGGCGGTAACGACAGAATGGGGATGTCCAGCAGAGTAGCAAGCTTTGGGTATGAATTCTAACAACAGTAGTACAGAAGAACAAGACCTCGATACCTCGGGCAAAAGAGAGGAACGGGGACACAAAAAGACGTAGGACGGACTTTGGGGGTTTGGTGAGATAGCAGAGAAAGGACGGTAAGCACGTCCACATTTCGAAACATTCTTTGAGGAAAAGCAGGAAAAGATAATAAGATGAGATAACAAACTGTCGATATCTGGGAAAAGAGAAAATAACAAAGCTGGGCAAGTCTAGGTTCATAAGGAGTCTCTTTCACCGCGAGGATAAGTCCCAGAACATGGGGCAGGACACAAACGGGCAAGGGGTGACGATTGTACAGAGATAGGTGAGGGGCGGTAGAGACGTGATGGAAGGAAAAGAAAGGAAACGGAAGGGAAGGGAAGGAGGGGATAATGTGATTTAGGAGTTGAGCGACAGGCCCTGGAATCGGTTGATCCATTCGCCCTGCGCTGGGTGCATACGTGACGATCCATTGGAGCCGGCGATGTTGCCAGGATATTC